AATATATTAAGAATAATAAAATAAACATAACTAACAACTGTGAACTGGGAAAATAAATTGATACGACTTCATAAAAGTCAAAGTCCTGTAGCAGCGCGACAGTCGCCGCGTCACGGGTCGCGGAATGCTGCTCATAAACATGAGCCTCTAGCATGGCTTGAAACTAGTCGAGTTCCTCGTGAAATAATTACGTGAGTAAGCCGAAAAACAATAATTGATTTAGTATGTCTCACGAAAGATGTAACATAAATAAAGTCAAAAGACATTTTAACTGTGATTTGAATGTAAATAGATAAATATAATAATTAAAGCTTCGTTTACTGCTCTACAACAATGTATATTACTAAGGATGTGACCCAAAGTTATCGGTCAAACAACTTGATAAAAATGAGAGAAAGTAGGTACAAAGTATTGCGTGATATTGAAAGTGGCCTATTTAGAGTAGTCTTGTTATAACAACAGTGTCAGTAGGCTATCACTGCAACACTCCCAAAACAAAAGCGAATACATTAATGTTAATACGAGGAGGCAAATCGTTTATTTCTTCATCGCCTTTTGAGGCAAACAGGTCGAGACAAATAGACATTGTTTAGTCAGTTATCAGAAGGCCTACTGCGAGTTTGATCTGATTGGTTGGATAATTTGAGCTGGCCAATCGGAGCGCTGAACGTTATAAACGTGTTGGTCGCGTTAACGTAAAACAAACTGCCACTAGGCTCTCAGTAACTGTCACCCAATTTCTTGTAAAAGTGAGATATACACTAAGTAATGTTTACTTATCTCGATGTGAAACAGCCAAGCCGCTATGTTAGGAACACTCAGTAAAACCACAACAAACAAAACATGATGTTTATTCTAAAACATGCTTCTAAAAATATGATTAATGTTACATTGAATACATCTTACAAAAATATATCTGTATACAATTCCTTAGTGCTTATAATCTAAAGCCTTCAATAATTATCATCGTCATAAGGCCACTGTTTTACGAGAATAAACTATAATACCCTTATAATAATCTCTGAAAACATACATTAACCGCCGTACTCAGTCATTTAATGGCTACTTAACCCAGTCCTTAGCAATTGGTTACTTTCCACAATCAAAAATAAATTATTTCGACTGTTCAATACAATAAAATATAAAAAAATAATCACACTTCCATTGATTGCTTTTATGACCAACTTAATTTTTGTATTTTTCCAGCAAAGTTTTACGAAATAAGTATGCTGTTTTACGCTAAAAAAACGTCACGTCACAACACACAATCTCGTACAAAATTCATAAAAAACTGTCGCCTTTGACAGTTCGAAAAAAGTATTGAATTTGACTAGTTGGCAAGTACCCAATTGTTTCCGGAACAAAATCGTTACTAAGGAATAGTTTAAGTAATCATTAAATGTCCCTGAGTATCGCAGTTACAGTTTAATTTACTTAATAAACATTAATGGTATATTTTTGTCAATATTATTTTTAATAATAACAGTCAAATCAGTTCATACACAATGATTTTTGTAATCGAGTAGCGTTTAAATACAACTTCACTATCAAATGGCTCGATCCTTATATTCTACGTCCATATACAAGCACCTTTCGTTTAAATATGTATTCAATAAGTAAACAAATGAGATTTACAATTAGATATAATTCTAATAACTAGAGCTGTGATGGTTCCATAAAGTACAGAGGGCCTAGTTAGAGTTTGTTTTACATTTAGAAGTAATCGAAACGAATACGCGTTCGGCGCTGTGATTGGTTGCTTCATTGGTACGTTAGCGTTTAATGGCCAATCAGTGTACTCGTACTAAGGCCTCTGAGACTTTAGTACGAATTTGTTTTACGTTTAAAGTATTCGAAACGAGAACACGTTCGGCACTCTGATTGGCCGGCGTCAATAAACCAACAGATCACAGCGCCGAACGAGGTCTCGTTTCGATTACTTTAAACGTAAGACAAACTTGTACTAAGACCTCTGATTGGCCGGCTCCAATGAACCAACCAATCATAGCGCAGAACGAGTTCTCGTTCCGATAACTTTAACCGCTTGAATGCCCGTATATGAGACACAATAGAAAATACATTGTGTCTCGCGTGGATCCACATTTAGACACACGTCGGGTTAATAAACGGAAAACAAACTCGTACTAAGGCCTCTGAGCCTATTTCGAGTTTTTTTCAAGTTTAAAGAGAATGGAACGTCACCGCATTTAACCCTCTGATTGGTTCGTCCATTGGAGTCCGCCAATCGGAGCGCTAAACGCGGGAACGATTCAATTTCGTTAAACGTAAAAGAAACTCGTACTGAGCCCTCAATCCTTCAGATTTACCTAAACAAGGCTTTACATGAGTAAAATGATGGTAGGTCTTATCTCTGAGAAACCACGCACTTTCGAACACTAACTTAAAACCTAATGAGACTATCGCCCTAATACTGAAAGGCTACACAATTTTAAGTTACACTTAAATATCTGCCATCTGATATTTTACAACAGGGCTGTCCAAATAAAGGCTGGAGGGCCGCATGCAGCCCGCGGCTTGTTTTCATGTGGCCCGCGATACACATTTTAATCTCAACATCTTCATCTTATATACAACAACAATAATAAAATTCAGTGTATGATTTGTATGCAAGTTTTGTCTGTGAGCAAAGAATACGTCGTTATACAACTGAAAATATTCTTCTGGCCCTTCAGCTTTTGTAAGAAATTTAATTTAGCGAGGGTATATATATAGTTTGGATAGCCCTGTTTTACAAGAATTTTTAGTGACAGAACTATACTTAAGCGCGTCCTAAAATTGAGGGACGTTTTAGTGGTTGGACATATAACTTATAAATAAAGATACAAAGCTCCTTTTGTTTAATTACAGGAACAAAATAAAAGCCTAACCTAACTAAAAGAAATAATATCAAATATCTACTTAACCCATACTACGATTTAATCAAAATAATAAATTATAAAATATCTTACATCTATAACCATTTTAAGGAGTACATTTTATAAATGGGCCGAAAAATTTTGACGTAGGTACTAACTTTGGCATATTTTTGTGACCAATGCCTCTGTTCTATTTCTATATATATAAAATCAGCAACAATATAATATAAGAAGTAATAAGCATTAATGTCACATTAATTTTGTAACAAGAACTAAACATTTTGAATATATATATTTTTTATAATCTGCTCTCATTGGCAGTCAATTGTTTATATACAGTGTATTTTAATCAATGATTAATAAAATAAGTCAGAAATAGTAAGAACTATAATTCTAACCCAAAGAATACTAATAAACAGGAAAATGAGAGATTATAAGACTATGTATTTAGTTTTTTTTTATAAATACGAGCCTCGAAGAATTTATCCAAATAAAACCTCTCGGGAACTGATATTTTTTTAGACGTGTACTTTCTATTTAGTCAAAGTCAAGTTAAAACATTTTTGACTGAGAAAAGTATAAATTTTTTAGTCCTCGAAATTAGTTATTTATATTTCTAAATAAAGAGAATTTTATTTCTCTTTATTTAGAAAAGATATTTTTATTCTTGTATGTGGCCATAATCTTATAACAATGATATAATTTCACTTTTTTTATACAAATAATCTTATAGTCTAGTTGATTCTAGTGGAGTATATTACAATTTGTAAATATATGAGAGATTCTTATAAACTATCGGCGAGTCTCAATAACCTATCTTTCTAACTTCTCCGTACTATTTGCTATAGAAGGCTTAGTACGAGCGAGCGAGTAAAAGTAAAATCAACTCCTACAAAGTGCGAAAAAGAAACTCTCTGAGTGCGAGTTATTTTTTTGGACGCGATTGAAACGTTACCGCATTCAGCCCTCTAATTGGTTGGTAAACTTGGATCTAGCCAATCAGAGCACTAAGGGCTTAGTACAAGTTTTATTTACGTTTAAAGTAGTCGAAACGAGTATGTGTCCGGCGCTCTGATTGGCTGGCTCCAATTAACCAACCGATCAAAACGACGAACGGTGTCTCGTTTCGATTACTTTTAACGTAAAACTTGTACGAAGACCAAACGTCATAAACGTGTCGATCGCGTTAACGTAAAATAAACTAGCACTAGATACATTTTGAGATTAATCCATTTATATGTATATCTTAGTACGAGGTTCTTTTACTTTTATCGAAACGTTATCACATTCGGCGTTTTCATTGGCTGGCTTCAATGGACCGACCAATCAGAACGCCGAAGGCGGATTGACATTATACAGGTTACTGAGACTGACCGTATGTGGCACTACGGTTATCGAGACACAGTTAAAGGCACGTTCAAGTTCATTTCTACAGTCTTTGATAATGTTAGGGTTAGATAAAAACACTTGAAATCACACAGAACACACAAACGAAGCGTTGTTCGTATATTTGTACATGGCCGGAATGTTTGTGTGAGTAAGCGGAATCGTTTCCGGTTCAGGAATGTACATATTAGTCGGAAAAGATAATGCTTTTATAGTTAAAAAGCTGAGTTCGAGAGTGTCGATCGAGTTTATTTTCGATAAATTTATTTTAATATCGTTTTTGAATCAATTTTATGTGTATTGTTTTAACTTGAAAACTAATTCAAGCAAATAAGAATTTTGACAGATACTTTTGCGCAAAAATAATTATAATTTTTGCTTATTTTGATACAAGACTGAAGAGTAATGAGGGTTTTGTTAACCTTTCAAACATCGACGGAACACACGTTTATTACAAATACATCGGAACCGCGTGCGTAGACGGTCCCCAAATATTTAGTTGTGTTTTTACAAGTTCTCTCCATTTTAAGACTCTTACACGCGAGCGGCATGTTACCAATGCCGATACATGTGGACGGCAGGCCTTTTCTGTCATTGGTTACAACGTTGTCGCTCGTTTTGTGTCTTGAGCGCTTACACGCGAGTGGCATTTTATGCATAATTTTACGTTTGCTTTTCGTCAGTTTGAAAGGTTAAGGGCGGTCCTAATGCTGTATGGCGCGTGCTGTGTATCAGTGATCAGTAGTAGTCGCGACATGCATGCGCGCGAGGGTCGGGTCGGTCGGGTCTATCGGGTCGGTCGGGTCGGTCGGGCAGGTAACTCACGGCGGGCACGGGCGGCCGCTCCAGGCGCGACTCCAGCGCCGCCAACTGCTCGTCCAGGCGCAGGGACGTGCTGTCGAACCCGCAACCTAGTACAGAGAAAAATTAATTATTATACAGATATAGTTTGCGGTACGAACTTTTGGTTGAATGGTAAAAGTGTAAAGCCCGATTTCACCAATCTGTCTTAAATTTTAAGAAACCTCCAACTAAGTCTAAGCAAGTGATATTTAACGACATTTTGATTTCACTAACCAATAAGTGAAACTTAAAGATAGGGGTTAGTTAAGACGCTACATCATACTAAGTAACTGTTAGCTAAGAGATGGCTTAGCGGTAGTTGGTAAAACCATAAGAATGTTACAATTGTGGACAATTTCAACACGGATCATTTATTATTTTTCAGTATAATCAGTAAAAAAAAACGAATAATTACCGCTAGAGTTGTCATTATGCGGCGAGTAGTTCCTGCGCGCTAGATGTCGGTACCGGCCCGACACACTGCCGCCGCCCACTCCCTCCGCGCTGGAGAACGACGCGCCCGACGACAGGCCCACTACACACAACACAATCATATTCATTAACGCCTCAATAAAATAAACTATCCTAATCCAAAATCCTTAGGTCGCTCGAATTCGATTCGATCCTCGACTTTAGTCCCATTGTATTTCTGATCTACCTACCTAAATCGATCCAGAGGGATTATTAGATTAGTTCGATTAACGTCCCAATTTAATATCTTAATCCAAAATCTGAAGAAATAGATCGATTATTGATATTATGAGTCCCATGTAATAGGGGGTGAGCATATTGCCATATACCGGGCACAATGGACTCTGTGCTACTACTGAATTTTTTTTATAAACCCTGTATCAGACGCCTTGCCTCCGGCCCGCCGGGGTCTGTAGTCATTAGTAACATTTGCGACCACTCGGCCAACGAGGCAGTCAGTCAGTATAAATTTTAGTCTTTTTTAAATCCAGTATAAGTACTGTCCAAGATGTTTAAACAGTGTTATGCAATATCTTTTTGGATACTCATCATTGCTATAAAAGTGCTACTCGTGTTTTACAGAGACGGAGTTATTTTGTGTCGTTATTATGAAAGTAATATGAATCTTTACCCAGTTCCTCGCGACTGGAGTTATTCCGCAGTGAAGCGCCACTGTCGTAAGCAGCGCTAGTGTGTTTTTGCAGGACTTTGATCATCGCGTCACGTTCCGCCACTTTAGATTCGAGCTCCTTTACTCTGGATAAAACATAATTGCGATGGGTATAGTAATGTTAAATGTTATTTGTCATAGTTTTAAGTGAATAACCGGCAAACGAGCAGTCGGCGCATAATCGTCCATAAGGTTTATTATAAGGTCAGCAACCGGCGCCACCTATGGATACCCACAATAAGTGCATTGCCGGCCTTTTGGGAGCTAGGGGGTTTGAGAATTTGGAATTAGGGAGGGGAGGAATTGGGTCTCCTAAAAACGTGTTTTATGATATCGACACGCTTAAAGTTGTAACATTGTCTTGTATGAAGGTATATAAACAAAAAGTGTAATCTCACCTGCCCTCTAGGTCAGCGAGTTTCTTCTGTGCGGAGTGTAGTTCGTCCATGTGTCGTATCTTCTCGTTGCGAGCCTCCGCCATCAGTCGCTCGGACTCCGCCGACGTCTTCTCCAACGCCGCGATCTTCGCATCCCTGAAAACGGAACTGCTTTGAGTTACAATGGAACTTCTGGTAGTGTTCAATGTTTTAATCAGTTATTATCAGTATGTTACGAAAATATTATGTAATATTATGTTACAAACAGTTTTATTGAGGCGGAAGGGCAAGATGCACCAAATTTAGAAAGGCGCCATCTCCATGAGTGGGACATGCATGTATTGCTATATCTTTACTCTCTATTCGATGTGACGACTAGTGACGAGTAGCAATATAAAACGAGCCGTCGCGATTGTCTCGTTTGAAAAGCCAGCGCCGACATTTTCATATCTTTCATAATGAGGTTCAGTTCAGTGTATACCAGAGCATAGCCAATTAAAAGTGAAGTAAGTCGGCAAATGTTGTTCTATTAAAATTTGATGATTCATTGTATAAATCTGCATTGGAGCAGTACGTGCTGTCAGTACGTGTGTATGCACGCACTTGGGTATGGACGCGGCGGAGACGGCGGCCTGTCGCAGCGCGGCCTCCTCGAGGTAGCGCTGCTCCCACTTGGCGCACTCGCCCTCCAGCGCCAGCAGCCGCTCGTCGCGCTCGCGCAGCTGGCGCCGCAGCTCGGCCTCGCCGCCGCCGCCGCCCGCGCCGCCGCCGCCGCAGTTACACTCGCGCTTCCTGCAACATTCACGCCACGTCACATTCACCATTCCGCGTGCACCTCAAAGAGGCCAGGTCCAATAATCCAACCAAGCAAAGCACCGAACGCAATCTCGTTCCTTACTTTAAACGTAAAACAAACTAGTACAAGCCCTCAGACCACCACAGATGAGACTCAATGCGGCTGATGCTCGACCTCTGGGTCGAGACCATGGACAACTTAACGGGTTATCAGAGCTTGGGCTCGAAGCAAGTAGAAACAGAGTAGTATTTAATCAATAAATGGCGGGAGGAGTCATTGGATGATTCCCCAAAAATAAAGAAGTCACTGAATTGCATTCTCGGTCTAATATTGCGCATTATTAGATACGTCCCCCACACCAGGTTAACATCTATGGCCCTGCAGTTTACCTGAGAGTCTGCAGCTCCTTCTCTAGCTGCGCGCGTAGCTTCCTCTCAGTATGCTCGCGTCGGTCGGAGGCCTGCTGCAGCGAGGCCAGGGCGCGCTGCAACCCCATCACTCGCTCCACGTAACCACCCGCGTGACGGCACTGACAACGATCACTTAGAAATATTATCGAAGAAATCATTCAGTGATCGAGAGACAACAAAGAATAAGTTCGACTTTAATAATTAAGAGTCAGTTCACAATATGTGTGTATTTGAAAGGGAGGCCTTTATTTAGTAGCGGACATTCTTCCAGCTGTAAGGAAAGTTGACTGTGCAATGCTTATAAATATGAACCCCGGCCACGGCTTAAAACTAGTCGAGTTCGTCGTCGAACAATTACGTGAGGAACGCCCGAATATTGATATGCTACTCAATTCTAAATTGTTAGTATAAGATGGTATCTCTGTCATCGTAAAGAATTAGTAGTGAAGTAGCAGACTGACCTTGAAAAGATCTTAGGTGGCATTTGAGTATTTGAACATAAGTCGTTCAATATAAATAATTTGGTACTTTCCTTAATCAAAAATAAATTATTTTGACTGTGCAATCCAAAAAATATTAAAAAACAATCACACTTTCCTTAATTTATTTTATGGCCAACTTAATTTTAGTATTTATCCAGCAAATTCAAAATAAATAAGTATGCTATATGACGCCATAAAAAAGTGACGTCACAATACACAATCTCGTACAAAATTCATAGAAAACTGTTGTTTTTGACAGTTCGAAAAAAGAATTGAATTCGACTAGTTGGCAAGTACCCAATGAACTACCGGCTGCTGATATATCATGACGTGCGTACCTCCTCCTCGAGCCGGACGACGTTGGCCTGTGCGTTAGTGAGCGCGGTGTCCAGTATGTCGATGTGCGTGCGTTGCTCCTGCAGCGTGGCGCGCTGGGCCGCCATCTCTATCTCTTGTCTCTCCTTAGCGCATGCCAGCTCCTTGTCTGTACAGACGTAAAACTACTCATTAGATAAGAACATCGGTTTCGGAAACTTTCAACCATCATATCTGGATGTCCTTGGGGGCATTGGTGATGCAGTAGACGTCTTGTGGCTGACTTCACTGAGCGCCTAGCTTCACTGAATTTACTTGAAATGTGACTGTATGTGGAAAAATTAAGGCGATCTGAGGTTAGGAAAAGGATCGGTAAGCATTTTAACTCGTCGAGTACCGGTTTTATAGACACAATTAAAGAACAATAGGTCGCGGTCACCGGTGACCGCTTGGTATTTGACAGTTTAAGACAATATAAAATTTTTTATCCGGGAAATCCCATGGAAAACACCTAATATGGTTAATTGAAAATAAACCTTTAGAACATCCTTGTCAATACATTTTGGAATGATCTGTGTATGTTCTTACTCTGTGTAATGAGTTGTGCGATAAGCATCTCTCTGCTCTGCAACTCCTTGCGCAGTGCTTCAGCATTGCTGTCGTTTTCATTTCGTACCCCTTGCGATAATAGCTCCACCTGTAAACAATATTTTATCATCAATCAATAAATAGAGTAACTTTAACTTTAACTGAAAATTTGGGTTTAGTGTATAGATGTGAGGAGTATAACTTGTCATGTAGAGGTAGTATGTTATGTAATGATGTAAAACATCTAAGTATCATTGATAAACTCTATTGTGATATAGTTAATGTATTACAAACTGCTGCTGAGCGCACATATGTTGCCAAAGCTAATACGAAGCGGTATATAATTGGTTGGAATTATCATGTTAGACAGTACCATGTCCAGGCAAGGCAAACTTTCTTACAGTGGAATACATATGGTAGGCCGCGTTCAGGGTTTTATTTCGATCAAATGCGCATAGCTCGTAAAGAGTTTAAACATGCGTTAAAATTTGTTCAAAATAATCAAGAGAAAATTAAAATGAGTATATTAGCACAGCACGCATCGTCGAAAAATTTTGGTGGCTTTTGGAAAGAAGTTAAAAAGCTCAACCCTAAAACTAGTATACCTGTCAGTGTACAAGGTGAGTCCGACAAGAGAAATATTGCAAACAACTTTAGTGCACATTTCAATTTAAATCAGACTACCCCAAATCCAGCTAGCTATACATCGTTGTCTAGTTCTTATGGAATGGATGAGGGGGTTTTTCAGGTCACAGCCAAAGATATTGTGGAGGTTCTCAGAGCAATGAAGCGTGGAAAGTCCCCAGGACACGATGGCTTAAGTATTGAGCACTTACTGTATGCAGGTCGGTATATTGCTGATACTTTGGCCTTACTCTTTAATCTTTGTTCGCGACACCAGTACCTACCTGCTGAGCTTATACGTACGATAGTTGTGCCCATAATTAAGAATAGAACGGGCGATGTTACTAGTATGTCTAACTATAGACCTATATCGCTGGCAACGGTAGTGGCTAAGGTGCTTGAGCGTCTGATACACAAAGTGTTAAGTCCTGCACTTAAGTTGGATGATGGGCAGTTTGGTTTTCGACCTGAGGTATCAACTGACATGGCTATTTTCTCTCTGAAACAGGTTGTATCGCAGTATGTGGAACAGGATACAAGCGTTTATGCTTGTTTCCTTGATCTGAGTCGCGCATTTGACACAATAAATCACGACCTGCTATGGAGGAAACTAGATAGGTTTAAAGTGGAAGCTGGGGTTGTTGGATTGATTAGATACTGGTACTCTAATCAGTCTAACAATGTCAGGTGGGAGACCGCGATGTCGGAAAGCTATAGGCTGTCTTGTGGCGTTAGACAAGGTGGGTTAACCTCTCCTGATCTATTTAATGTTTACATGAATGACTTGATTGAGGAGCTGAGTGGGACGGCAGTTGGGCTTAGGCTTGGTGATAGGTATGTCAACAACTTGAGTTACGCTGATGATATGGTTCTGCTCAGCCCCTCAATCAAAGGTATAAGAAGACTATTGGCGATTTGTGAGAAATATGCGCGAGAACACAATTTAGTATATAACGCGAAGAAAACTGAAATGCTTATATTCAGATCAGGAAGAGGTCCACTTAATGTCCCACCAGTTTGGCTAGGAGGTCAGATTGTTAGAATAGTAGAAAGTTTCAGGTACCTTGGTCACATGCTGACGTCAGATATGAAGGACGATGCTGACATAGACAGACAACGCAGAGCATTGTCAGTCGTTGGCAATATGATAGCTAGGAGATTCTTTAAAGCCAATGCCCAGACGAAAGTTCACCTATTTAGATCATACTGTCAAAGTTTCTACACGTGTCAACTTTGGACACGTTACACGAGGAGGTCTCTGGATGGTATTCGTGTCCAGTATAATAACATCTTCAGACAGCTAATGGGTCTTGCCCCGCACTGCAGTGCGTCGGGTATGTTCACAGAAGCGAGGCTGGACACGTTTAATGCTATACAGAGAAAGCGAATCGCTGGATTCTTGTCTAGAGTTGGCACTTGCACAAACAGTATCATCAAGGAGTTACACAACCGATTGTATGCCACGTCTGTATATAAAAAATGGATGCAAATTGCAGCGTAATGCTGTTCATGTTATTAATGTTGTTATTGTGTTTTAGTTTATGATAAATTGGTTTTTTTTTTTTTTGTTTGTCTCTTTCTTATTTTTTCTAGATAATATAAGTATGTGCTGGTTTTTTTTTGTTCCTAGTAGTATAAGATATGGAATGTACAATTCCGAAATAAAGAATTTATTATTATTATTATTATTAACCCTTGATTACCGTCATTATAGACACAATTAAACAATAGGTTTCGGTCACCGGTGTCATCGCGGTGTTTGACAGTTTAAAAAGCTTTTTGAACTAATTACTCTAAATAAACGGAATCATTTTGCACAAAATTTACACCAATTGCGCAATTTGTAGCTGACACTGCGTAAAATTTTAATTTCTTTATTGCACAGATATCGCAACGTGTCGCGGGGTCGATTCTCGCACGGAAGAATTCTTAATACTTTAACTTAGTTTACCTGTTGTTTGAGTGCTCGGTTGAGGTCGTGCAGACGGCGACAGTCTGCCTGCAGTCGTACCCTGGCAGCCCGCTCCAATCTCTCGCGACGCTCGCACGAACCTACCAGCTCTTCGTGTGCTGTGCGGACCTTTTCTACTTCTTCTTCCAGCTACAAAATAAAGAATTATAGGCCACGCCATTATTTTCAACTTATGTGAAGTTATTATTTTGTTTATTTTATTATCACGTCATTATTTTAATCATAAAACCAATGTATTGTTTGAACACGATACGTTTGACTGCCTCATTGGCCGAGTGGTTGCAAGTGCGACTGCCGGGCAAGGGGTCTCGGGTTCGATTCCCGGGTCGGGCAAAGTATTACTGTACCTATTTTATTTTCATAAAATTCACAGTAGTAGCACAGAGTCTGGAATTGTGCCCGGTATATGGCAATAGACTCACCCCCTATTACATGGGACTCATAACATAAATAGTGAAAAGTGGGTGTTACATTGTACAGCGGCATAATGTACACCTTTGCCTACCGCTTCGGGGATAAAAGGCGTGATGTTATGTTATGTTATGTTACGATACGTTTTTTATACGGTTCTCACCAGCTGATACATGCCAGATGATAAGATTCGAGTAGCACCCGAAGTTACGGGCTTTAATACTTGAAACTCAGAAGCTACACTATTATTTCAGACTCACCTTATTAGTTTTGGCGACTCTCTCGCAGGCATCAGCGAGTTGTCTCTTGAGTTGATGGTTCTCAGCGGCCAGAGCGTCGAGTACCGCAGTGAATGCATCGTCAGGTTCCTCCAGCTCCCCCTCCCCGCCGCTACACCAGCCACTCGACTCCGACCCACCCGGCACTGCGCGGACACCCACGCTACACACAAAAGAAAAATTTCCTGGCGTTGAATATTTTACGCATTATTTTTTCTAAAAAAGCTATAAAAAGACTAAAACTATCCTTAACAAGAAATCAAAAGTGAGTGCCATTATTTTTAGACAATATTTAATATTTATTACAATTTATTTTCGACCGAATTCATTCTTAATTCCTTGCTAACTTATGATTATACTATTTTATCAACTTGTAGCTTAAATCTTACCTTGTAAGATCAGGCTGTGACCTCGACAGATTCAATTTCTCCTTACTAAGCTTAGCCTTTGAGCATTTTCCTTTAGCTTTCCTTGAGTCGTCTCGGGGAGGCGCGGGTGCGCGGGGCGAGGCGGGAGGAGTGGGACCGCGCGGGGTTGGAGACTGGGCCACTTCCTTCGCCAAGTGCTTTAGTACTGAAGATTGATTGAGGAAATCATCCGGGATCTCTGTTATCTCCTGTGTAATAGAAAAAACGTTAAGTGTAAGTTAGGCTGGCCAAAATTACTATCTTCTTCATCAGTTAAGGAAAAAAACTTTACAACAAATACACAACTAAATAAAGAAATTTTAATACCTGAACTCCATGGTCAGGTGGGCTAGTATAAATCCTCTGGCCTCCAATATCAATGTAGTTAGCTGTGGTTGTGACATTCTGTTCTTTATGCAGCTTAGGTACAGGTATCCCACTGGGTTTCTTTACACCTTCGTTCTTCTTCAGTGTGTGGTACGGTGATGACTGAGTGGTGGGGTGTTTCACTTCACTGCTTGTTCTCTCATGTTCCCTGTTCAAGACATAATATTTTTAGAACATGCAGATTGCTTTTACAAATAAACTATGACCGAGGAAGACCTCAAAAAACATAAAAGAAAATGCTTCCTTGATCATTTCCAACAGTTTTATGTGTGAAAGATTCATTTTTGTGAAAATATTGAATTTAAAACCACATTCAATTAACAAACTAACTTCAATCGAAGCGAATCAATTTTTGCAACACTGTTCAATGTTGCTAGCCGTGTTTTTGTTTACATCGCTATGAAACCTCAATTTGAAGTTCTAACAGTGACCTCAAGCTGAATCAATGAAGTATAAACATTCTCACCTAATGGGAGTAGGTCTAGGTGGCCAAGAGTCATCCTGATTGTGTATGATGAGAGTATTGTATGAAGAGGAGGACACATCGAGTGAACTTCTATTACTGTTGCCTCCACCCACTGAATCCTTTAATGAGTTACGGTTACTACCGGTCACATTGTCCTGAAACAGATTGAATTTGAATAAATCATAAATGGTGGTTATTTTCCGAATAGGTTTTAAAATTACACTTGTACACAGAAACATTACAATAAACTAGATAAGTCATTGGAGGTGACCTATACCCTAAGATATATATTGAAACAAGGAACATAATAATGAGAATCATCCTTACTATCCTTACTAATATTATAAATCAGAAAGTTAGTTTGTTTGTTTGTTCAGCTTTCACGCCGTAACTACTTAACCGATTGCTTTGAATTTTTGCAGATGTGCAGATTAAATAATAGGGTACTTTTTATCCCGGAAAAATTGATATTCCCGAGGGAAAACAAAAGTATTAGATGGCGCTGTGTGTATTGGTATATGTCACATAGGCTACTTGTTATCCTTTTCTGACGTGAGCGAAGCTGAGGGTAAAAGCTAGTTAAAAATAACTTTAACTACCATTTGCATTTTCTGTTAGTTTGGGTGAAAATTCCTGCGGCATTCCACCTTATGTATGTACATTACATACCTAAGGCATATTAAATAAAACATAATCAGACCTTTAGAGAATTCCTGTTATTGTTATTCGGTTGAGTCTGGTTCTCCTGTCCCTGGGGCTCAACCCTAGCTGTATGCCGCACAACATAGCGCTCCTCTCGAGACAAATTCTCATTAGATGTTGACACATCCGTCTCACTCCCTGATAGACTTTGTGGAAATCCACTTGGCACTAGAATTAAACAAAGTAATAAGAAAGTCTTTATTTAGGTATGTTTTATTACTTTCAGAATTATTTAAATTATGTAATTACCTATTAGTTTTGTCTTCAATAACAATGTATATGGCTAATTTAATAACCCACTAAGTGTAATGAGGACACATTTTCACAATAGAAATATTATTACGAAAATTAATGTCACAATTTGACACAGCTAATCTGTATTAGCATGTGCAAAAACAAACAAGGACATGTACAACTATGATTCATAACATAGGTATGTGTTCAAGTTTATTGACAAGTTAATGTTGCACACTTACCAGCTTGTTTCTGTGTACGTTGAATGTTGTTCGCAAACGATAGGAACCTTCCTGTCGGTCGCATGGACCCCATATTGCTATCGTAATGACCTGACTAATTTCAATATGAAACCATCTCACACCACACACCAACAACACTCGCTCACTCCTGTATGTTATGCGTATAGCATCTGGAAGTAAGATAAGTTACTCATGTTTATTGATACAGCAGAATCTCATAGAAATAGAACACAATAAAAATCATAAGGTATTGAGGATATGTCGAGTTTCAACATCTACACTTGCTTTCCGTATGAAAAAATGAGAGCTATGGATTGGATTGTATAAAATACTATCACACAAACACTTACAACTTAATAGGAGATACTATAGATTACGAAAAAATTAAAAATATTTTTGCACAAGCTTGAAAGCTTTTGATGGATGGGGTCAGCTGTCAAAATTGAGAATACCATGTCAAAAACAAAATCAAACACGAAAAATTGCCACACAAAAAATAAATAGGCACAAAGCTAAAACTTGGCTAAGCTAAAACAATGATTTGATTTATCATATCAACTTAGGTAACGATGAAATTAATAATATTACTGTCAGTTGTTTAAATAGGACATAGGTATTATTACTATTATTTAGAAACCATAATTTTAGAACTGAATAGTCATAGTAAGATCGAGCACATCCCTCAGGAGCAAAACAATACCATACTGTCAATGTCATTTTTTTTACAAATTGTCAGTCAAAAAAGTATAAAATTGAAAAAAATAGAAAAGTACAATTAGTTGTGAAAACTATTTGAAGGAAATACGTAAAACAATATTCATCAGATTATTTCAATTAGTTATTTAATCATCAACTAAGTAAATTATTGTTATAGAAAATGTTGTCACGAGTAATTCGTCGCTCGCTTCCGTCATCTATTCAAATACGGCGGACGGCGGGAACTACAAATCTGAGAAAATATTTAACAACCTTTCATGTCCGCCGTAAGTACTTAAAAAACTGTATATTTTACATGCGAGAAAAGGCATTTTGTTAGCAGCGACCACTTATAGGCTGTTGATGCGTGATGTGTGTGATACACAGAGTGAAAATGCACAATTATCCTACAAGTTATACTAAATTTTAGAACGAGTGAATTGCTTCTTTTTAAGTATAGTATTCCTTTTATAATTTTAGATGCTCCTCCAGTAACCCACATTCCTATTATCAATAATTCGGTTCGATCAAACTCAGTACAAGTAAATCTTGACGATTCGACAGCTGACTATGATTATGTAAAGAATGCCACTAGAAATACTGGTATTTTAATTGTTGATGTTCGAGAGCCAGACGAAGTTAAGGAACATGGCAAGATACCCAATAGTGTAAACATCCCATGTAAGTACTTGTTGCTATTCCCCTCTGGTTTTAAGTAAAGAGAGTTAAGTTTTCACTATATAAATTAACCCTTAACTTTCTGTACCTAATATCAGTGTTGTAATTTATATAAACTTAACTAAGTAATCTATGTTCTACACCAAAAATAAATAAATGTGGTCCAAAATATCACCATACTCATGCCAGTCACTACTAGATACGAGAAAGTAGATTTAATTAATTACTTTTAAAGGTTTTTTTTTGTTGCTTCTGCAATTTCAGTGGGCAATGTATCAGATGTACTAGGAACAATGTCTGAGAAAGATTTCCAGGACACATACCAAAGGGCCAAGCCTGCTGAGAATACAGAGATCATATTCTATTGCATGATCGGCAAGAGGTCTGCTAAGGCACAACAGAATGCTATCAATTTGGGATATAAAAAGTAAGTTAACTACACTTGGGAGCATAGAGCCACTTTTTCATTTTATCACATCTTTAATTTTAATAAAAAATATTCCTTTTACAACAAAATGCACTCATTTTAAAGGTAACTAAATTGCCTTTTATACGACATACATCCTTACTCCCTTATCCTTACTTCCTTATTCCTTACTTTTCCTTACTTATATCCTTATCCTTACTTATATTATAAATCAGAAAGTGTGTTTGTTTATTTGTTCCACTTTAACGCCATAACTACTAAACCGATTGCTTTGAATTTTTGCAGATGTATAGTTAGAATAATAATAGGGTACTTTTTATCTCGGAAAAATGTGATATTCCCGAGGGAAAACAAAAGTATTGGTATAAATGGCGCTGTGTGTATTGGTATATGTCACATTGGCTTTTTATCCTTTTGTGACGCGAGCGAAGCCGGGAGTAAAAGCTAGTTATTAATAAAGTACTCCTACTAATTAATATTTACAAAAAAATTAGAAAGAAAAAACGCTAGCGTTCTTCCCTTTTTTTTGCATACAAGTGTATTATGATTTTTCTATTTTCAGTTTCATATAAATATTCTAAAACCACTTAAATCCTGTTCATAGCTAGCCATGTTTCCATGGAACAGTTTAACAAACTTATAATTGTATTTTTTTTATATTTCAGCACAAAGAATTATCTTGGCAGTTGGAATGACTGGGCAAGCAAAACTCAATAAATTCGTATTTTTATCTACAATGATCGGAATGTCCTCGCATCTGTCTGCAAAAACGATTGTCTTAGTAAAATATATATTATGATGTTTTGTAGTTGTCTTGTTAATAAATAATTCTCATTTATTTCACTGAGTTTGTTATCTGTTATTTGTTTGTGTTTTTTTTATCATTACCAGAACCGCAATAGTGGTTTAAAAAGATAAGATACTGTGACAGTGGTTAACATTATCTACACATACTTAATTTTATTTACAAAATTGATTTTAACTTGGTTTTTATTTTTCTGTACCGATTTTAATGACAGTAAAAAAAAACAATTTGTCAGTAAAAACGAAAGCACCATTTTATTACACATCACATTTATTAAAAATCACATTGTATATTTTATACAACTGCAACTGCGTCAATGAAGTTTGCTTTTCTTTGACCACTCTGTCCAGCTTCCCAAATAATTTTTAGAGCTGTGAATAAAAAATAAAAATCATTGAAAATACACTTATCTTACTAATATTATAAGTGCGAAAGTTAAGTAAGGAATTAGATATTGCGTAAATATAAAATTAAATACAGCAATATAATTTGAGATGGATCATTAAACTGCCTCGTTGGCCGAATGGTGGATCGTTGGGCGACTGCCGGGCAACTCGGGTTACATTCCCGGGTAGGGCAAAGTATTACTGGGTTTTAAAAAAATCTCCATAGTAGCACAGACTCCAGAGTCTGTGCTACTATGACAGTTCCAGAACTGTGGCCGGTACATGGCAATAGGCTCACCCTCTATTACATGGGACTCATAACATAAATAGTAAAAAGTGGGTGTTACATTGTAAAGTGGCATTAAATGCCATAATGTACATCTCTGCCTATCCCCTTCGGGGATAAAAAGGCGTGATGTTATGACTTATGCTATGGATCATTAAATTTTGACTTTTTTCTTTTTACCAAATTGTTCATGTATATGAAAACTGCATGTATATTGACTTCTTGGGCAATGTACTGCAACATTGCCCAAGAAGTCAATAATCTCTTATCGAAACACTTCATAGCCCAGTCATTTTAGGGGTTTACCTCGGAATGAAAGATAATAAGCTACAAATTGGTATAAACCTTTGTTTTGTCGTTCTAATTGTTGTCTCAAAAGTCACAAATGATACCGCGTCCGCGTCTTAAGATATTGAAGGTCAAAGGTCATAAAAATTGGTTTTTCGCGAATATCTCGCTTTCTATTGCTTAAATGATATTTTTACATATGATAAAAGTTGTAGAGTATAAAATTCTCTACAATTTTTGTTTCATGTTTTTTTTAATACGATCAACCGTTTTTGAGGAGTAGAGCGCGAAGAGTGCGCTGCGCACAGTCATGCAAGGTCAAAGCGTGAGTTACGGTTATCAGTACGTTATGTATTGTCATCATCCTCATTATCGGTCATATTTATCTCCAAACCCTCCAGAATTTCAGGATCGTATGCGTTTTCTTCATCGGGATTACTTGGATATTGTGCAGCGTTCAGGCAAGCTTGTCCTTTGCACTGGCCACAAGCTAAAGAACATGGTAGCCCTGATTTTCGGCATCCACAGCGGGAACCACAACCATTTTTGCAATTGCAAAATATTATATTTAGTAGTTCGGTTGGTGCTGGAGGTAATAACGTTCTTATAGGATTCCATTTTCAAGCATCCAGTCTCATTCTTAAGGTTCTAAGTAATTCCCTAACCACGTTTGAATCTGGTAGTAGACGCTTTTATATGTTGATGAGCTGCTACACTTGTTGGTGGAAGTGTTGACAATGGTACAAGTTTATTTATTTTCGTTAATTTAATGAATTGCGTGTAGCGAAAATGATCAGTGTTGTCCTCAGATTTTGGAGCATTATATAATGCCAACAAGATGCGCACTCCATTTCCAAATAATGTTTGTACCGGGCAATTTTCTTGTTGAAATACTTCCACCACCAAATTGAGAAATTTCTCCAATGCTCTAGTAACAGTTTTTTTTCTTTTTTAAATAGCGCAGAAGTCGTGTCACAGCCACTAAATGCGTGTAAAAATGTGATTGAGTAGGCCCAATTAAAATAACGAGCAAATCAATTAATACAATAGAACATCTGCCCCGGCTATAAATAGAAAAGGTCTAGAATAGGGTAGGGACAAGTATATCCAGGTATATGTATAAGTATTAAAAAATTTACACGTTTTGAAGAAAACGTGTGTAATGACGTTTTAACTAAAAATATATATTCCAGAATTAATAATATACTATAGTTGAATAAATGTAAATAATTAAGTTACTGATTTTAATAAATATCAACAATTAATAATTAGTACATAAATAATGGCCATTGTTTAATCATTATAATAATTTAATAAATAATACTTTAATAAGACTTTACATAACGTACTGATAACCATAACTCACGCTTGACCTTGCATTGGACCATACATTATATTTTTATTACTTCCACTGTCACATCTTGATTGTCTTTTTTTTATTTTATTTATGCTGCATCGTGCCTGGTGCTGAATAAATGTTTTTTCTTTCTTTCTTTCTTTCATGACTGTGCGCAGCGCACTCTTCGCGCTCTACCTCAAAAACGGTTGATCGTATTAAAAAAAACATGAAACAAAATTGTAGAGAATTTTATACTCTACAACTTTTATCATATGTAAAAATATCATTTAAGCAATAGAAAGCGAGATATTCGCGAAAAACCAATTTTTATGACCTTTGACCTTCAATATCTTAAGACGCGGACGCGGTATCATTTGTGACTTTTGAGACAACAATTAGAACGACAAAACAAAGGTTTATACCAATTTGTAGCTTATTATCTTTCATTCCGAGGTTGACCCCTTTTTTTACCTAATATGACTGGGCTATCATTAAATCATCCTTTTGTCAAGCTTACTATTTGTTAAGGCTATAATAAACATTATGAACTTAATTTCTTTTTTTAGTGATTATATAATTACTTTTTTTAATATTTATTTTGCAGCCCCATGATAGATTATACGCATAATCTTGCACTGTACATACATTGTGTCAGGAAGTGAAAAATAATTTATACCTAACAACACTAAGTTCAGAATATAAATTTTTGACTTCAGGATCGCACTATTGAAAATTTACTTATATATATGCTCTTAAATTTAAACCTAAATACTCTATTGATATTGAAAAACGTATTGTATTGCAAACGATCTACCAAGGCAAACCCACATTAATCAGTATAATTTAAACAAACTGACTGCCTCGTTGGCCGAGTGCACGCAAATGCGACTGCTGGGCAAGGGGTTTTGGGTTCGATTCCCGGGTCAGACAAAAAAAAGTTTTTTTAAAAAAACTCAGTAGTACTACAGGGTTTAAAAAAAAATTCTCAGTAGTAGCACGGAGTCTGGAATTGTGCCCGGTATATGGCATACCCCCTGTTACATGGGACTCATAACATAAATAGTGAGAAAGTGGGTGTTACATTGTACCGTGGCATAAGTGCCGTAAAGTGCACCTCTGCCTACCCCTTCGGGGATAAAAGGCGTGATGTTATGTTATGTTATTTAATCAAAATACATACTTCACATAACCAAGCTTCAGGGCTTGGTTTAGAGCTATAGTAGAGCGTCTTCCAGTCTTACAATAGAAGATGAGCTCATCAGACAACGCTGGCTTTTCACGGCAATACAGGCATCTGAAGTCTTCTTCTGACATGCAATCCAAGGCTTCATGTACTGATTTCACTGCAACAATATTATGTAAAATTATTAATATAAATATTATAAAGTCATCAGGTATAACACATTGCGAGAATTTGAGCATTAATCACCAAGCTTGCTCAATGCGAGTTGGCAATTTCAAAATTTTTTGGAAATGTTATTTATTCAGCTCAAAAAATAGTTGTCACTATTTATTATTAATTCATTTATTATGGAATATAACTACTAAATATGGAACTCTACAACCTCTAAGAATGCACTGCACTGTCTGTTTCTTTCATACAATGAAAACATTGTCACTTTTTCCTTCTTTAACAATTACCTACTCACAGAACTATGTTTCATCATATTAACATCAACATCATCACCATCAACAGCCTATAAGTGGGCACTACTGACCAAAGGTGTCTATTCACACGGGGAAGGTTTAAGCATTATTCACTACACTTGATCAATGCAGGTTGGCGATTTAAAACTTATAATTAGAACGCTTATAATTGTAAGCCTAGGTTTCCTTGCGATGTTTTCCTTCACCGTTTGTCAGTGGTGTCTAAATGATATTAGAAAATACATATAACTCGGAAAAAGTCACATTCACATTGGTACTTGCCATTAATAGGTTTCGAACCCGCACTCTTAAGCATGAGAAGCGGGCGTCTTAAGCCTCTGGGCCACCACATATACTTCATAACAGGTCAAGAGATATACAGAATTTATTGATTTTATATTGGTAATCAATTTTGTATTGTAGATAGAAACGAAAGTTGTGTTGATTATGGATGTAGATAAAAATCAACCAATTATTTATTTTTTGATATAAATTAAGATAAAAATTTATATCAAAATGGTGCATAAAGAAATAAGTATTGTAATGGTATTTAAATAATTACATGGTATATTGATGCTGGATGGTATCTGGCCAGTGCTCTGTATTTCTTCGGGTTCCCTGACATCAATGATCATCTTCTCTGGCTGGTAAATAATTTTCAACATGTCATCATAACTCACTACTCTTTTTGGGTCTACCATAGTTGATTCCAAAGTTTCCTTCTCCGAGTATGTTCTTTTCGTATATAGAATGTCTGTAAAAGTAAAAACTTTTAAATATTTTTACTCGTGAATACTGGTTTAGACAATCCAACTCATAACTAGAGTGCCAATACAAGTGCAGTGATTCCCCATTTAAATACTTCTTTATTTCAATTTTTTTATTGTACATTAACGAAGATGATAACATTGTTTACTATAATTAACCTTTCCATGTAACAAACCTGAGCTAGTAATGGCACAATAATCACATTTGACTACTTTGAGTTGAATCAATGTTAAAAGTTATTACAAAAGTAGATTAGCCACAACAAAAAGATAATGAACAATTATTCTCTACACTATAGTCTAAAGAATGGTTATACACAACTTGTGAAGACAATTTATACAAACGTATGGTCACATTAAGCAATGGAAAAAAGCGCAAAATTTATGTTTACTACCTGATAAAATTACTGAGTGATGTATTATCGTAAATCTAAATCGCTGTAGTACTAGTGCAGCGTGCAAATACCACGTGATGAATGAAGCATTGTTAAAATAATAGTAAACAACATAACAAAGGATATTGAATTCATGAAAGTAATGTTAAGTGTTGTGTTACAAGATGATATCATATTTTTAAATAACGTACACTTTCGTTCGAACAGAAGACATGCATTTAACTGTGACTTCATTGTTGTTATTATGGGGCGTAATGAATAATGAAAAGACAACATAGTGAATTGTGTAGGTACAACCACTTAGGTTTTCAAAAATACAATCTTCATCCACCGCCTAAAAAATGTATGCAAATTAGAAAATGTATGCAAATCAGAAAATCACTTTCAATAAAATTGGTCTGGAATTTCAATTATTTACAATATTTACCTTGTACTATGACAGAGTCGCACTGTAAAATGTTATTTTACAAGTATGACGCCAATTAAGTACATACAGAGGCTTTTATTTATTTACTGTTTGTCAGGCTGACAGCGGAAGGGAGGGACGCGGGACGGGGGAAAACTATGACTTGAGGAAATTCTATTTACCGTCCTCATTCATAATTATGCCTACCATAGATTTATTAGCGATTTGTAGATCACATGAAGCTCCATACGGGAATCAAACCTGATATAGGTATGCTGCACAAGAGCCAGTCACCCATTCCTACGATTCAAATTCAACAACCGTGCATGCAGACACAGCAAAAAAGGAGGGTACGTAACTCTTTTCCTGTCATAGCATACCTACCCGAAGTACTGAGAAGTCTCTTTCACAACAGCGTTTACATGTCGTGGGATGGTTTTCAGCTTTCAACTACTTTCACATCCATATTCATGGAAATTATTACCAGACCCAACCAAACTCATTTTCAGTAGGTAAGTACCTGCTGCCACTGCCAAAGTTTAATAATAATGTCAAAGTCTAAAAAGTTTATTATGAACGTTATCAAAATATTGTTTATGGATATTTCTTCGAAAAACTAACTATTATTTTTTAAGAATCCTTAATACTATCCTACTTATGCATAATAATAATGCATAAGTAGGATTGCACCACCACAGTGGTTGTGCTGAATGTTACGCAACGGGTTGCGAGTTCGTTTCCCGCATTGATTTTATGCAAGAATTTTGTATTGATTCATGTGGCTTTATCACTATAATTATGCTATACTTTGGTATGCCATCATCATTCGATCTATGGGTGATCATAGTTTGCCGCGCGGAACAACTAAGGATAAGGACACACGGCGCGATCTTTTCCCGCTCCCCCCGAGGTAGCGGAATGGAGGCGGAATTTTCAAAACTCACGAGCAGTTTTCAGCGATCCCGCAGCCGCCCAGGTTGCAATTGTCACCCGCAAACTTGGGGGTATATTATCGCAAGACGGGCGTACGGTTAAAGAATCGGAAATTACAGTTATTAATAACTGGCTACTTCCGCGCGGTTTCACTCGCTCGGTGCCTATTAATCGTAGCGTGATATTTTATAGCCTATAGCCTTCCTCGATAAATTGGCTATCCAACACAGAAAGAATTTTTCAATTCGGACCAGTAGTTTCGGAGATTAGCGCGTTCAAACAAACAAACTAAAAAACAAACCCTTCAGCTTTATAATATTCGTATAGATTAGTTGAATTATAGACCGGCCGTCCCATTGCGATCGCAGAAGCTCGTTCTGCGATCTGTCGCGGGGGGACAGTTACACGCCGATGCAGCGGGATCCGCAAACAATCACAACCGCCGCGGGTGTAAAACGCGCAGTGAAAATTGTTTTGATTTTTAACCGACTTCTATACATTCATGCTGCATCAGTATGCTACAAAGCTTGCGGGCCCGCAACCGTGGCGAGCGCGGGAGAAGATCGCGCCGTGTATCGTTAGCCTATCAGTCTTTAGGTGATCCACAAATTGTTATTCCGCGTCTGCTGAATGTGATATGTCGTGTACTTATATAACTCTGTATTGTATAAACGCGTATGTTTATAAACGCAACGCATCCACGACCACGACACAGAAAAAATCATAGGTGTGAGGCAAAGTAAAAAAAAAGATTTTAAGTTTGTATGGAAACCACTAAAAACTTAAAGTAATGTTCTTTCTCTAAGCTCATTTTCGGAAATGATATAATTTTTATCGAATATAAATATGAATATAACCTAATAAAGAATATGGACCAAGTTCCAATAAAATTGGCTTGAAAATCAGTTTACCAGTTACCATGAATTTGGACTTGTTTGCATGAAAACCCCTGCCACGTGAATGCTTTGATTTCGTATTTATAGTCTGTGGAATCCGCCATTTTGACTTTGACAACCAATGTTGACAATACTAGAGATGCTATCTGTTTCACTCATACTTTTTATAATCAAATGGTGTGCATTAAATAAAATCGATAAAAAATAAAATATATTTCTTAATCGAATTTCCTATTTTATGGAAAAAAATCTATTGTGTTGAGAAAATTATTATTATATTTTTTACCTTTAAGCGACGTAACATAACACCTTTTTTTAACTCGAAGGAGCCGATAGAGGTCCTTAAATTTTATAATTCAGTTGTGCAAGTTATATTTTTTGTGAGTTGTATTACGAGTACTGTATACAATAATCAATTATTGAGAAGTTTTGAAAACCAGAAGTGTCAGTAATATTTATTTTTTAATATATTTCTCTAAACATTACGTAGAATCGCACTCGAAAATTTTGTCTGTCGTCTTCTTTATGTACTGTTTTGTACCAATGGGCTGAATTAGGCTGGATGACCATTACGTATACATAAAAACACTTTAAATGTTGAAATATTTTTATTTAGAATTAATGTATAAGTTTTACAAAAATAATCCCTTTCACCATTCTGATAATGTACTTGGCACGTTTTTCAAACTAGTTAAAAAAGTTCATTGATGATCTCTTAATTTCAGTCTTCTCTAAGTGATGTAGAGTAATTTTTTGGATAGAACAGAAAGATCACAAAATTAGTAATTAGATTATATTTTACAATTTCACTGTGGTAAACTTATGTTAGAATGATTTAATTTAATTTGTAAAGCAAAATACCTGTGAGTTTTATTTACGCAGGTGTTAAATAATAATTGTAAAAAAGAGTATTTTAAACGATATTTTAAAGAGTAAATCCAAATGACTTAGTGTCCTAACGATTAAGTGAATTCGCTTAATCTAGGCACATACATATTAAAGGTAATATGTTCTTGTAAACAATAACTTTTATAAATGTAACATTAAAAAATAATTTTTAACTGAAATAATTATTGTCATTTACGAACTTCCAGTGTATAACTACTGATTGTGATTTTAAACTACTACATAAAAATTGCAGTGATTTATTGATGTACTCTGGTTCTCCTGTACTGCCACTAACTGCAAAAATTAATTTTTCGCCACTTTTTCAAAGTACTTTTTCTTTTCATCTGGGTTGGGTATAATCTGTAAATAATTAATTAAAAATATTATAAACATTTGTTATGAAATGAGTTATCATCGAACACTCAAAGTATCGATCAATAACTGCAGATAATTATGTTATCTCGACTTATCAATTAATTTTCTGATAGGTACACACCGTATCTTGGCCTGGTTTCCACCCTGCAGGACACACTTCACCGTGCTTATCAGTATACTGGAATGCTTGTACAAGTCTTAAAGTTTCATCAACTGATCTTCCAACTGGTAAATCATTCATAGTAATCTGCCTCAAAACACCCTTATCATCAATAATGAACAGGCCTCTCAAAGTGTGGCCTACGTCCTCTAGGTAAACACCATAGTCCTTGGCAATCGAGTGAGTTAAGTCGCTCAATAGCGGAATATTAATTTTTCCCAGACCCCCTTCTCTGCGTGGGGTGTTTATCCAAGCAAGATGAGTAAAATGAGAATCAACCGAACATGCTACAACTTCTGTGTTTATTTTTCTAAATTCGTCAACTCTTTCAGAAAACGCCAAGATTTCTGTAGGGCAAACAAAAGTGCTGAAAATGAAACGAATATTAGTTTTATTTATTGACTTTAAAAAGAAATGGTTATGTTATGTTTAATAGGATATTACTTACAAATCTAGAGGATAGAAGAAAAATACTAAATATTTCCCTCTGAAGCTTGATAATGAAGCTGTGTAATTTCTCCATTGACAACTGCAGTAGCTTCCCATTCCGGTGCCGGCTTAGAAACTAAAAATTGATGGAAAATAAATTTATAGCAATAAATTATGCCACCAGCTTTTAATTATGCGTTTGTTTAGTATTTTCATACTTGTACTTACTCATAGCCTTAGTGAATTGTAATTTGTGATCAATTTTTCTTGCACCACCAGGGAAAACATTGCCGCTTCCAAAAGAATAACAAGAGTCACTTTCGAATAATGAAGATTTACATGAATTACTAAATGTTAACACTAATATAATTGATACTAATATGTATTTCATTGTTTTTGATTTATAATTGCCGTATCAAATGCGAATTACTGTATGCTTTGACACGTATCGTAGACACCCACCAGCAAATAACTTCAAACAAATCAGTGAGTGAAGTTCACACAAGTCAAGCAACTTTACACTGTTTATTGTAATGTGTAGCATACACGCACACATTCATACGATAAATAATAATATCAAAGCAAAGAAAACACGTAAGCAAGTTGCGCTGTGTGCGTTCCGTTTTCAGCATACTTAAGAACATAATATATCAGTTTTATTTTTTTTTGCCTTGAATATTAAATAGAGTGCTATTAAATTAATAATAGAAAATATTATTTTTAAATAATTATAACAAAATATAAATACGTATAATTTGAAAATTTGGAAATCGATTTAATCATTCGATTTCATCGATTCAAACTCTATAAAGTTAGTTTATTTGGGTAACATCACTATTATGCGCTTCGTTTCGTTCGCGTTTCAGCGAGTCGTATAATTTTTCTGTTTTTGTGTTTTCAATGTAATTTTAAATAGAAAAATGATTTTATTACCATCTTTAAGTTTTCTTTACTGAATTTGACAAGTTTTGAGTCCATCGCAGTGTGTTGCGGTAAGTTTAGAAGTTTAGTTTATAATACACTTGTCGTTCTCGTTCATTATGGCGGTCTCATTATTTCGTTTCGATGCTAGTTGTAAATAATTTCGTCATAACCACAAAACATTAGTGTATTCAAGTGTATTGGTTATACAAAATCGACTTATGCAAAATTTTAGATGGACGTGCAGGACGATACAGTTTTGGACGTCGATTTGCTAGCTGACGATGGATCTGAAGAAGAAGGCGAAGCCCCGCCGTCGTCAGGTATAAAGTTTATCTTATTTACATTTATTTGTATAATTATTTATCGAATAACACCTTTAAGTCTTCATTATGCGTATCACGTGGCCCTAATAAACATTTGGTTTGTTTGTTTAGTACACTTCTGTGTTAGCTGATAGTCCATTTTCAATATACTATATGCAAAAAACCTTCAATAATCCTACCGAATTCATTCATGTGTATGACACGAATATAATTGTAGTATTATTAAAATATACAGATAGAAAAAATGTAAAGAAATTCTTAGATTTCTACACAGGGCCAGGGTCAACACCAACTTCATGTGCATCATCGCCGCGGGGTGAGGAACCTGCTTCTCCCCACGGTGGTGTATCACAGCCTGCGTTTTTCCACCATCAAACCTATACCCGGCCATTCTTCTCATCTGGCCGTAGGGGACCAGGACGACCACGGAAGGAGGGGCCAAAACTGGTACGAGAAGGAAAGATAGTCAGAAGGTAATTAGGTTTATCCACTAACATGGTCATGTACCTGATTCATATTCATACAGTAGAAAATTTTATGTTCCTCATTTAACACGTTCGAGGACGCTACCACTTGAGTCGGGTTTTCAAAATGACACAGTACATGTCTATACAAAATTATACGACGTATCAGTACGTAGTGTCCCATGAAGAAATATCGTTTTAAACATATCATGACACAATCGTTTTATCACGTCAACGTGTATATGCATCTAGGTAAGGATCCGCCTCGTTGGAGATGTCGGAATCATCAAACATGCTTATCTTGTGTCTTATTTTGCGCTTATATCCATCTAAAACACACAATTACCCATTAAACATCAATTTCACGCTGTAAAATCATTAATTTGCATTAAAGTAATGTACACAGTGACACAGCCGCGCTGAATGTAGGAGCGCGGGACGTATAAACACGTTGTGCGTATGTGAATACCGTAACCGCACACTATCAACGACACTTATTTTAAATAGTTCTAAACTTACCCTACGTGACAGTACAGAGTTGGGTATTTTATATGTTGTGACACAAGATACATTTAAAAGGATTTTTACTTGAACTTTCATCGGAAATGAACGTTCTGCCGTATAATTTAAATGTTATTTGAACGTCATCGTACGTTGTGCGATATTAAAATCTCGAACGATGACGTATAATCTCGTTCTGTCCTCGAACGTGTTAAGCAAATGAAAATTTTTTTTTTTTTGCCATTTAAATGTATATTGTTTATAAACATAGGTCATAATTTTAATTTTTAATAGTCATTGATTAATTAAATTAACTCATTGGTAATAAATCAATGGTAGAGAACAAAATCACCAACTTTCAACTTTATAACTTATAAAAATGTAACATAAGCGATTCTTTCTCTTAGCACTCATCAACTCGACCAATTTAAGTTCAAGAAACGAATATCCATACTAGTGAACCTAAGCAAGGTGTACTTAACTGTAATGTGATTGCATGTAAACTAAGTTCTCAATGTTCATAATATGATAAAACTAATATGCCATCATAAAGTTATACAATTATTTTCTTCAAATGATAACTTTTGTTATTGATAGTTTTATAGTTAAATTTTTTTACACTTCTACTGCTTTATAATTCTTAATAGTGAAGTAATATTAGGAAAAAATTAAGTAATAGATCTCTATTCAAAATTCACTACTAGGTACAGAGGAGGCAATGCTGGTTCTGTCAGAGGAGCTAAGAGACACAGAGGGAGCCGAGATGATTCTCTTGAAGATATGATGGATGATGATGACTTCCCCACACCACCTATACCTGAAGAACCACCTTACATGCCAGAGAAGTGGTATGTCACACAATTAATATCTTAATATTTTACTATTTTTCATGTAGTCTTCTCAAAAATTAAAGAAACATTACTATCTTTACAGGCCAGGAAAACTATGCGCACTTTGCAACCTGAGTGAGCGTAGTCAGTTGGGGCAGGGTGAGATGCGACAGATAATGTGTAAGCTCGGAGAGGGTGATGGAAGTAGCACTCCGGCAATATGTAATTCTGGTGGAGCCACTCCCACCAACCCTCCCACACCATCCAGTACCCCCAGCACCCCCGTGACGCCCGGCCTGGTTTCACCGCCGCCAGAACTTGTGGATCCCAATCAGCACCCACTTGCGATGCCTTTGAGTAGACGTCAAAAAGCATTTAACAAGTGCAAGTAAGTTTTTTATTTCCTGAAGTTTCTAATTGATTTATCAGTAAGATATTGTTCAAGTATGACCAACTGTAGTGATACAACTAGGAAGTAGGTTGAGATAAAATACTGACTCATTGTATGAAACGAGCCCCCAACTCATTATATTGACTACGTATCAAGATATATTGACTAAGTTGGTAATGTTTATTTATTTATTTATTTATTTTACACTTCATGTAGGTATACAAAGGCGGACTTAATGCCTAGTGGCATTCTCTAACAGTCAACCTTAATGTTGTAATTTTGTTGTTATTTCCACAGGACTCCTTTGTACAACATGGAACATACTGATGAATTGTCCATTATTGGTTACACGGAGGTTATGGAATTATCAGGGGTAGTTTCATCTGGAGCGCTGTATGTACACCGGTGTTGCCTTGAGTTTAGCCCACCATTCCAGGATCATGTGTTTGCAGCCTCCAATTCTGAAGAAGACAAAGATCAGTTAGAGGAAGCCAGGGTCAAGGGGATTGTGACAGCTGCCCTGTCAAGGAAATGTGCCTTTTGCAGCAGACATGGAGCAAGCATACCTTGTAAAGTGAGTTATTAGCTTTGATTAACATGATGTTACTGCCAAGTAATTGCAGTGATGACACATTGTTTTATTATTTGTTGTTACAGATGAGTTGCAGCAAATATTTTCATCTACCATGTGTGCTTGCTTCCGGAGGATTCATTGACTTCCAGACCAAATCCTCCTTTTGCAAGGACCATCTTTATCAAGTGCCTCTTATTTGTAAGTTGAATGTGTGTGAATATTAAAAATAAGACTCTATTGTAGAGATTTTACATGGTTTTTTATAGCAAGAAGTTATTTTGCAGGTACAGCAGATATAGACTGTAGGACTTGTAGAACTATCGGTGATATCGCTAACTTGATGACGTGCGTCACTTGCGGCGCTCACTACCACGGCACATGCGTTGGACTCGCGCAGCTGCCAGGTATGTACCCATATAAAATAGAATTTTATATATTTAAAGGATTATTTATCTTCTTTTTGTTCTTCTTACCCTTGTTCCAAGTTACTTGCAGTTCTCACAAACTACCCATCTTTAGGGTGAAATTTTTGATTCCCATGAAAGATTGTTATGAATACGTATTAGTTTGCCTTGAGAGTTTTTATTTCGGTATAACATGGCAGTGTTTGTGCAGGTGTCCGGTCTGGTTGGTCGTGTCGGTCGTGTCGCGTGTGCCAGGTATGTCGCGGCGAGGCAGGCGCGGGGCTGCAGCCGCCCGGCCACGAGGCGCGCGCTGTCACCTGCGAGCATTGCGACAAGCTCTACCACGCCACCTGTCTCCGCCCTGTCATGGCCACCGTGCCTAAGTACGGGTGGAAATGTAAGGTCAGTGTTCTCATTGATTTCCTACTACAGGAATTGATTAAAATGTCTATCATTACAAAGAGCATAATTATTTTTGCGACCTGTGGTTAGTACTAGTTCAGTCTATTTTTTGATACATCACCAGTCATCATAACATTGTCCTCCTATTTTCCGTGTCTTCTTTGATTGACGGGGTACGTATGCGCAGTGCTGCCGGGTATGCTCTGACTGCGGGTCCCGGTCACCGGGCGCGGGCCCGTCGTCCCGCTGGCACGCGCACTACACGGTGTGCGACTCGTGCTACCAGCAGCGCAACAAGGGCTCGTGTTGCCCGCTGTGTCGCCGCGCATACCGCGCCGCCGCCTACCGGGACATGATACGCTGCATACTCTGCAAGAGGTACGACCATAATGTACTCGCATTACAACTCCACTACAACATTATTTTTACTTTTTTAGTCTTTATACTCCTCACCTAGTCTAAGAAGAAAAATAAATTTTTCTCCTTGAAATTAACGTTTTAGTTTGACTAAAGTAGCTTAATTTAAGTAAATGCTATATATAATAATTGCCGATGAATTGATTTAGATTTTTTTCAAAACAGATCTTATTTTTTGTAAATTGACAATATTTATAGTGGAATTATTTTATATAGATACGTACACGGAATGTGTGACCCCGACGCGGAACCACAACAGTATCGACAAAAGAAAGAACAAAATCCATCGTACGAGTACAGCTGTCCTATTTGCAAAGCTCAGATGCAACTGACTGGCTCCAAGACAGCACGTAAGTATCAAACATAAAACGTTACTATTTTACAACAGACAAAGTGTGGTCATTTATACTATGTTTTGTTGTCAGCTTTCGACGATGATACTGTTGCGTCAACGTCCCAAGACTCGTCATTCGGCGATGAGAACTCTCAGACTGAGCAAGATCCTCTTGCTATAGAACCTAAGGTAAATTTCTTGGTATTTATTAATAATTATAAGTATTAATAATCACATTAATTATACAAAAAACCAAGTAATAACTTCACTAAATCAACAGATGAATTTACATATTTTTTTGATGCAAAAAACTAAATTTATTTGTTTCTTCTAGCCTGATGTTGGTCTTGGGAAAGGTAAACCATTCACAGTCTCAGCAAAAGTGGCAAAGAAGAAGATCGGTGGTTACAAACTGAAGGGGGGTTTCCCTCCTGCGGGAAAACTAGGCTTCCAGAAGCGTCAAAGATCTGTTCTAGACTTTGGCAGGAAGAGGGGATCTAAACCAAAGATGAGAGGAGTGTTTGGAGTGCCAGGACTCGGGCTGCAGAGACCTCAAGCCCCTGATAACAAGGCACCTGAAGATGATCCTGGTGAGTAACTTCATGAAATTCGTTTGTTTTTTTTACTTCTATTCAACAAACTGTTTTCACAGAGACTAGGCTCTGTAGATTAGAAAAGTAATTTTATACACAAAGGTCACATAAAGATTTAAGTATTATATTCACTGTTATGTCAAGTAAAATTATGTCCCTTTTTGTATTTTAGGTGTGGAAAATAAATTAGTGCTATGTTCAAGCAAAGACAAGTTCGTCCTAACTCAAGATTTGTGTGTAATGTGCGGTGCAATTGGTACTGATTCTGAGGGATGCTTAATTGCATGCGCACAGTGCGGACAAACGTACCATCCGTATTGCGTCAATATTAAGGTAAGATTTTCAATAAGTTTGTTGGGGAGTCTTCTATTATTCTTGTCATCATTTGAAAATAATGTTTTTTTCTTACCTTTTTTTTCAAAATTATTGATCTATAAGTAAATATATGTCGTACATTGGTGGGTAAGGACATAGTTGTTTGGATATATGTCTCTGTTGTTCCGTTTCGTGAAAGTTAGTATTAGTGTATGAGAGGAAGGCCCCGAGTGAGCGTGTGTGTGCGTGCAGGTGTCGGCGGAGATAGTGCGCGCGGGGTGGCGCTGCCTGGACTGCACGGTGTGCGAGGGGTGCGGCGTAGGGCAAAGATATAGTGTCTGTGTGTGCGTGCAGGTGTCGGCGGAGATAGTGCGCGCGGGTGGCGCTGCCTGGACTGCACGGTGTGCGAGGGGTGCGGCGTAGGGCAAAGATATAGTGTCTGTGTGTGCGTGCAGGTGTCGGCGGAGATAGTGCGCGCGGGGTGGCGCTGCCTGGACTGCACGGTGTGCGAGGGGTGCGGCGTAGGGCAAAGATATAGTGTCTGTGTGTGCGTGCAGGTGTCGGCGGAGATAGTGCGCGCGGGGTGGCGCTGCCTGGACTGCACGGTGTGCGAGGGGTGCGGCGTAGGGCAAAGATATAGTGTCTGTGTGTGCGTGCAGGTGTCGGCGGAGATAGTGCGCGCGGGGTGGCGCTGCCTGGACTGCACGGTGTGCGAGGGGTGCGGCGTAGGGCAAAGATATAGTGTCTGTGTGTGCGTGCAGGTGTCGGCGGAGATAGTGCGCGCGGGGTGGCGCTGCCTGGACTGCACGGTGTGCGAGGGGTGCGGCGTAGGGCAAAGATATAGTGTCTGTGTGTGCGTGCAGGTGTCGGCGGAGATAGTGCGCGCGGGGTGGCGCTGCCTGGACTGCACGGTGTGCGAGGGGTGCGGCGTAGGGCAAAGATATAGTGTCTGTGTGTGCGTGCAGGTGTCGGCGGAGATAGTGCGCGCGGGGTGGCGCTGCCTGGACTGCACGGTGTGCGAGGGGTGCGGCGTAGGGCAAAGATATAGTGTCTGTGTGTGCGTGCAGGTGTCGGCGGAGATAGTGCGCGCGGGGTGGCGCTGCCTGGACTGCACGGTGTGCGAGGGGTGCGGCGTAGGGCAAAGATATAGTGTCTGTGTGTGCGTGCAGGTGTCGGCGGAGATAGTGCGCGCGGGGTGGCGCTGCCTGGACTGCACGGTGTGCGAGGGGTGCGGCGTAGGGCAAAGATATAGTGTCTGTGTGTGCGTGCAGGTGTCGGCGGAGATAGTGCGCGCGGGGTGGCGCTGCCTGGACTGCACGGTGTGCGAGGGGTGCGGCGTAGGGCAAAGATATAGTGTCTGTGTGTGCGTGCAGGTGTCGGCGGAGATAGTGCGCGCGGGGCGCTGCCTGGACTGCACGGTGTGCGAGGGGTGCGGCGTAGGGCAAAGATATAGTGTCTGTGTGTGCGTGCAGGTGTCGGCGGAGATAGTGCGCGCGGGGTGGCGCTGCCTGGACTGCACGGTGTGCGAGGGGTGCGGCGTAGGGCAAAGATATAGTGTCTGTGTGTGCGTGCAGGTGTCGGCGGAGATAGTGCGCGCGGGGTGGCGCTGCCTGGACTGCACGGTGTGCGAGGGTGCGGCGTAGGGCAAAGATATAGTGTCTGTGTGTGCGTGCAGGTGTCGGCGGAGATAGTGCGCGCGGGGTGGCGCTGCCTGGACTGCACGGTGTGCGAGGGGTGCGGCGTAGGGCAAAGATATAGTGTCTGTGTGTGCGTGCAGGTGTCGGCGGAGATAGTGCGCGCGGGGTGGCGCTGCCTGGACTGCACGGTGTGCGAGGGGTGCGGCGTAGGGCAAAGATATAGTGTCTGTGTGTGCGTGCAGGTGTCGGCGGAGATAGTGCGCGCGGGGTGGCGCTGCCTGGACTGCACGGTGTGCGAGGGGTGCGGCGTAGGGCAAAGATATAGTGTCTGTGTGTGCGTGCAGGTGTCGGCGGAGATAGTGCGCGCGGGGTGGCGCTGCCTGGACTGCACGGTGTGCGAGGGGTGCGGCGTAGGGCAAAGATATAGTGTCTGTGTGTGCGTGCAGGTGTCGGCGGAGATAGTGCGCGCGGGGTGGCGCTGCCTGGACTGCACGGTGTGCGAGGGGTGCGGCGTAGGGCAAAGATATAGTGTCTGTGTGTGCGTGCAGGTGTCGGCGGAGATAGTGCGCGCGGGGTGGCGCTGCCTGGACTGCACGGTGTGCGAGGGGTGCGGCGTAGGGCAAAGATATAGTGTCTGTGTGTGCGTGCAGGTGTCGGCGGAGATAGTGCGCGCGGGGTGGCGCTGCCTGGACTGCACGGTGTGCGAGGGGTGCGGCGTAGGGCAAAGATATAGTGTCTGTGTGTGCGTGCAGGTGTCGGCGGAGATAGTGCGCGCGGGGTGGCGCTGCCTGGACTGCACGGTGTGCGAGGGTGCGGCGTAGGGCAAAGATATAGTGTCTGTGTGTGCGTGCAGGTGTCGGCGGAGATAGTGCGCGCGGGGTGGCGCTGCCTGGACTGCACGGTGTGCGAGGGGTGCGGCGTAGGGCAAAGATATAGTGTCTGTGTGTGCGTGCAGGTGTCGGCGGAGATAGTGCGCGCGGGGTGGCGCTGCCTGGACTGCACGGTGTGCGAGGGGTGCGGCGTAGGGCAAAGATATAGTGTCTGTGTGTGCGTGCAGGTGTCGGCGGAGATAGTGCGCGCGGGTGGCGCTGCCTGGACTGCACGGTGTGCGAGGGGTGCGGCGTAGGGCAAAGATATAGTGTCTGTGTGTGCGTGCAGGTGTCGGCGGAGATAGTGCGCGCGGGGTGGCGCTGCCTGGACTGCACGGTGTGCGAGGGGTGCGGCGTAGGGCAAAGATATAGTGTCTGTGTGCGTGCAGGTGTCGGCGGAGATAGTGCGCGCGGGGTGGCGCTGCCTGGACTGCACGGTGTGCGAGGGGTGCGGCGTAGGGCAAAGATATAGTGTCTGTGTGTGCGTGCAGGTGTCGGCGGAGATAGTGCGCGCGGGTGGCGCTGCCTGGACTGCACGGTGTGCGAGGGGTGCGGCGTAGGGCAAAGATATAGTGTCTGTGTGTGCGTGCAGGTGTCGGCGGAGATAGTGCGCGCGGGGTGGCGCTGCCTGGACTGCACGGTGTGCGAGGGGTGCGGCGTAGGGCAAAGATATAGTGTCTGTGTGTGCGTGCAGGTGTCGGCGGAGATAGTGCGCGCGGGGTGGCGCTGCCTGGACTGCACGGTGTGCGAGGGGTGCGGCGCGCGCGGCGACGACCCGCTGCTGCTGCTGTGCGACGACTGCGACACCACGTGGCACACGTACTGCGCGCGCCCGCCGCTGGCCGACGTGCCGCGCGGGCCGTGGCGCTGCGAGCGCTGCCGCCGCTGTCGCGTCTGCGGCACGCGCTCCACGCCCGCCTGGTGCGACAACTACACAGGTAACGCGCTCTTGTACGCAGCGTTGTTATAATAACTCGTACCTCGGGTTACTCTCGTGAAATTACTGAGAAAAGCTCTACTAGTTTCAAACTAAAGAGGGGTTCTTCCTCATGAGCAGTGTACGCGGTCGCGGCGATGTTGCACAGCCTACTGACTTGCGTTGGCGTTTGTTTATTGTAGGCAAACTTGAGATCACGATATTAGCAAATGCTAGAGAAATTTTAAGTATGTGTTTATTATGAGTTAAGACAAATCAATCGGCGATCCGACAGTTCATCTAATGGTAAGCAATTGACGCCGTCCAAGGAAACACTTAACACCAGAGGAGCCAATCGAAATCAGTTTTTTTTATATGACATTGTTAATTATATTATGTTGTATGCCTACATAAATGTCTGTACTTCCAGAGTGTGCTCCGTGTGCGTCGTTGGTGATGTGTAGCGTGTGCTCGGAGCCGTACTCGGACGGGGAGCTCATCATACAGTGCGAGGGCTGTCGGCGGTGGCTGCATGCGTCCTGCGACTCGATACGGAATGAAAATGATGCTGAAGTTTGCTGTCGAGCCGGGTGAGTCTAAGCATAAATAATAATAATATTTTTTTTTTATGGCATGTAAACGAGCAGACGGGTCACCTGATGGTAATTAATCGGCGTCGCCCATGGACACCTGGAACACCAGAGTGCACACACAAGTGCGTTACCGGCTTTTTGGGGATTGAGGAGTTTGAGGATCGTTGGGGATTCAGGGATTGGGAAAATTGGGGAAGGGGAGGGTAATTGGGCCACCGGTAACCTCACTCACAACGAAACACAACGCAAGCGTTGCTTCACGTCGGTTTTCTGTGAGGCCGTGGTATCGCTCCGGTTGAGACGGCCCATTCGTGCCGAAGCATGGCTCTCCCACACTTATATATAACTATAAAATAGTTTAGTAAACGGTTTATTTACTGTGTTCATGGGCATCCGTTTTTCCGCATGAATGGGGAACAAAAATATCACGAGGAAAATAGAACTTATATGTTTAAAATCGGCTTGAGTACCTAAGAGGGATGATTTACCTGTCGTGGTATGCTGCAACGTATATCTACGCGAAACGGAATGTAATGTCTATTGTGTCTTATAATAGCGGCATTCAAGAGATTAATGATTATGTGTACCTTCACCATGTGAGAAGATGTCGTATTTTTGTTGTGAGCACTTTTAGATTGATGATAATTTTATTTATTTTCAAGAAGTACTTTGAAATGTGGGAATAGAATTGACAATTAAACTTTTCAGTAATAAAAGTTATAGGTCTACTGAGTGAGGTCGTTCATCCCTACGACACTGGTTCCCGACAGGTACAAGTGCGTGGGCTGCCGCGGGCGCGAGGTGCCGCCGGCGCACGTGGTGCGCGCGGTGGCGCGGCCGGCGGCGCGGCCGACGCCGCAGTCGCTGGGGCTGGCGGGCGAGTACTACGTGGACGACGTGTGCCTGTCGCAGCGCGGCGCGCACCACATGAAGCAGCTGGAGGCCGACCTGGGCATCACGCACACGCGCCGCAAGCGCCGGTTCAAGAACGACAACACCGAGAAAGACGCAGGTAAATACTCGGGATGTTCCTACCTCGCATGTCTGTGTCTGTGGTACTCTTGTATGCTTCTAGTATGTTGTAGTTATATGTAGTGCTTATTTGTTATGTAGAGTTTTGTGTACTATACAGATTTAAAATATCCGCTTTATATTTGGGATGGTATCGATAAAACGCATTGTTTGTATATCACATCTATGCCTATATTATGATTGCTGTATGTAGTCGTATGTATATGTATGTAATATTTAGTACATGTGGGATGTGTATCTAACATGAGTTTTTGTATGTTCGACGCTGGCATTGTGGATTAGAAATAATGGCATCTATTGAAACAGTGGTTCAGAACGCAGACGTCGAGATGGGCGACGACTCCAAGCCTGACAGCACCGCTGAAGTCAAGGACGAACCTGGTGAGTCAACATACTCAATAACTTATACAAACTACAATAACAAAACTGGTGAACGACTAGTTTCACTATCTTATATTTACTACAGGTGTACCCAACACGAATTTCAAAGAAGGCATACTATGGAACGTTGCCAATGACGGCCCGCCTCCCGAGGGCTTTACCATCTATACTACGGACTCTGGTCTCACAGTACTGCGGAGAAAGAGACAGAGGAACCTGAACAAGCTCGGGATTGGTGGGTTTGTTGTTAGACAGAGACAAACTACTGCCAAGGCGCAGGCTGATGAGGAGAAGGATGGAGATGGAACACAAGCATCTGGAGGTATGATACACCCTGATAGAATTATTGGTATATGAAATATATCTATTAGTAACGTGGTTTTCATGATTATTTGTTTATACAGAATCTCCCAGTAACAAACGCAAACCTCGTCGGAAGCCACGCTCCAAGCTCATGGAGCAGTTCCCATCTTATATGCAAGAAGCTTTCTTTGGCAAAGATTTGCTGGAGCCAACCAAAGCAGCTGTTTCATCTACCGGTAAGAAAACAATACATTATATTTGTTTATTGAGAATTCTGACCTACTCGACAACAAGTGGCGAAGAAAAAGCACCTTATTTTTAGTCAATTGACATAAGCTGTCGAATTTATTGTGTATTAATATTTATGCGACTAATGTTTATGTCGTCTACATAGCGGCTTACGTGCCGCAGTAGTATAGCAATTTAGTGGAAATAGCATAGAATTTGAGATGAGTATATTGATGTAGAGCGTGTTGCAGCCGGGAACCCCGCGTCGAGCCCGGCGGCGCGGTCCCCGGAGCCGAGCTGGGCGCGCTGGGAGCTGGACAACTCCGACAGCGACGGCGAGGACGTGCTGCACGCGCTGCACTCGTACTCCGACCACCACTGCTCCGTGCTCATCTCGCTCAACACGGTAACACACTGCTACATCACTATTTTTGTATACGTCTAGGCCGTTTTCACCAACCACCATCAATTACCTCTTAACTAAAAGTTACTTAGTGTGACGTAGCACCTAAACTAACCCCTTATATGTACTGTTAGGTGTCACTTATAGTTTGGTAAAAACGAAAATTTCGTTAGCTACTTAGCATGAAGGAGCACCTAAACCAGTCAAAGGACTTGTGCTGTTAGATATTACTGACAGGTTGTTGAATACCAAAAATGTCGTTAAATATTACCTACATTAGCTGAAGGGTTCCTTATAATTTAGGAGAAGTTGGTGAAAACGACAATAACAGTAATTCTGAGCAACCCTAATACTTTTATAACAAGGCTAAAGTATTTTTTTCATTGTACCAGGATGAAGTAGAAATACTAAACTCGTTGAAGCCAAAAGATGAGAAGGATGACGTTTCCAACACGACTAATTCAGATGGCACGTTGAAGATCAAGACTGAGTTAGACGAATGTCAGTTGAAACATACTGAAGACTCCACTGCCCTGAAGAATGCGATACTGGGTCCACAACCGGCTGAAGCTGAGCAGCCGCCCACTGTCGCCACTGAGAGCATACCTACTGTACACAGTACTAAAACTGAGGCCATCAGCGGTGAGTGCTTGTATCTATATTAATATTAAAAAAACTAAAGAGTTCTTTATTTGAACTCAAAAATCCCCGAAACTACTGGTTCAAATCATCCTTGTTCCCTTAGTACATATTGGATAGTCTATTTATCGAGGAAAATCAACTACAACAGGCCAAATATGCCCCCTTCCCAATTTCCCCACTCTCTGAAACCCCAACAATCCTCATTTCTAATCACTAAAAGGCCGGTAACGCACTTGTACACTTCTGGAGTCTCGGGTGTCCAAGGGCGGCGCTGATATTGCTTACCATAAGTTCATCCGTATGTTTGTTTATCGGCTGATTCCTTAAAAAAAGAGGCGATCAGCGAGCGTAACAGCGTGGGAGTAGAAAGTTTTGTAGTAAAGATAAAGTATGTGGATTTGTATTTTTTTTTTTTCAATATTTCTCATGGCAAACTCCGCCCGTTGTTTGTGGTTGTATCGTGTATGTATTTAAAGAACAATTTAATGTCAATACATAAACAGAATTCATTTTGAGATTAGGCTAGAAAATAAGAACGAAAGGTATCTTTTTTTATTTGAAATGTGTCGGCGTTTGGCCAGTGTCAGTCATGACAGTACCTTAGAAAAAATATAGTGTTTCTAAATTTAATGGTTTGTATCTTTTGTAGAAACCGGTGGATCATCTCAAGCATCAACAATATCTCCAAAGGACGACTTGTCTCTCCTCGGAGTGAATCTGGACGCCATGGTGAGGGACGGCCTCCCTGACATGGACAGCAATGATGTCGATGAAATATTCAAGGGAGTGCTCACTGATGACTCACAGGTACTATTTATTTTCAACTTTATAGGGTTACGGTATATTTTCAAATGTCGTTGCAATTGAGTGTATTTCGTAACCAACGGTACTATTTTCAATTGATTATATCATCAAATATGCACTTTATCAAGTTATCTCTCTCAAAACCTATCTAATAATAATTTTGATAACTTCGCAGGAATCGCAAGAGTCGTCCGTTTCGTATGTAAACTCTATGGCAAGTACACCATACTCACAACAACGACAACAGCTGCAAAGCCCCATGGAGTATACCTCGCCTTACCCGGAGTTTGGAGGCAGCAGGTTAGTTTACAACATTTTTAATTTACTACACATCAAAGTATGAACATCCAGAATAATCTGGCCGTCGAATGTGTGAAAAGATAATACAAAGCGAAACTATGCTAAATTGGATTTGTATAGATTGATGTGCAAGGCTTTAAACTAGATTTTTTCTTGATAAATATAAACAAGCGTACACTGGTTTTCTAGCAGTAACAGCGCGATGAGCCCGCTGTTCTCTGAGAGCGGTAGTGGCGGCGCGACCTGGCCCGACCCTGCGCAGGCGCCGCCACCTTCATACAACCAACGCAGTGCTGACAAGATGCGGGCTGACGAGAGTACGTACCTATCCATTGGTTAATTATAACATTAATTTGTCATTTATGTGAATTATAGAAAAGTAGTCACTTAATATCTGAAATTATAATGGTTATTTGACTTACAATACTGAATATCGACTGAATATAGGTCTAGGGTCAGCTGCAACAATATCTGCCGTACTATACGCCAATACAAACCATCCGGAGTGGAAGACAGAGTTCCCCAACTGGGTGGACCGTTGTAAACAGATACTGAAGAAATGGCGCGCCTTACCATCCGACCAGAAGGCTCCATACTTACAGCGCGCCCGCGACAACCGCAGCGCTATCCGTATGAAGAAGGCTCAGCAGGTATGTGTGCTCGTGCCTACTATGGGCTGTGTGCTAACCCCACTCACTCACACCGTGTTCCTACTGTGTGTACACTAGGGCCTTGTGTACTTCTAAAGGCTTAGTACGAGTTTGTTCCACGTTTAATGAGATCGAAACGTTATACGTTTGGCGCTCTGATTGGCTGGCTCCAAAGAACCAACCGATCAAAAGGCTTAACACGGTGTCGATCTCGTTAAACGTAAAACAAACTACTACTAGGCCCTCTGTATACGCTAAATCGCGTATGTTAGCAATAGAACTGTCTAGGTTTGTCTCGTTGGCGGTCGCATCGAGGCTATCTGTTGTTAATACCACGGTTGCTGTAGATTCTGTCGCCTGTCTCAATGCTAGCACGACTGTATATAACTCGGCTGTAGGATACACCAGCACTCAGCCTACTAGTTTTGTGTTCTGTATAAATTAATTCTAAAAGTGTTCTACCACGGCAGCAGTTGAAGAAAGAAGTGAGAGGATCTACAGTATTTCCTACTTGTATTTTAGTCTCAACCTCTTTGAGTGGCCTCATTGTTATAACGAATTTGGAGTAGTTATTTTATGGTGTTACCACAGAACAGAGAAACAGTAGATGTAGTATGTATACGGGACACGCGTAACCCTTGCATCGCAAACTGCCTTATGGTGGTCGGCGATTGCCTGTGTGCTTATTATCATAACTTATATATAGGTCGCGTTCATGACAACATTTTTAGCCGGGCGACTGAAAGAGTTTTTCATAAACTCTACTGTTGTTCTCTGCTCTGTGATGTTAACTTTTTGAGTACTTGGTATATAGTTATTTTGAATCTATACTTCTTGGGTTACGCGTATGGTTCGATTAGCACTGAGTTGTCGTACGATCCAGGTATCGTGCACGCATTATTTTAAACACAATATCTACCACGTCGGTTCAGGGCCTACATCATTTATCACAATGATCACTGGTTACTGTTTCTAGTACACTTCAATATCATTATCATTTCACTCATATGGATGTAGCCCAAATATTCCTACCGAGTCGACAGTTTAGTTTGTTAATGTCACTACTCCCGAGAATTCGGCCAGTGTAGTATAATCGATATATGTTGGTCATCGCCGAGTGTCGATCGGCGAGGTCGATCATGCCCCGGTCTCGAACGATGACTCGGCGGAGGCGTGCGACCGTGCGTGGATTTGCTAATAAAGAAGTGGTTGCGGCGCGACAGAGCTCCAGCAGCGGCGCGAGCGAGGCGGACAGCGCTGCGCCGGCGCCCAGCGCGGCCGCCGCCAGCCCCGCGCCGCCCGGCGCCGCCAGCGGGGTGCGCGCGCCCAACGTCACGGTGACGGCGGGCGGGCTCCTGGAGGCCGACGCGCACATCCGCGTGCTCACCCCGTCCGAGATCATGCGCACGCTGCCGCGCCTCGCGCACCCGCGCCCCACGGTACCGCGCCGCGCCTCGCATACTCACCGCGCGCTCCACACACACACGCCACACACACACCACACACACACACATACACACACGAACACACACCCACACACACACACACACAAACTCACACTGTACTCGTGCCGCGTCCGTGTGTATGCGAGATACGTTTCGACTTGTTGGGTGATCGCGCGACGTCGCACCACGCGATCCTGAGCACTTTCTCCTGTTTTATTCAATTCTTGTTATCACCCAACAATAATTTTGGCTGTTAAATGGCGTTGAAAGCTGTGTGATTATTTTTTTAATTTTCTTTAAGCTTTTTTTTATAAATGACCATTACCCTCCTATCGTCTCCCGAAAGCCTCCCGGACTCGTGTCCCCTGTTTCCGTAATGTTGATTTTATTATTTTCGCTTTGCCTTGGTAGTGTTGGCTTTAACATTGGACGCAGTTGGTGGCTGGTTGTGGTGTGCTAACAATTCTAACACAGTTCGGTGTAGTTCACAGTTTATTTGCGTTTTAAGCTCTTGTATAAAGCTTTGTGATGTAGTTTGTAAGTTTACAGGTGTAGATGATAAGTTGTTTTTGTTGTATGTCGAACTGTAAATATTATTTATTAGAATCAGATTTTATTTACAGATAAAGCTGTACAAATTATAGTAATTATTAGGTAGCAATATATTGGTATTGTGTATAGTAAAAATATTAACACGACGTAACATGAGATCATAAATTAATATCCATTAAGTTTTTTGCATCATGACCGCCTAATTATTGACGTCACTTCTACTGTTAAACTTAATGTATACTAACTGTGCATCTCATAATGTATAAGAAAGTATTTCATTAACAAATAAGCATGGATAATTCTTGATTTGAAGCATTATAATACTAATTATTGCAAAAAATGTAGGGATCTTGAAAGATTAGTATACAAATAATCAAGCAAATAGTTTTTTCCAATGTTTTGTATGTTTTGTATGTAATTCCTTGGATGAATCGGTTTATGAGACCCACATTTATTTATTAACATTAAAATTGTGGTGAAATTTTGAATTTAGAAATGCACTATGAGGTATTACCTATGCATTTCATTGAAACATAATACATATATCTTAATAGTATTGAAAAACATGTCAGGCTGTTAGGAATTGATGAAATATTACAGTCTATAAGACAAAAATACCTGATGGACTTCACCTAATTTCTACGTACGTAAACTTGGACAACCCTATGATCACACCGTTTTGTGTGTCATATTTCAATGAGATCTCTGAGATCGAAAGGTTGACAAAGAAGCATTAGATGTAAACGAGTGATAAACTAGTCGTGTAAATAGCATAATAAACGAATAACTTGATCTCGTAAACTATGTAAATTGATGTAGGTTAGGACAAGTAGTAGGTAGCATTATAAAATAAATTGCCTGCGTAGATACAGCATGTAACAGTATTCGACAAAAAGTACACGGAACTGATTGTCATTGTATCATAGGTAGATATTAATATATTTAGTGGTGCGGCTATTATATGACATTAACATTTATAATAACATTTAGTATTCTCTTAGGAGCTTCACGCACCGAGCGCAGTCTGGCGCGAGGGTGCCATGCGGAAGGAATTGGATGATGCATTTCATGCGGATTTGGACTGCGTGCGTTGATTCAAATATATAATAAACTTACCGCACTTAAACATGTTCTTTGTGCTGAGTATAAGATCTCTAGCTACTTCTTACTTTTAATAATTTCACTGATACAACACGCACGACATGAACGAAACGTTGCGTGTCATATTCAGCTAAATACATACAATGCAGCTGAAAGTTAATTTTGAAACATCATTTTATTAATAAAAACTCAAAAGATATGTGACTGTCGGGCATTTCCACTAGTGACATGTCTGATTTTGTATGTAATATGAAGACAATGACAATATAGTACCGTGTACTATTGCCGGCATGTACTGACCTGTCCGTGGCGTGCAGGAGCAGGAGCGGGCGTGCAGCCAGCAGCGCAGCGCGCGCGAGGCCGAGCAGGAGCGACAGTGGAAGCATCTGCAGCAACAGCGACAGCAACAGACGCAGCAGCAGCAACAGATCATACACGACCAGCGCATGCAAGGTAGCGCCCTACGCGGCCTGTCGCGGACACTTCTTGACTTCACATAGAGGTTACGGCTCGTCAGCTCAAACATCTGACGATGGCTCTGAACGAGAGTAGCGCCTTTTAGCACGCTGTGAAAGTGCAGTTTGACATTTAGTAGTTATATATTTATTTGATATTTTTTATTTGACTCTCAAGCAGCCATGCAGCGGTTACGTGCCCCGGACGGCAGCTCCCCCCCTGGCGCGGGAGCCCCGACGCCTGCGCCCCCCGCGCCGCCGGCGGAGGCGCCGCGCAGTGCATTCCCTGCACAGCGCTTCCAACACTACGGGAACAATGACGACATCAACCGCCAGCTCAGGGACTTATTGCAGAGACATCCCGAGAAAATGTGGCCTGGACGTGAGTATTGGTCAATTTGTTGACGTCCAGTGTTGAATATCACAAATCAATGTCTTATACGACATAAGACATTGATTTGTGCTGGTATCTATAGCCGACATTAAAAATAGACTACGTTGGTTGGGCAGTTTAATATGCAAAGAGTATTTGAATTAATATTGGTGTTAAAATCAAGTGTATTTTGTGTACAGAACATGAGAGCGCGTCCCCAGCGCCGGGTGTAGGCGAGGGCCAGCCCTTCCGCCAGCCCCTGCCGGTCACGCTGCGTGCGAGGGCGCCGCTCATGCACCCAGCACGACCCGACCATCACTGTAAGTGTCATCTTACATCTATCTGAAGAAGTTGTAAACCAAGTTATTTAAATCAATTATAACTCAAGAAAGTTTTGTCTGATTTTAACCTTTGGTTTCTATAGAAACCAGTCAATGTTACATGGTAATGTTTTCATTTGTATTGTTTTTCGTAGTGATAATGCAGCAGCGCTTGATATCGGCAGACAACAGTCAGTTGCAGCAAGCGGTTCAGAGTCCCGCACCACAACAGATGGTGGAACAAAAACAAAATGTCGTGCAAAATAATGGTATACTATGTATTTGCATTACACTGGTATTTTTCTGATACCGCTGCTTTTACTGCGTACCACGCATCGCGGGTCAAATCCCTGCACGAAATCATTCATTTTGTAATCAGTTTTCGGGTCTGAATGTTTGAAATTTGCTTTGAATATGTGTGTATTCACCAACGACAAAGCAAAGTAGTAAAAAATCTTAGTTTTAAAAATGAATACTTACTGCAAGTTATCTTTACGTTAACACGGTCGAAACGCTACTGCGTTTAGCCTTTTGATTGGTTGGTTAATTGAAGTAGCCAATCAAAATGCCAAATGTCATAAACGCTTCGATTACGTTAACGTAAAACAAACTCACACAAGGTACTCCGCGTCATTGATCATGCATATCTCCATTTCGTTCTACAAGGTGACTCAAGACATCATCAAACTTGTTTTTATCATGGAGTACAGTATTTGGTAGTTTGGTATACTCTAAAACTGCGCCCGTAACTTTGTTGGCTCGGTTTTTAATACTAAATTACCTACAGTTGCATTGTAACGATTATTTTAATAGTTATGTATGAAATTATAGATAAGACCTTTATATGAATGTGCTTTCCAGCTCCTAACAATGAAAATAAGCAGGAGTCCAACCAGGAGCAAGGGACCGATGAGATGGATATGGGAGACATGGACAAACTTGAACAAGATGGTGCTAATATCGGAGAGGTAAAGATAACTTAATATTAATGGATTTCGTTAATTTCTAATCCAGACAGGGTAACTAGGACAGGGACAAGCGTATAGCTTCCGAAGTAATCGATCAAATTTTTCGGTGAAGCTGGTGAGGGACGCTAGAACTAACTAAACAACAATGTTTCTCATTATAATATTGAATTACGTTCTTAAGTAGTGTTTGTTGACATCGGAACAACTAAATGTAATTTTTTGTTAGGTGGGTGACATCTTAACCGGTCTAGGCGGTGAGGATGACGAGGAATTATTTGAGACGCTCACAGCGGAGATAGGAGAGCAGTTCAACATCCTGGAGTATGCCGACCCTGAACTGGCAGCACTCAATGATGCAGAACATATACTGGACGGATTAGAGCTCGCTGACGACGGGATGCCTGAGCGACATGCCAAGAGGGAGCCAGAGTAAGTGTACAGTCATCACTCCTGTATGGAATACGACGAAGAGAAGGGATTACCTGATGGGAAGTAATTTGTTCTGGCTATGAATACCCGCAACTTCAGAGGCCTTCGGTAATCAGAGTATGTGTTTGGCGCCCTGATTGGCCGGTACCAATGAACCAACCAATCATAGCGTTAACCGCGATTTCGTTTCGATTACTTTAAACGTAAAACAAACTCGTACTAAAGCCTCTGAGAAGTTAAACCTCCGTTGCGACTTATAAATTGGGGCATTTGACCTTTGGTAACCACGCTTATACGAAACACGGGAGTTATTTCACGCCAGTTTCCTTTGAGGCTACATATGACTCACTCCGAAATATAAATGTTTCTATGGTACAAGGAACTTGAACTAGTGGGATTTAGATCCAGCAAATGTGTCAAATGTAGAAGCACAATAAGAATATTAAAACTTATCCCAATTTCATCTTCATCCAATACTCATATCACTTCAACATGTTAAAACACTTTCAGAGATGAACAGGAGCATGCTCAAGAGAACAAGAACATGTACAATGACTTACAAAAAGCCGTGAAGAATATTGAATGTAAGCCTGAAGTTAAGGCAGAGATGGAGGATGTGAAACCCGACGTTAAGTTGGAAGCTCCAGCCACCCCTGCACCACAACAGATGTACAACGATCCAGTACAGAGAGTTATATCGCAGAATCAACAAATTGCATTGCAGGTATTTAACTATATACTGTATTTATGCTCTTTTTTGTTGGCTAGTTAGGATGTGGACAAAGCTAGGAATAATTTTTAGTGGGTTTCGTGTTTAATTTTCTTAAATCGTCATTTCATGGTGTTTAATCTTTTAAGACATATTTTTACTTGTTGTGTCATGGTGCATACATATCGGTGTCCTTTCTGTCGCCAAATGCTTTCAGCCGATTGCGTCCAGTCACTTATTTTAGAGGTTTAATGACATGGTACATACAAATGGGAAGGGGTTGCATCGATTAAGGTATCATCTTGGTGGTTCAGTTATCGCCGTACGATCAGGTGTTTGCAAGTCCATTTGAACAAAAAAATATCAAATTAGCTCATTATTTATTGCCATGTAATGTACTAACGGCCGAATACTCAAACTCTACTCAATATATATATATATATATATATATTTTAAAGTTGTCGTGTCGTTTTTAAAGTTAAATTATCGTGCCATCTGTGTCATTTTACAAAGAATTTGTAGTGACAGAACTATAGTTAAGCCCGACTTTAATTGAGTAGCGTTTGCGTATTTAGACATAAGTATGTTATCATCCTCATTAGCTAATCAGAAAATAAACCTCCATGCTTTTATATGTGTTCATTTTGTGTTTCGTCGTCCATACAGAATGCTATGCAGGCCATCAAATCTGAAGTGAAACTAGAGAGTGATGACAAGCCACAGCGGCCAGTGTTCACACAGATGTTCAGTAACGCACCGCAACGGTTGCAGTTACAGCAACATCAGGTAACTTACATACATATCTGCAGGCTGCCAACTCATTTACTATGCAGAAAATAAATATTGATTCAGTACAAAGACAGTAACATACAATTGGGTTTCATCATCAGTCAAAAATTAATTATTTCGACTGTTCAATGCAATAAAATATTAAAAAAGGATCCCACTTTCATTAATTGATTTTATTACCAACTTTGATTTAGTATTTTTCCAGCAAATTTTTAAGAAATAAGTATGCTGTTTGACTCTGAAATAACGTGACGTCACTATACACTATCTCGTACAAACTTCAAGATCAAAACCTACCTAAACCTAAACTTCAACCATCAAAACTACAGAGAAAACTGTAGTTTTGACGGTTCCAAAAAGTATTGAATTTGATTAGTTGGCAAGTACCCAATTTAGTACTGTACTACAAATAGCTACTGTCTCTATACTAAATCAGTCTTTAATTTCCTTATCTGTATACCGAATAACTTGGCTGTCTGTTAAGACTAAAGTTTGTCATACCACCTTCACTTCACCTACATTCTCGTCATGCATGCTTGTTGATCGAGGATATGTTAATGGTGCCAACTTTTTGTGAGATACAGATCTACACCTTAAATATAAGTCTGTGGTCGATTTTCTTTTATGTACTTGACATTATAGTTAATTAGAAAGATTTTTTGTTTTCAAAATAAATAATTTACTTTTGTTGGTGCATTACAATGTTTTAAATTAAACCTTTGTTGCGATAAACAACAGGTAAAACCAAAAAAAGTTTCCTTTGCAAAGCATTTGTTGTGTTATTGGTGCTATAAGAGATTTGTATATTTGCAGCAGGGTGCGCGGGGTCCACAGTTCGGTCCCGGGCAGGTGATGGGCCAGCAAGTGGTACAACGGCCACAGGTGCAGTTCACTCCTTCGCAACACATGCACTATGCGCAGGTACGAAACTACATATTCTTGTATTGTGTGCTTTTGTACGGTTCCATAGCCATGGCACGTTTGTATCATATATAAAACACCATATTAAGTTACGTGTTGTGGAACGTTCATTTTAATATTTACATGGTGCCGGGTGCGGGTTTGTTTTACGTTGATGCTATTGATATGTATTATGACGCTCAGCGCTTTAATTGGCCAGCTCCAAAATAACCAACCAATCAGAGTGGATAACGTAGAACAAACTCGGACTAGGCATTAATTTATTATAGAACCGTCCAGTTATCGATAATTAACCACCCTGCTACTGGTAGTGCGATACTGGAACACCAATAACAATATGTATTGTCCCGCAGGGTGGCAGTGCGGCGGGCATCCCCGCGAGTGCGGCCAGTATAGTGAGCGCGATGACGGCGCAGGTCAACGCCGCGCTGGCGGCCGGCCGCAGCATCGCCGCCGGCACCCGGCTCGTCGCCGCGGACGGCTCCGTCGGCGTCGTCAGGCCTGACCGGACTGTCGCACTCGCGCATCTACCATACGCCGGTACTTGCAGATACCAGATGCTGATACTTACTATATTTACATGTTTATATTGCTATTTATATCAATGTCTATAACAACGCTATCGTTGTTTCACGTCGATTTTTTTGTAAAGCTTTGATATCATTTCTGTTAGGCCAACTCATTCGTGCTGCAGCATGGCTCTCTTACACTTAAAAAAAGTAATATTGTAATTTACTGATGTTATTGACTACGGTATTCATATCCGCAGCCACAGTATCGGGCGGACAAGTGGGGCAAGTGGGCCAAGTAGGCCAGGTTGGCCAGGTGGGTCAACCGGGTCAGGTGGGGTCCGTGGGCCAGCCGGCCCCGGGCGGGGCCCGTCCGCCGCCGCCGCCCCCGTACCCGGGCACCCTGCGCCAGCCCCAGCCGCCGCCGCCCCCCTACCCACAGGTAGGTCCACTACACACGACACTATACCTACACCACAGACTACACATTCGTGACGTGACACACGACAATAATATATCCTTGTTACATTACATGATGCCTGTACACCAATAAGTTATACTTATTTAATTTGATACATTATTATACTTAAATGTCAAGTAAACACAATATAAACTTTGAGATAGGTACACTGATTCAGATTAATCACAAATTGTAATTCTTGACATTCCATATGATAAAAACACTGCTATCATTGACTATATTGTAAAAAGCAGCATAATAATTTACGTGTCACGTCACAAACCACACAAAATAATTTACCAAATATTTTAAAACAGTGAGCAAGAACTTACACATTAATGACAACTTACAACCATGTAATCTTACTAATTATAATAATGAGTATTTTGATAGTCTTGGAGGATTTTTGGATACATTGTCGTGCATGCAGTAATATTTTTTATCTACGTGTTTTTATTTTTGTATGAGTTTGTTTCGGCACGGCGACGCGACGTGTCGAAGTAAATTCATTCGCTTTAAATGTATGCAGTAAGCTTGGGTTCACATTTACAAGTCACTGTCAGTTTGTCTCACCGAGTTGCAATAAATGTGAACTAGTAACAATGTTCATCAGACGCTTCGATATTTGATCGCATCGCAGACAATGTGAAGTTGTATGAACGCAATCATATCCAAAGCAATATTAATTTGTCTATGCGTTGGTGGCGGATCTTATCGACTGTAAATATATGCTGATATTGAACGACGTCGCTTGTTTCATTCGTTACAAGCTTAGAAGACTAATATTGCATGGGTATACTATCGCTAACAATTCATACGACCATGGAGAAAAATGTAGCATACAAAAACAACTTGATTATTTATAAACTGGACCTTTTATAGTCAATAATACATTCATTAATCACCACCATCAATTATATCGTACCCCACGAATCCACAAGTAATTGGCACAAATAAGTGGGGTATAAATGATGAAAGTGAGAGTATGCGTCGTATGAGTTGCGCGATGTCGCGGCCGGCGGAGTACAGCGTGTTGTTTGCATGTGGGTGGTTGATGGTTGTTGGCGCGGGCCGGCGCCCTATGAGGCCGCGGACTGGGGCGACTGGCTGCACCGCCGCCCGCTACTGCTGCAGGTCAGAGCCTTGTCTTCACTCCACCACTACCGCCACTACTACCTACGCTAACTCACGTCAAACTATTCCTACAAACCTCCCCCGAATTATATACGACATGATTTTACCAAGGCACACAAGTTTATTATGAACGCATGCCTTAGCGTAACTTCTCAGAACCGATGGAAACGAAGTCCAATGACGTAATTTACACATGAAAATATCTTTAATTGCAATGGCACCGGTAAAATTGTGTCTATGGGCATAGTTTTATCTATCGGTTCTCGTGAGCACCTTTATCACATAAACAATATTTACACAGAACACAGAACTCTGTATTCTCGTTTTCGCAAGATCTATTACTTTGTTTTCTAACACACTTGATTGTTTCCCTTTCGGAGCTGATTTAATTGTGGAAACGTCGTTTTCACTTATTAAAACAATATCTATAATTGTAAAGGAATAAATTGCTAATTCATACAGTTGTATGATGTTTCCTCTGTCCTGTCCCTCTTTAGACTTCCTTTCCTTAGATATAGGGTCCACGAGTCGGAGTAGAAGGGCCTGGTCACCGCTAACCACCTTGTTCGTGTCTGTTTTAATGCTTTTACTTGGCTTGCTCGCTGCACGCATGCGTACTGACTACTAACCTTTGTACCTTTTCAGCATCCTTCCTAACACTTTACACTAACGATCTAAACAGTCTGGCACAGAGTATACAGTACAGAGAGCGTAGGGTCTGATTACCTGTCTCATCTTGTTATGGTGGTGGAAATGTATGTATGTCGACCTGGCTGTGGAACATTTAGCTTGTGACCTTGTCATTGGCCGACACAAATAGTGAGGCAAAAACTATAAGCATTAGTAAATTCGTAAAAACTTTATCTTATAATCTGATTTACATCTTAAGATGGTAATGTCATACTCCGTAGCAATTGTTTAGTAAAAAATATCGTAATGAGTACAATTTTACAAAATAGGAGTATAATAGACGTACTACACATGAGACATTAAAGTTGAGATACACAAACACAATCATAATTCTTTAATGACTTTTTGTTTTCTATAGTGAACTTCTGTTAGTTGATTGTTGCTGATATTAAAGTACAGTTTATAAATGTACTATAGATTTTAGCACTGCGTAATATCTCACACATTACTTTGTAATCAGTTTCCGATAGTTGGCGCACCGAACTATTTAGTTGTTACCTATTTCTAAGTCACGTCTAATAGTTAAATTGTCATGATAATATATTTTTCACTTCACAATCGTAGCCCATTAATTTTAATTCCTCTAGTAATCTGGTCGAGCCGACTGAAAATAATGTAGATATCTCTTGTAACTTGTAGTCGAAAAATCTCCAAGAATCTTTTATTTGTAATTTCTTTATTTTTGTATGTGTTTATAAAACGAGTTTCATTCGGCTCAAAAGTCAAGATGAGACAGGTAACATAATTTTTCTACCGACCACAAAGAGTAATTTTCGAATAAATACTGAGTGCCGCATCGTACGCACCGAGCTCGATTCACGAAACGTGACGCTAAGTGATACTGTGATAGTACTAGGCAGCGTAGGCAATTAGCATCGCGAGCGGTGACGGAGCTATCGGTGGCGGGCGACAGCGTCGTCAACAGGCTTACTTTAACCGTCAGAACGTAAACCAGGAGCAACCGTTGCTTCTCGAGGAGCTCCTGGAGCAGGAGAAGCGCGAGCAGGAGCGCGAGGGAGGAGAGTGGGCGGGGCCGGGCGCCGCGCCGCCCCCCGCGCCCCCGCCGGCCGCGGCGCCGCCCGCCATCCCGCTGTACGCGGGCGTGGCGCCGGCCGCGCCGCCCGCCCCGCCCGAGCGCGCGGCCAGCGAGGCGGACCACCACGCGCGCCTGCTGTACGAGCAGTGGCTCAAGCAGTACAACGCCTTCGCCGCCGACCAGCAGCGCTACTACGAGGTCGAGGTTCAGAAGCTTCGCAAGATCCGCAAGGTGAGCCGCAGTAGTGCGCTTTCGTGTTCGTGAGCTTAGTAGTGGCAGCGCCGTCCTCCCGGCCGCCGAGTAGATCGTTTCAGGTGCCGTCTCCGGGCTCGTGGTAACACAGACAACCTGTGACTAACTCGGGGGCATGTCGCGACTCGCGACCTCCAGCTCCGATTTTACACTTGAGGCTTTTCAATTTGCAGTCGCTGAATAGTAAGCAGAGACAGTTGCGTAAGTCGGGCAACGAACTGCTGCCTAACGACGCAGCCGAGCTGCAGCGCGTGTCCACTGAACAACAGGCGTTACAGAAGCATCTCGAAGCAGCACGCAAACAAGCACGTCAGCATAGCATGCTTATTCAGGTAACGAATTATCTCTATGACCTGAATAATTTATTAATTGGTTTGCAACCACTAACTATTTTAATCTCTTTAGGAATATGAGACGAAACAGCGACAACAAAATCCCCAGCTCGCTCAGCAATCTGTGATAAACCAGCAGCAGCAGATCACATCGAGTCAAACGGTATTCGCTCAGAATCAGAACATTAGCCAGGGCCAGCAGGTGCAGCAGCAGAGCACTATCAATCGACCGATGCAGCTGGGGCTGCAGGGGGCTGCCATACAGCAACAACAGACACTCATTCGCACTCAACAAACTGTCATCGGCGCTGATGGGCAACCGATATCCCAGCAGAGGATCGGTCTGGTGACGTCACCGCTCAACACACAAGGAAGGCTGGTCACCCAGGGCGGGCGCACGCTAGTCATCGAGCAGTCCGGCGGGCCCCAGCCACAGCTCGTGCGCCAGCTGTCCGGCGCCGGCCAGGACCGCGCGCAGCCCATGGGGCAGTTCGCGGGCCGGGGCGCCGGGGGCGCGCGCCAACCGGGGGCGCGGCCGGCCATGTCGCCGCTACACGTGCAGTCCCCGCTGGCGCCGCAGTCGCCGCTGCACCAGCTGACGTCGCCCATGCAGTCGCCGCTACACTCCCAGCAGTCGCCGCTGCATCACACGTCGCAGTCCCCGTTGCACCCGTCCACGCAATCCCCACTGCACACCCAGCAGTCACCGCTGCACTCCCAGCAGTCCCCCATGCACGTGCAGCAGGGTGGCATGGCGCAGCAATCGGTGCAGCAGTCGCCGATGCATCAGTCCCCCATGCACCCGCAGCAGTCTCCCTTGCATCAGCAGTCTCCGATGCACCCGCAACAGTCGCCGATGCACCAACAGTCGCCGATGCACGTACAACAGACTCAAATGTCGCAACACTCCCCGATGCCCCAACAGTCGCCGATGCACTCGCAACAATCTCCGATGCATATGCAACAGTCGCCGATGCACACGCAACAATCCCCCATGCATACGTCGATGTCGCCGCAACACTTCCTGCAACAGTTGCAAGCTCAGAGGACCAGCCCGCAACTACCGACACCTAGTCGGAGCCCTCAAGTGAGTTTACTTCATTTATTATCTATAGTAATAATGTATTCTCGAAAGCAAATAAAAAAATATATTTTCTTTCAGATATACCAACAATCACAAATTCAGAGTCCAGTCGCGTCTCATTCACCACAAATGCAAAATGTAAGGATGGGTCGCAGCTTTTAACAGTGTTTTAATATGTAAAAGCGATATTAATTTTAAAATTACGTTTCAAGGTTGATTACGCAACTGGTCGGTTCTCACGACCAGCGCCTGGATGCTCGCCTTTACCGACGCGGTTTGCTAGACCACCACATCATCAGCAAGGTACATATCAATAGTAGACTCAACTAAAATGCTTTTAAGTAAGTACTTACAATCTTACATAGTTATTAATCCTTGTCTTATTTAATAGGTATTAGAGTGGGCGGACCGTATGGAGGTCGCCAACAAACGTCACCGCTCGGCAGCCCACAGCCGCTTCCATCTCCAGGGAATCCTGCCAATGAGATGGCGGTAAGTAAACATAAATAGTTAACAAACAAACATAAATAGATAGTTTGCAAATATGACATCATAGTCAGAAACGGGTCATGGTATATAATGTTGACGCTTTGTGCTTTCTTTCTGATTGTGATTTCATATTAGCGGAGCGTGAATATTTTAATAATCGGTTCGTGTTTCACTACAGCGACAACAGATGCTGCAGCGGCAGCAGTACAGTCCTATGGGGGGCGCGCCCGCCTCCCCCTCCGTGGCGCGCTCCCCCCACGTGGCGCGCACGCCCACCCCCTCCCCCGCCGCGTCCCCCGCGCCGCACTCGCTCATGGAGCATGGCGGCGGCCTGCACGGGGGACACGGCGCCGCACCTCTGCCGCCCGGTTACCGTTACACGCGCGCCGGGTTGCGGGGCGGCGCGCCCGGCCCCGGCTGGCCGCCGCGCCCTGCGCACGTGACCAAGGTGTCCATCCTCAAGCGCCGCACGCCGCCGCGCCCGCGCGCCGCTCCCCAGCACGACGCCGAGCCCGCGCCCTCTGACGCGCGCGGATATGTCGTGTACGCGCCCGACGCGCGAGACGCGGATGACGTGGAGGACCTGGTGGAGCACTTGGACGACGACGACATCGTGCTGGTCGAGCCCGACGCCGTCTCCCCCGAGGAGCGCATCGCCACTGAGGAGGACTTCGAGGAGCTCATCGACAGCGGCAAGCCGGACGACGAGGTCGAGGAGGAGGCCGAGCGCGCCCCCACCCGCACCGAGACCACCACCAAGACCGTGGCCGTCATCAGCCTGTCCACGGGCAAGCAGCCCGCCAGCGTGCAGCAGTACAAGATCCTCAGCCCGAGCGGCGGCCCGCGCGCTCGCCTGCCGCTACTCAGCGCCAGTATGCTATCGCCGCACTCCAATACCAAGATCCTGGACGAGGTGTCGCAGGCCACGGTGGCCTCTGTCTCGATAGCTAACCAAACTATCTCAGTACCGGTACTGAAGAATCTATCGGTACCGATCGCTAGTGTGGCTAGCCACGTGGCTGGAGTCTCCAAGTCACAGATCAAGAAGGTGCCGCTGAACTTGGCCACGCCACCTCTCACGATCAACATGTCGACGCCGTCGCTCTCCAAACCAATTAGTTCTGTTATAAGTGTGATATCATCGAACATGCCGAAAGCTACCAATCCACCGCGCGTGCCTGTCTCTATACTGACTCAACATCAAGTGAAACAAAAAATTGTAAAAACTATAGAAAAGCCGATGATGCTCGCACTTTCTAATTCAAAACTATCCAGTTTGTCCGTGACGCACGACGCAACACTACCAGCAAAAATATTCCAAGACGATGCCGCCTCGCCTGATAGCACTGTCTCGTCTGAACATAACCCAGACAAGGATCTGAACTTAAACCCCATGTCATCGACATCTCAACAGCTGCCAACAATGTGTTCTCAGGGCACATCACAAATGGACCACCGACCTGGAATATTTAAGGAACCTACAAAAGACATCGACATCGAAAGTGAGATCAGCCAGCAAACTGAACTCCCGCACACTTTATGCCTCAGCGACCGCACTCCATTACTTTTGGGGAAAGCAGACATAAAGAGTCCAGATCCTATACCTGAGAAAATACCTGACAATATAATGGAGGGAGATGACGAGGACAAACCAGAAGACGACTTACAGAGCAATTTACTACTGTCTTATAGTAAGAGTATCTCAGAACCGCCGCCACAGCCGACCATACCGGACACCAAAATGGAAGAGAATGTTGTAAAGACAATAAAGGCGATCGCTAATCAAACAAAAGAAATGGTAATAGATTCAAATATGCAGATTACTTCGGACATGGCGCAGGATTCTGTGCAAATATCGATTCCGTCGCCCACTCCATCTCAAGAAAGGTACTTGAATGACATCACAATGCAGGACCACCACGAGACTGCGGAGAGCAACAAGCACGTTGATTCTTTCGAGGACATGCTCTGCATACTGGAGAACATCGGCGACGACGCTAAGACGTATGGTATGAAGCAGCCAAACCCGAAACCTATAAACCCTAATATTCAAAATCCAAATGTAAATACTCCCAAACAAGATCCGAAAGAGAATCAAGAACAGAGTGCTTTTGTAAAGCGCGAGCCAGAGAGACTAGCGCTGCAGTCGGCAAGCGTGCCGCAGCTGTCCCCGCTGTCGCAGCCCGCCGAGCTGACGTCCACCATGGCCAACGTGTCGCAGCAGTTGCGGACCATCATGTCCTCGCTCAACACTAACGCGCCCAAGGACACGCAGCCTGTCCTTCGCAAGAACAGTGACGCGACCACACCCACACAAGTCAACTTTGAAAATTTATTGCCTTCTTCCAAAGTGGAAGTGGCTGCGTCGCGACCCTCGCCTATTCAGAGGATCGACAAGCCTACCTCAACAATCTCAGCGTCTGATAGCTTGCCCATGAGTGCTGCTCAGGCTATTGGCTCCAGGGTCAACACACTCTCGTCGATGGGACAAATGAGAAAATCCCCTACCGTGTCCCCCATCAGTTCTCCTGGAGGCCTACAGAGCTCTATGATGAAATCACCTGCTCCTATGATGTCGAACCCATCATTCTCTCCCATGGATGAATCTGGACCGACATCAGTCGCCTCTCAAATCATTCAAATGCCAGCTCTCTCGAAGATACATAGTTCTACCGCACCACCTACTATCATGCACTCGAATAACACTATCACTACTAGCATGAGCAGCTACCAGAAGAACCAGTCACTACAGACTAGCATACTAGGCCATACGTTACTACAACCAACTAGACAAATAAATACAAGTAACTTATCATTTAACCAACAGAGTATTAGTACTAGTCAGCCGCCAGCTTTAGTCATGACATCTAGACCAATGATAGGTAACAAAGAACCCGCGCCGAATGTGACAGTGCGCACCCATAGCATTGTGAGCTCGGGAATAAACCAAATACAAGCTAAACCAGCTCCACCGGGTTCCATTAATTTTATTACTTCATCCAAACTTCTCCATACGCAACTGACCTCGCCTTTAAAACGCTCTAAATCGACCGATGAACCGAAAAGTGAAGTTATTGTGGGCCACATACAACCAACGAAACGACACAGTGTGGAGGCCGTCGTTGTAAAATCGGAACCTATGGAGACAGACGAGCCGCATACAGCGACAACTACCACTACCGACGCGGGTAGCAAGCACACCAATATACAACAATGTACTGCCAACCAGAAGAATGATGAATCCCAGAATGTGTTGCTGAAGCAACTGTTGCAGACTACTACCACCGCCGCCGCCGTGGTCCCCGCGCGCGCCATGACCATACAGCGGACTGCGCCCGCGCTCGGCAGCATACCTTCACTCGAAGCTCAGCTGGCGAGACCCTCGATCCCACCACCCACTCTGACGTTAACGCAGGAAGTCGAAATAGCAAAGAACTCGCCGCGGCATAATATTATAACCAGTAGCGTAGTGAACTCACCGTTCACCTCTCGGCCTATACAATCCATTCCGACTTCCACCATATCGCCTTTGACACAAACTTCGACGCAATCATTGATGGATGTTCGCAAGCCACCTATGAAGATGATGAGCAAAGAAGAAACTACACCTGTCCCTGAAAGTTCTCCCACGATGAAGTCGATGCAAATGTATCCAATGAGTATTGAAAATCAGCAGCTTCAACAAGCTATCAAGAAAGAAATCGCTCCGCCTCAACAAAGTCCAGTTCACAGACCGTTTACACCTATGGATGTGAAGAAAGAGTTACTAGACGAGAGCTCTCAGCAGTCAGCCACTTCTGGTGTCTCGACAGCATCCGATCAGGGAAAACTTGACCAACCTATGAAGGAAGAGTTTCCGGAGAGTGTCAACATGGATACGACATCCGAGGTCAATGCTCCAGAGACTCCGTCGGAAGCTAAGAAACGAAAGCGCCGAGAATATCAACAAAAGAAACGGAAGCAATTACAAATGAATATGAAGGCCGCTGCGGAAAATAACTTGACTGCGGCCAACGCCAAGAAGAGGCCACGCAAGGGCTCTCGCTACGAAGAGGACTATGACACGTTTATTGACAACTTGATGGCGCAGTTACGATTGCTGCCTGCAATGCAAATTCAAGAACCAGCTCTGACTACTAACTTTGCTGTTTGCCCACTCTTCGGATCCGGGGATTTGACGAAATTAAAAAATAAAGACTATGATGTATTAAAAGGAGATTTAGTTGGCGAATTTGGTAATGCCAAGATACCGAATGTTGGAGATTATTATAATACAAAACCATTTGGGGAAGAAGAACCCCTGCCTGAGAAACCACCAGCATCTACTCAGAGAGGATTTTATGACCAAGAATTCCAACCTATCTTGTTTGATGATGATCCAGAAGACAAGAAACTCGACTTTATTTGTAAAGAACGCGACACAGACACGCCTGATAGCATCGTCAGCTGTTCCAGTCCTGAATGTCTCGAAACAGAGCCACCAAACAGGTTCCCAGGTCTTAAATTAATTGACGATGAAGAAGAAGATGAAGATAGTGACTCAGCATCCGGAAGAATATCGCCTATAATTCCCATAATTGCTCCTGTCCCGATCAGAGTGAAGCCAGTGTCATTGTATCAATCGAAGGATGATGACGACAACATGAAGGCGTTGAAGACACTAGACACAGATGCCGCGAAGGTCAAGGGTGGAGATTCACCCGGAAGTACGGAAACCAATGAGAATGTCACCGTGACGCTCACACTCACTTCGGGTGCAGCAGAAGATATTCTAGGTGTATTAAAAGAGCTCGCCGGGATTCTACACATACCTCCACCCACATCATATCAAATTATAGAAAGAACTGCAACTCCTCCATCTCATAAACTTGGCCTCTATAGATCTAAGGGTAAGGACGGAAAAGAAGGGACACCTATTGATATTCAAAGTATATTAAATGGCGCAGCTAAGTTCTGTCGCCATTGTGACGTTGTTATTTTAGACTCGGTCGTTAGAGCTAAAGCTTCAGAGTTTCCATTACTATCAGCTAACAAAGGCAATGCTGAAGAAATTCTGTGCGACAGTGATTCAGAGCTTTACTTCTGTAGTACGCAGTGTTACGAGAGCTTCGCCTGGCGCCCTACTAATATTATCCTCGACGGAAAGTCAAAGACTACCATCAAAGATGACAACAAGTCAGATGCTGACACCAATTTGTCGAAAGATAGGGACGACTTCGATACTGCATCCACAGAAAGCATGGAAACCGATGACTTGGATATTAAACCAGACATCAAGGATGAGAAAATGGACTTGTCGTTCATGGATTCCCTCGACAATGACGAGCTGATGAAAGAAGTAGGTGACGACGTCAGCGCACTCGATGAAGACTTAAAGAGTGAACAAGACGAGAAGAGCAACCAGAGCAGCGAGAAGGAGAAGTATAGAGGGGTGCGTTACAAGGCGTGGTCGCCGGGCTGCATCGGGCCGCCCGTCAAGTACAAGCGGCCCACCGACAGGGAGCTCACCGAGCTCGTGTTTCGCACCGGCGTCGCCATCATGCCCGTCACCAACGAGGACGTGCGCCGCTGCGAGCTCTGCGGCATACAGGGCGACGGCGTGGCCGACGGAGTCTCTCGCCTGCTCAACTGCGACGTCGACCGCTGGGTGCACCTCAACTGCGCGCTGTGGTCCGAGGGAGTGTACGAGACCGTCAGCGGCGCGCTCATGAACGTGGAGACCGCGCTGGCGGCCGGCTCCAGCGCCACCTGCGCCGCCTGCCGCCGCCTGGGCGCCACCGTGCGCTGCTTCAAGGTGCGCTGCGGCAGCGTCTACCACCTCGGCTGCGCCGTCAAGGACAACTGCGTCTTCTACAAGAACAAGACGGCATTCTGTAACTCGCACGCCCCCAAGGTAACTTATACATAACATACATTTTATTGCTCATCATGTGGGTGGAATTTGAAATAAAACACTATAACTACATACATAAAAAACTAAGTTAAAAACCTAAAACCCGACTAATTTATTATTATGGGGAAGAACAAGCAAGAAACTCCATAGGTTATTCTTTTTCAATCAGGCTTACAATACAATTCTCTAGTTACATAGTTTTGAGGGTTCGATTGTGTCGAAGCGATGGAAAAAGAAAATAACCCCATATAATTTTATGTAGCCTATGTAACCAGCGGACTAATGAGACGCTTCTAATGATATCAAATTATGACTAGTATTTATCAAATTATGACTAGTATTTTAGGAGTTACGAAGAAACATATTATGAACAGACAGTCCTATTGGTTTCGCCATAGTTGGGTAAAAATAAAGAATACTATACTCGGAATTTTAATTCGATTCCAGATTTGACAATTTCAGTGTTGCAACGTTATGACAAGTACTAAATAGTGACGTTGCGAAATTATTCGATATGGGAATGCAATATTTCTGGATCGATTCTTCTCGTTTATAATTGTACTCTCATAAACTAAGTATATCAGGAAATTAAATATTTCTGAACCGATAATTTAGTTTTGACGATTAATTAACGATCTGTGACTTTTCTTTTATAATAATAAGAAAATAAATAAAAAAATGTCATCATGAAGGAACATGACAAATAAAACATATAGATATTATGGTAATAAGTTATTTTATAAATTGTCGCCGTCATCGCTATCGCTATCCTGTCACTTTCTGTAACATTTATTATAAAACACACACCCTGATTGTTTATCGATTTTTGTGTGTATCACTACACTATTATATGTGGTATCATTATTTCACAAAATGACAGTAGCTATTGTCAAATCTGGAATCTAATTAAAATTCTGACTATAATTATAAATAACAGAATGAAAAAGACAACGAGCTGACGACGCTGAGCGTGCAGCGGCGCGTGTACATAGCGCGCGACGAGCAGCGCCAGGTGGCGTCAGTGATGCTCCACTCGGACACCAACCACTTGATCCGCGTGGGCGGCCTGATCTTCCTCAGCCCCGGACACCTGCTGCCGCATCAACTCGCCGCCTTCCACACGCCCAACTACATCTACCCTATAGGATACAAAATCGTAAGTTTCCTTCACTATACTGAATGGGCTAATTTTATGTTATTGCTTCAAATGTTATTTAGCAGGTAATTTAAGTATGTTTGGTGTAGTAAAAAATTACTGCACGAAGCAGAATGGCGGCTTATTAATTGGTTCGCGGTCAAAAAGACTGCCCCGCACCGCCATGTGCTTCACGCCTAACTGACAGACTGACTAGATACCTTGTCACCATACTTTTGATAAACGATGATAAGCTTTAATGAATAATGTGTGTGTCCAGGTCCGGTTCTACTGGTCGATGTCCCGCGCCAACAGTCGGTGTCGCTACCTGTGTTGGATCAGCGAGGAGGCGGGGCGGCCTCGCTTCCACGTGCGCGCGCAGGACGAGCCGCGCGGGGAGACTGCCGCGCCCACTCCGCGCGCTGCATGGGCCAACGTACGTATTCCGAATACTCCTCCCTTACTTTACATCACGCCCTTTATTCTTTAATCGCGTAGATTTAGTTCATATTCCAACATAACATTTCGAAAATCGAAAATAACCGACTTCAATCCAAGATATTTGGATTAAAATAATTTTTTGACATAATATGTACAGAATCAAAAACTTAGATTAATCCAGATGTTTAGATCAAGATCGGATTTTTATTCCAACCAAGACTCAGAGAGATAAGATTTTCACACAAAAAATTAAAAACTTACTTTTCGGTATTTCTAGAATAAGTCGTTGTAATTGGTTATATTTTGTAGGTGTTAGATGCTGTTGCGGCTCTACGCGAAGGTCGCAGTGAAGACGGAGTGCTTAAGCTATGGCCCAATTATGTGACGGGAGAAGATTTGTTCGGTCTTACTGAACCTGCCGTAGTTAGGGTTTTGGAAAGCTTACCAGGTACGTGAAGAAATGTAACGATATTAAATATTGCAGTATTTAAGAGAAGTATAGCAGTAGTGGTGAGCGGTCGTGATGTTGTAGGTATCGAGACCCTGACAGACTACCGGTTCAAGTTCGGGCGGTCGGCGCTGCTGGAGGGCGGGCTGGCCGTGAACCCGTCGGGCTGCGCGCGCAGCGAGGCGCGTGCGCGCGCGTGGCGGCGCGGAGGCGCGCGCTCGCTGCTGCCGGCCGCGCCCGCGCCGCCGCCCGCCGCGACCACCCCGCCTGCCCCTACTCCAAGCAGTTCGTGCACACCAAGAGTTCGCAGTACAAGAAGATGAAGAGCGAGTGGCGGAACAACGTCTACCTCGCCAGGTACACTGACATACTCGACGCTAGTGCACACACGACGACCGAGTACATTACTTAAAACCGTTTTTAAGCGCCAATTTTTCAATCAACAGACAATTCTTTGCTGTAGAATAAAATTAACATTTGTGAGTTTCTAGTATGGAAGAATACGGTATTTGACAAATTTTGGAAATCGTTTTAAATGGTGGTCTTAGTATATAATAAACGTACAAAATTAATCTTACTGCGAAATTTATAGTGTTTAGGGTAAACATCGATGTTAAAATTTAAATTGTAAAAAGCGCGGCAAAAACGAGGTCATTTTATGGCTCTAGCCACGTAATGCGTGTGACGTCACACTCTAGTAACAAAAGCAAAAACCACTTAAGAGATGTGACTCCGAACCTAAAATTAATCCTTTTTAAAATGAATGAATACGAGAATAATATTATATTATAATATATAGGTATTATAATGCAACACTAGCATTTAACTCGTCGAGTACCGGTTTTATAGACACAATTAAAGAACAATAGGCCATGGTCACCGGTGACCGCTTGGTGTTTGACAGTTTAAAATGCTATATATATAAGATGAGGATTCGAGACAGCAATTAAATAATATGATTCATCTATAAGAACAGAGTTTATTTAAATAAAATTACAATATTTTAATTAAAAATAATAAACTAAGCAACCTCAGAATACAAACCTATAAGAACAGAGAATCGACAATTAACTGTCACTGCTTTAGCCCCTCGATCCTAACTTATATTCTTTAAATTAAAAACTAAAAGTAACAACAATATATTATCGAAATAACATGCATTCTTAAAATATTTCAATTTGTAGGTATAATATTTTAATAGACGTTTTTCTTGTGACACTTGTGTCACCTTAACCAAAGACAATACAAAGCATAGAAGCTTTCATACATACTACACTTGTTAAAAACAAATGATTAAAATATACCTAAAAATATGCATCGTGAATTTTTTTCTCCGTAGGTATCTTAATTTATTGCTTCAAGGGTCAATAATATGTAAATAGATTCCACTTAGGTACTTACACTGCTGTTTTCATATTTTTTAGTTCAGATGAATAATAATCAGCGTTATTCTTAAAGAAAAGTGCTACCATTGAAGCGTCTATCCTGGGTAAGTTGCTGCTATCGGCTTGCGCAAAATTTACGTCCATTTTTAAGATGGTAAACTAATATTAATAACACTAGTTATAAACAATATCCAGTAGTTCTTCAAAAATAGCTTACAAATAAAAATTACAGCCAAAACACAGTAAACTCCAACGACAATCAATAGCGCAAAACACCTGTACACTAGCGTGTGACGTCACGAATGTTACCACCAATCACAGGTCGTTTCGATTCACGTGATAATATTTAAAAAAACTTAATTTTTATTTTATTAATTATGTAAAAAATGTACATTATTTTGTTAAAATGAAGTAAAAGTGGTGTTCTTTAGACTATTTTCCCGTAGAATATCAATATTTTGTAAAGTATTTTGAATGTTGTCAAACACCGTATTGTCAAATATTCAAAGTTATTCCTTGAATAAAATTTATCTTAGATAAGTTGGTCCTAAACGTGTTTGATGTGCCACATAATGTAACGTAATGCTGTATTTTCAGGTCGAAAATCCAAGGATTAGGTCTATACGCTGCTCGAGACTTAGAGAAGCATACTATGGTCATAGAGTACATTGGAGAAATAATACGTTCCGAGTTGTCAGAAATACGAGAGAAGCAATACGAGGCTAAGGTAAAGAGACTCTATTACACTGTTTAGACATGACGGTTGCTTTGTAATAACGCTGTTTATAATATGATGTTTTTGTTTACGTAGAATCGCGGAATCTACATGTTCCGACTGGACGAGCGCCGCGTGGTGGACGCGACGTTGTCGGGCGGCCTGGCGCGCTACATCAACCACTCGTGCCAGCCCAACTGTGTCGCCGAGACTGTCGAGGTCGACCGACATCTACGTATCATTATCTTCGCCAAACGACGCATTGCGCGCGGAGAGGAGGTAACTTTACACCTTACATAATAAACATTTCGAAACCACCTTCCATTATTGTTATTCCTTTTTAACAAAACTTATTTATTTTACAGTTGGCTTACGATTATAAATTCGACATAGAAGACGATGCTCACAAGATAATGTGCATGTGCGGAGCTCCCAACTGCCGCAAGTGGATGAACTGAACACTGCACCACTTGGAGCATCAACCCCCGGAGACTGAACGAGTGCGAGGCCGACCCAGGCCCAGACACTGTGTATATATTGTCTGCGTAAACATTGCCCCATGTTTGCCTATAAAGTCCACTTTTAATTTGATTCAGTTATATGAGCCTCAGATCTCGATGTTACAACGTTATGGCGACTAAATAATATATATCGAATCGAAAATGAAATTGACTCGAATCGATGTTTAAAATAAGATGAATAAGTAGTCAAATAATTTATTTTATCATAGCATAGTAATCACTCTGTCTCTTACCGTCGCTGTCTGTCTTCACATTTTGCTTTATTTGTTTATTATATGAATCTTCCAACTTAGTCTATCGATTACGATGAATCAAATATTATTAATGTAAAAATACATTTTCTTTCATTTCTATTTAATCAAATCCATCAATACTTTACAAAGTATACATAGGTAGCTATGTCAGTTCACTGAATCAAATTAGAAATTGGACTACAGACTATGTTTTAGCTTAGGAAAGGCTATGATAACTAGTTTTATGTACCAAAGTGATCATAATACATGTAAGTAAATGAATCATAATTAGACTTGTTTAAAATTTCACTCTTATAAAGCTGACGTGTGATGATCTACTAATAAGACAATATCAAAAGAGTTTTACTGGTATCTTCAATTTTATAATTATATTTAACCGTCGCGGTAATCAATCGGAACATTTTTGTAAATAATATTAAATCGATATAGAAGTTGTTATTGAATTTAAATGTTTTAGATGTGAACGTTTTACGAAAGTAGTAGGCTAAGATTTTAGTTTTATTATGTTCAATGTATTTTATGAATGTTTTGTGTCGCTGTTTTAAATGACTTTTATTAATGAACCTTTATTTGAAAATTATCGCACCTAAGTCGTCATAGTCAATGTTCGCGTATACCTCTAAAGTGTACTTGAAAATCTCAGCAGTGACTAATACAGTTAGGTTAAGTTACCAAATAGACGAGTCTACATTTAGTATGCATAGAGCACAATATATTTAGCGATGTAAATAACCTCTTTATTAGAAATTATGTAGGGCCCCGTGTCGGCCGGGCCGGGCTAGGCGGACCTTGTAACAGGGTAGTAATATAATTTCTAATGGAGCGGCGCGAGACGCCACGATGTGCCTGACCCGTTGTTGTTTACGTCGTACGACTCGTAGGATAGATTACATGCCACGCCGCGCCTTCACACGGTGGACGAACTTGATACTATACCTGTACGTGTGTACGTATGAATGTTACGTGCCTACTTTTATTCACACGATTTATTACACGTTCAACTGTACACAAGTGTTGCTAAGGAAACTGTTAATATATTTTTTAGAGAGAAGACATGACATTTAGTAATGAAATTATTTTGCGAATATTTTACCCAAAATAATAGTTTTATACATAGAGCCACCGTCTCAAATAAATTGTGTGAATAAAACACCGTGCACATAGTAGCTAGTGTAATTATTTATATAATAAATTTAATGAATAGTCCCAAATGTGATATTACCTCACATAATTCGCGTGAACTTCATTATGTAGTGGCCATTGTGACCTACTAGGTTAGCTTGTTGCGTTACCGGCGCGCGCCGCGACGCGCTGTAGCATCAATGGATGCGTTGTAAGTTGCAAGACGCTTGTAAGATCTGGTAAAAGAGAAATATTTATGTATGTAGCACAAGGAATTATTGTAACGCAGGTTGCCGTCTACCAATGTTATGAATTCATGCAAAGTAATTTTAAGTGTTAAATGTGCAATATCATATCTTGAGTACAGATTGTAAATACGGAAGAAGCGCAGCGGTGGACAAATTATTATATTGTAATCATGGAAAAGATTTGTTTTATGTATTGTTTTCGTAATCAGTTGTACACCTCTCATTAAATATTACCATCGATTTTATTTAATGCATTCCCACAAATTTTTCACTATAGTTTGACTCAAATTATTATTATTTTCATGATAAACATTTTGAAAAGTTGTAAAATTATGTACTTTAATATTCTATACATAAGTATTTTTATTGCATTATTTTCCTATAATTAAAATTTTAATTAGTATAATGCATTTCGTTTTATTTCATAAACAAACGGAAAATTTCCTTTGAAGTATGTTTGTGATGTATATATGGGTCCTTTCCAACCCAAGGTCACTCCCGCACTCCATCCCTCAATAGCTCAATTATTACGGAGGGTGTACGTCTAGAGCGATTGCGATTTATAGGGCCTCTAGTATTTCAGTCATTTGGTAGTTGTACCTAGAATGTTTTCCGGGAGTTTTGAAAATTGGCAATATTGTAGATTTTGATGGGCTCTTTTTGATTTCTATTTTGCACCTTCGTAAGAAAGGTGCTCGTGCCGCCATTTTTCTAAAAATGGCGGCCAAAATCAGTTTCCTCGCAATATCTCTTCCTATGCATTTTAACCGACTTCAAAAAAGGAGGAGGCTATCAATTCGACCGTATATATGCCTTTTTTAGGAGAAAAATGTTGACTACGTAGGTAATGAAATTATTCACAATTTCAGATAGGAGATTCCGTCTTGGGTACCCATCTTTATGTGTCGGTATTTTTGAACGAAACGCTCGAACATCAAAACTCCTAATTTTATAAAGAAGTTGTAAATAGGTACATTAATTATAGGAAATGTCTAGTTTAATTTGTACTAGATGTTTTCATAGAGAAATTGGAAGAGATATTGTAAAAAAAACGCTTTAGGCATTATTTTCCTATAATGGTGATAAATCACTTTTTCATTGGGTATTTGGATACCTATCGAGACGTCGCAGATCAATATTTTGCCTGGATTATTTGCGATGCATTTTTGGAGATTCATCGCAAGCATTTTCGTTTAAAAATAACGACTATGATATATCGATCTCTTTTGTCTTGGGCTTTTTTTGATTTGATGATTCCGATGATAATCTCCTGATTATGGCAAGTTCCTAAAGTCTGTATCACAATCACATGAGCGGTAGGTCTATAACGGACTACACTGTAAAGAAAATCCACCGCTGGCTCTACTTTCAAGGGTCGTGGAAATGTTTTTTTTTACAAAATGTTCTTAAATATGTTCTTTGCCTATATATCCTCTTTATAGAACGAACTATACGTGTTCTGTAAGGTTTTTGGCGATTTAGGATACAATGTTCTGAGAAGCGTTAAATATACCTACTACTTCAAAGAGCGCATGGGTTAAGGCCATCTCAGAATTTCTGTACAAGCGCACTCACTTCCAATGCAAAAAATTGTACCCAAAAGTGTTGGGCACGTTTTCGTCAGCGTTTAAAATATTTATTAGGATGAATTGTTGTGTAAAATCTATATACAGGAAAATGAATTTTCATTCGTTAGTCTCGCTAAAACTCGAGAACGGCTGTACCGATTTGGCTAATTTTGGTCTTGAAATGTTCGTGGAAGTCCAGGGAAGGTTTAACGCATTCAGTGCCCATGACGCGTCTGTGCGTTTTGTAACACGACACTATGTGCCCGAGACTCAAATATGCGTTCTATTCATTTGACCCTTTTTTACCTGCTGCCCGTCAACGCGTCCGAGGGTCTATTGTTTCGAAACCCATATGTACTTCCTTATCTGATTTCTTTGATAAAGGTCATTACACACTTTGTACGAATTATAAAAAAAAAGTTTGCTGATAACGGCAATACAATGCACGGCGGTGCCTTAGAAGATTTTAAATACCACGAGAGCTAAAGCCAAAATCTACCTAGATACCTAATTGTTTTTCCAAGAAACCTAATATTTCATATGACTCTTATCTACATACGCACAAAAGAATCACATTAGTTTGCTGATAACGGCAATACAATGCACGGCGGTGCCTTTGAAGATTTTAAATACCATATCCACCAGGCGCTATAGCCAACTATCGAAATGTTATAGGATAAACCTATACGAGATAATAAGTACCTTACTAAATATCTATGGTGAAAGACTATAATTTATATATACTGGCATCGCGTCGTGACATACGTTTAAAAATCCAACATCAACCTCCTGTTTTTGAAGTTGGTTAATTAGTATACTAAACCCATCCCCTAAATGTAACAGAAGTTTTTCTGAAAACCGCATCAAAATCGGTTCAACCAATCGCGAGATAATCGCGTACAAACAAACATACAGGTCAAACTGAGAACCTCATTTTTTTTAAGTCGGTTAAAATACAACAATGTTCTAAATATAACCTACCAACCAACTATAGAATTATTACGTTCATCCTTAGTTTATATTTAGATAAATTTTTCAATTTCACTACATAAAATAAATAATCTTATGGATTATAAATTCCATTACAGTGTGTCATGACCCTAACTTTTATTTACAGATACATAATATTCTATCGTATTTTCGTAAGTATATAACAAACGCACAGACGCGTCACGGGCACTCGCCGAGAGTCGAACGGACGCATATATGAGTTTCGGGCACACGGTGAGAGCCGTAAGAACGCGTATATGAGTTTCGAATGCGTTAAAAGGAAAGGAAGGAGAAAATTTGAGGCGGAATGAAGTTTGCCAGGTTAGCTAGTAATAATATAAATAAAACATGTAATTATTTCATATAAATTTTATTACAAACGTTTTTTTTACTTAAACTGCAAATAATATACCAAAGAACATTGTCTAAGTAAAGCTGGAGATCCAGCACACGTTGATCGCAACTAAGTTATGATTGGAAACGGCTTGTCTAGCGAGGCGACCACCGGCAACAAGCAAGTCTCGGGCTCTCGCGCTTCACATCAATTCACTAAGTTATAAAACATATTAGAAAACATCAAAACAATATTCAATTACCGATGTGATGCTTACAAACCTGATTTGAACAAAATACGTGTTTGATAAATAAATCGAATTGATTGTGCTTGAAAACAAACCGAAATCATGAAATACTGTTGTGTTCCACTTGACTGTAACGTCAATAAGTATTAATGGAAGATACTTGTATACTATAAACCTTAACTGAGTAAGTATTAAAATTCATTTTGTCTCAGCTAGCACTAACGTAGACTAGCCGTTTCTTACAATGTCTATTTAAACATTCCGAAAAATTCAAATGATTGAAATAATTTACAAAAATATAACATTCGTCACTTTAACACATACAACACAATGAGCTTTACTTGATAAATACATAATCGAGTCAATATTATCACTCAAGTTGGAATGAGAATAAGAAAATAAATATTATAATTTGAATTAAAATTGTATAGAGCAGTAGACAGACTGTCTGCAGCGCTAAAATAACTGTAATAGAATAGAAGAGACAGAGACGACAAAGCTGCTTGTACTAGTTAGTGCGACTTTGTCTCAAGAGTTGAAGATATTTGGCGATGAAATGATACATAATACCAAAATTACCATGCTTTGCACCATTACCTTATTTATATAGACACAAATTTATATGGTTTCACAAACCTAAAATTCTTGAAACCCCTGACGCAATCATTTGACTTACGTAAAATAATAATAATATTGTTGTTTCAGTAGTTTACAGCCAAAAACAAAAATCACTGAACGATACAGCTAGTCGCTATTCGTAGCTGAGATATTGTAGAACCGCGGTGCATGACACATCGCTAACTAGTAATGCTCGGCTCGCACACACTTTGTACTTTAACACTAGTATTGCTAGCAACTAAGTACTTCAATATTTGCATTCTAAATGTAGCTGCGAGTGACGCCTCCCGTACGTCGCGCAGGGAGCGCGCAGCTACATTCAGGGCAATGCCGAATTAGTTACTTACTTAACCTAGGAAAAAGGGGCAGTATAATAAATTATTTATTATTTTATTGATAGGTTGATCCTTACATTAATAAAAGGATACGTTTAGAATAATAGTTTACTCTCGATGTTGAGATGTTCCAACCATTACAATGAAGCATTACTAGTGAGCGATTGTTGGCTGCTTACAAACGGGCGCGTTTCGAGCATATATACATCGTGAGAACGTAGCCGCTTACTGCTTGTAGCTGGGGCGGTTCAGAGACCGAGTCCGGTCCACACTACTAGTTAAGAGAAGCATCAGTCACGAAGTGTAAGTCCGTCATCTTCGAAGCAACAGTTTGAAGTATTTGATAATTATATAAAGTAATTAAATGATACACAGGCACAAAGTAGATTATTGCATTTGGGCGGCTACGTTTTGTTTGACATTTATATGAGAAGCATACGCGAGTATAAGCGAGCCGAGTGGCGGCGGCGTGCGTGCGCCCGCGCAGCTCAGTCGATGTACTGGGCGAGCCAACGGAAGCCCTCGCCGTAGCCTTGGCGCTTCAGCACCGAGCACATGAACAGCTCCAGGGGTCGGCCGGGCAACTCTGATCTGGATACTTTGCCCTGGAACAGACAGTCATAGCGTCATTATTAGTCAAATATACAACTAGAAAAATGACAGACAAAGGTTTAATACAATTTCTATATTGTATTTTATTACTGCATAAGATAAGATTGATTATGTCGCACTCGGTATCGCTGTGTACATGTCCGTCAATAAGTCACGTCGAGTAGATTAGCATAAATAAATAAACCTTGGGAGTCTGCATACAGACAGACTGTATCTAGGAAATAATATAAATTGCTAAGAGGCCTGCCTAAGAAATTTAAATAATATAGTGAATGTGGTACCTTAAACGTAAACTAGTTTGTTAAATTACAATTTTAAATTACTCGTGTCACATTGGCAAGAAATAAGACAATATACATATATATCTACGTTTTATTTTGTACGTAACGTCGGAAAACAGTAGTATTATTATTCCTATTCGTTACGCCTATGTTAATTTTAATTTATTCAAGCGATTTACCATTATTTTTTGTAATTGGTTCGTAATAGGAAAAGTATATGTGCATAATATATTTTCTGATAAATAAATAAATTACGAATTCTATCGTACACTTTGTCATTTACTGGAGGTGAGATAAAGTAAGTAATAAATATACTGGTAGATAGTGTCGGGGACAAGGCGACGATTATACGGACCTAGTTATCTTTATACGTACGGTAATGCTAAATTTAGTATGCTATTCATACTACGATACAAAATCCATTTCCGTACATCTAGACTTTATTATAATATGAACATTATTATTATTCTTTGTTCGTTTTATAATGAAATCTAAGGTAAGGCTTTAAAGTGGAATCGACAAGTTTTACGGTTCATAAAACAATCGTAAAATTTGGCGCGTATTGCATAAAAACGCTAAAGATAAGAATATTTGTAAATTGGGTCAGTCGGTCGTGACGTTAATATTAGTACCGGGATGATAGTGTGTAATTGAAAATGTATCTTGCAATTATTTATGGTTGACGAGAATTTGCTATAATTCGAAGATTTACTTAGACAATATAAACGCAAAATAGAAAAATATAATTAAGAATTTTCAACATGCAAATAAGGTTCATTCAACCCAATGTCCCATTACACGACGTGTTGATTTAAATATATTGATAAAGCTAGTAGAGAATGGAAATGAGGCTCTGATGATAGAGCTTACCTTTCCAGTGGTCTGTTGGTACAGGTTGAAGAACTGACGGAGCTCATCCTCGCTGGCTGCGCCGGGCTTGTCGATCTTGTTGCCGAGGATGAGGACGGGGCAGTTGCTGAGTGTCTCGTCAGTGAGCAATGAGTCCAGCTCGGCCTTGGACTCGGGCAGGCGCGGGCGGTCGCAGGCGTCCACCAGGAACACGATGGCGTCTACCGCCGGGAAGTAGTCGCGCCACACGCGCCGCGCCTGCTGATGCCCGCCCAAGTCGAACGTCGTGAAACGCATACTGCCTATTGACAGCTCCTCCGACGCTGTGGAAATTATGTGGCGTTAGAAACGTTTAAACTAAATGAATAAGTTCGTCCAAAATATCACTTTTATAAAAAAAAATATTATAACATTAGATACATCATTTTTGTTTAAAGCGTTACCTCAGTTTTTCCTTCAATATATAAAGAGTAATAAAATAATATTAGAAAAACAAATATTGGCTACACATTTATTTTACTGTACTGTTTTAATAAATAATGTCACACACAATGTCAGAGTAGTACTAGTGCAAATTATATTTATGTAGCTTTTGGCATGCTACAATAGTAATAATTTATCTGTGACAACAATCAGCTACGCATACGACAATTTTTAAACAAATATGTTTTTATGAACCTTCACTGAAGAGTTTGTGTACACACTAATCTCCAGAACTGCTGGTTCGAATAGAGTAATTCCATTTGTGTTGGATTTTTTTATGGAATAGCAGGCAAACGAGCTGACGGATCATCTTAGTTAGTTTATTTATCGAGGACGGCTATGGAGTATAAACCATAACGCTATGATCAATAGCAACCGAGCAGCGAATAAAACCGCACGGGAGCTAGTCATAAATAAAATTAATTAATTACAAGTATTTTATGTACCAAGAATATTCCATGATATCGGTCACTCGGTAATAAATGAGACATTTATTTATCAGCAGGGAAGTGAGATAAAAAGGTTGATTGAAATATATACATGAAACTAAAGTGGGAAGATACTGTCACTGCAATTAACTCTGTATAAAAAACTGGCATTTGATTGGCTGGCATCATGATATCTTGACCAATACTATTTGCTAATAAGGTCACTGGACTTGCGAAAGTCATAATGACTTGAGTTACTATTTAAGTAGCTTTTACCCGCGGGTTCGCACACGTTACGTTCGGAGTTCGCATTATTATCTCACTAGCGACGCACCCCGGCTTCACACGGGTGCAATATGCATGTATTATAGATATAAACCTTCCTTAAGAATCACTCTATCTATTAAAAGAAACCACATCAAAATGCGTAAAGTAGTTTTAAAGATCTAAGCATACATAGGGACAGACAGACGGCGGATAGCGACATTGTTTTATACTGTGTAGTGATAGTGATATTCTAGTATACCCATCTATAAAAAGGCATAAAATGTCAAGTCAGCATGATATTACTTAAAACATATAACACTACTCAACACTTAAAAAATATCTGACCCAATTCATATTATTTCATAATAAGCTTGACCAATATAAAAATACTGTATGCATTTTATTTCAATATCACATCTGGTTATAGGGATAAATATTTTTTTATTTTTTTACCTACCTACAAAAGTTAAAATGCGGGGTAGTCCGGAAACTTATTACTTTTGCAAATGGAACATAGTGCATTTGTTAGTATATTAACTGACTTCTAAAATGTCGCGAGTGTGTATTAACAGTTCTGATTTATTTTGCTATATTTGTGGCGAGTTTACGCCGAAATCGAAAAAAAAACCACTTTCTGACTTAATTAAACAGTGCTATCAAGCTTATTTTAACCGTGTCGTAAGGAATCAAGACAAGTCAAGGGTTCCTAAAGTGTGCTGCTTAAGATGTTATACATATCTCAATGGTTGGTGTAAGGGAACAAGTAAAAAAATGCCATTTGGTACGCCAATGGTGTGGATGGAGCCAACGAATCATGGCGTCGATTGTTGTTATTTTTGTTTAACGCAATTAAAGGGGTTTTCTGAAAAATCAAAACGACGTATTAAGTATGCCAACGTGCCATCGGTAATAAAACCTAAGCCACATTCTGACGAGTTACCTGTTCCTGAGTGCCCAGGGAATTTAATTCAGACAGTTGAAGTCGACTCGAGTTCGACGGATAGTGAAAATAGCGAGGACCGCTAATATGTCCCAAAATGTGCATCTGAGCCACTTTTATTAAATCAAACTAGACTTAATGACTTACTGATTCAAGATCCATCTTTTATACCTGCTCTCAATAATATTGAAAAACAAGCACGCTTTTGTCAATGTCACTAACAATTTCCTTGGTAACAAGAAATCTGAAGATTTTCGCGAAAAAATAAAAGTTTTATTGGACTGCTACTATAAAATGGGATGCAATATGTCACTTAAGTTGCATTTTCTTCACTCGCATTTGGACTTTTTCCCTGAAAATATGGGATCAGTCAGTGACGAACATAGCGAACGCTTTCACCAAGAAATTGTTGCATTTGAAAAGCGATTTCAAGGCAGATGGGAGCCTGCTATGCTCGCGAATTACTGTTGGAGCCTTATTAGAGAGACCCCTGCTACTGAGTACAAGAGAAAAGCCAGCTACTCCCAAAAAAACTACGCCATTTCAATTAAAATTACAATAAAATTATGGAAAATTCGTGATTTCGGACATGGATGTTTATCTGGACATTGAGATGTGATGGTGTGTGTATATTTGTATATGTTTATTACTTTAGTGGCAAGAAATAGTAATCACATAATGCAACCTCAGATAAAATCAAAAGTTGAAAATTTGTTGAGTAGTGTAATAATATAAGTTGAGATAATTAATTCGAAGCAGGAAATTAGACTTGTATACAACCTTGAGCGGCTCATTATAATTGACCATCATTTTCTGGCAGAATAAAAAACATGTTTGGACAATATTTAACATAACATTAAGGCTGATATACCGTAAAAGAGTAAGCAGATACAAGACATCTATTTTCGACTATCAGTTTCGCAAATTGTATAAAAATTAAATTCTAAGGAACGAAATTCTAGCTATCTCTTTGCATAAATTGTTGTTTCATTCTGATAATGCACAAACGTCACTGTCGTTACAAAGTATTACATTTTTTATAAAACTAGCTTCTGTCCGCGACTTCGTACGCGCAATCCCGATTTCTCCTGTTCCCGTAGGATTTGCAGGATTTTTTTTTTTTTTTTAGAAAACCTTGCCCCACACTAGGATTTTCTCCTGTGTCGTGGGTGCGTTTACAAACATACAAGTTCACATACACAATGACACCCAGACCCGAAACAACAATTTGTGGATCACACAAAGTGTTGTCCCGTGCGGGAATCGAACCCGCAACACGTTGCACGGCAGCCGGTTGCCCAGCCACCGCACCAACCGTGCAGTCAAGTTTCTGTCTTAAGAACATTCTCCTAATATTAATAAATACAACAAAAAGAATTAGTTAAATCGGTCCAGCCAATTACACGTGATGCCGTGACCAAGGGAAAAAGGGATTCATTTTTATATATATAGATATCTATCTATCTAGATATTTTACATTATATCAAAGTCAAGATCATTTACTTCAATTAAACAAGGAAGGCACTTTTGAACGTCAACTAATAAATTTAAAAATGTCAGTCTGTCGTTCAGTCCTCTAGTAAAGCTATTCACATCCAGGCAATGTACTTTTGAGCAAATAAAAAACAGTGCACAGAAAGTTTGAATGAAATTTTTATGAGTATTGATCAGTATTGATCAGTTTACAACAACCTTGTGCACCAAATGTTATTAAAATTTTAAAATAGACATTTGTTGTTTATCTGTTGAAATATCGTACGCTAAATTTGTTCATACAAAAGTAGTCTCTAAACTTCGGAAATAAGGCCTATAATGGAGTTAGTGGAAAGCAGTTACCATTGGGGATTGAGAGGTTAATCCTCATGAGTAGCACTAGATGCATATCTTGTTGGAGTAGTCATTTAACTTTTATCTATTTATCAACAACATCAGCATGACATTCATAATATATAATTAATTATATTGACACTGCTATGTTTATTAAAATTTTCAAGATAGTGTAACATCACTAATTTTTTTTAGAGAGTAAGAAGATATATCTTATATATGTATAGGTAGTCACTGTAGTCTATTTATTGAAATAAATATTGCTTATTTCATCAGTTGTTTTATTTACCCATTCAATTCAATTATAAGCCTGAAGATTCTGAGGATTTAGCCATAATAAGTGTCAATTGAACTTTGCTCTCTTTGGATGTTCATCCAAACTAGATAGTTTAGAATGGACTATGACCATATCCTTCAACAGACTTTATTTTATTATTAACCTTTTTAGTATTCTAGTCTAATTTAGATGACTTAAAGACTTATATGATCTAAAATATAATATTGATTCAGTAACAAAGGCATGATGTTTCATCATTACCTTCAGAAAATCATTGGTTTTGTAAAATGTCTGAATACTGAAATGCCATCTCTGTCATTTTATAAAGAATTTGTACCTATACTTAAGCATGACTTAAAAAAATAGCCTTTCAGTATTCGGGCATTAGGCTCATGCATTTACTGAGAAATTTGATAAGAGAAAAATCTCAAATAAATTTCTGTGTCCAATTTGTTTGGTCCTAAGAATTTAGTAAAATGAAAACAATAATATTTTTTATAATAAATACTTACTGGGATGCAATGTGGGTACATGCTGCGCCAATCTGTCATCCTTCAGCATGTGCAGGAGTGTGGTCTTGCCAGCATTGTCCAGCCCCAAGAACAGTAGCTTGCCTGACTTCTTCCACAGACCTGATAAACAAAAACCTCATTAAAAAAAACAACTAAACTTCATAGATATTATTTCTTTCACTATTTCTTTTTTATTTCCAAAATTGAATGTTATATTGTAACTAAGGTACATAATACAATGCAATTTGAATTAGGAATGTGTACAAAAAAAAATTGTGATGTTGTAATAATTTCATGCTTATTTATTATTATTTTGTTAAAAATTTTAATTTGAATTGTTATTATCTTGAATAAAAGATGCCTTAATATAAGGTTAAGGAAATAGTGAGTTGTTTCAAATGCTAAGGATGTTTAGTAGGTAACTGTGTCACTTCACTGGGTAACAAAGTTGACCTTCAGTTGAAACAGTTACACACAAACTATGAAATATTTACTACTGAGTTTGGACTATGTTTTGTAACTCAATGATGAAATTGAAGTTATAAGTGATTTGATATTTAGTTACATTATTAGTTATCATCAATAAACATGATATAAATGACAACCAAAACAAGTATTAGGTATGCTATTGATTGTTTTTAAATTTAATCCATAGATAATTCAATTCATTTATTGTATTCATAGCTAAATGCCACCACAGATGTGACTTTTATGTGTGAATTATAACTGTATGTAATCAAACAACCATTTGAAGAAACTCTTTCAAGAAGCTAACTCAACCTTCCTATTTTGTTGTAAGTTCAACTTTCTAACAGTGACTGTTTATTGTTTAGCCAGAAACAATTATTATACATAATTTGTACCTTTTCAGTCAATAATCAATGCTTGTGTTAGTGGAGTTGGTGTGGTTTTTCAATAATTAAAGCACTTGTGTTTGCTTTACACATTCTCCAAATATATTAATGGATGTATATGTTCCTTTTTAGATGTTTAGTTCAACTTATGACCGATAATCAGCTAGGTACTTCAGAAAGCTGAACTTTGACTGGAATTATGGCTAGATTCTAGTCACAGGTAAAGAGAAGATCAAGCAAGATCCCAATAGGAACTTCACTTACCAAGGAATCCGAGAACACCAGTGAACCAATCCAAGATAAACATTTTGAATCTGGAACGTAGGAAACAATATTAATTCAGAACATCCACCTTCATCACAAAGAACGTATGGGATGAGTAATGACTTGCAAATCTTTTTGTTATCAATTACGTCGTAGTAGCTACCAGTGGAATTTCACTGAGCGACGCCACCACACATCACACATGCCGTCAAACTTGTCGAGACATCGAAAACGTAATAGGAATACAATATTGAATTGAGTAACAAGAATGACAGAACGTCACTTACGTACTTGAAACTTCGAACTTTAATTACACCAAAACGAAAATGAAATACTCACTATTTAAAATTGAACTAGATTAACTAATGCTAAAAGGAAGTTTATCACAATATTTCACACTTATTAGCAATATGTTACGTCGCTAAAACCGACGATTTTTCTCAGCAACGAACAAGCGATGGAAATATGAATCTGTTGGCAATGACGTACGCTATTTCCGGATGTTGTCACATTGCTTTAGGGATGGGGGATGGATCATAAAATTCATAAAATAATTTGGAATAAACGTAAACTCGTATTTTTTAATTCGAATATTTAAAAATTACAGTTAAGAATAAAATAGTGTTTCATTGAGCATTTAACATTTGTACCTCATTTATTGTTTTTGTTATTTGAAGCATGAAAATTGCGTGAAATATAGTGGAATATATGCGTAAATTATTATGTAATAAAAAGGACGAATTTTTTTATTATTACTTTTAAAATTAAATATTATTGTTTCTGTATCTTTTGGTAGCACTTTTTCTGTTTTATGGTTAGAATGTTGCTAGGTTTACATCAAGTTAAAAGTTGTATTATGTTACAATATTGCATGTCGTTGTTATTTTACTCATAAAATATATTTTTGACATATAAGTACACAAAATTATTTTAGGAACATTATTTGAATTATTAATTTTCACGTGAAAATGAACTATAGATATTTTTTTGTCTTAGTAGGAATGGGACATTTTGGTTTATTTTTGTGTTTTATTAACACCACAAGGCTGGCAACAATCACATACGATTTCTTTCTAGTTTTTGACAGCTTTCAAAGCTAAAGGTATTTTCAAGTTTTACGTAAAAATGTTTTAAAATTAATAGTTTTACGTGAAATAAGCTTTCATATTGCTAGTTAATATCCTAATTTGTTATCTAGTTCTCTATACGCGTGAATCAGTGTGTGGATTACTCAGATATTTAAGGTTACAAAAGTGGTGCTCAACTGAAGTGTTGTTATTTTTCAGGGTGAGCCATGGCACCAAGGAAAAACAAAGTTCAGAAAGAGGAGGTCCAGGTAACCCTGGGTCCTCAGCACTTGGTGGGTGAGACAGTGTTCGGAGTAGCTCACATTTTCGCCTCCTTCAATGACACATTCGTGCACGTTACCGACCTGTCTGGCCGGGAAACCATTGCCCGTGTCACCGGTGGCATGAAAGTGAAGGCTGACCGTGATGAGGCTTCACCCTACGCCGCTATGTTGGCCGCTCAGGTTTGTTTACAATACTTTGATTATGCTTTGTAAAGATATCTTTACATTTTGAGGTTAGAGTGGTATTTTGAATTGATAAGACAAAAAGCTTAGTTATCTTTGTAAAGAACACCATGCACAACTAAAAATTGTATTGTTTACTCCTCAATGTTTATTATAACAGAAATGTTTAGTCAATTCAGGGAACTTCACTGTCACAAAATCATAATGAATTTATATACGACTTGGGTACTTATTTTCCAGTGGACCACATTAACTACTTCTTAATGAAGTTGAGAAGTCTATATAATATACTAAATAATGTATTGACACCAATAAAATGTAAGATGTGTACTAACTTATTTACTGTACATTTCCAGGATGTTGCTGAGAAGTGCAAGACCTTAGGCATCACCGCCTTACACATCAAACTGCGTGCCACAGGAGGCAACAAGACCAAGACACCTGGACCTGGTGCTCAGTCTGCTCTCCGTGCCCTGGCTCGTTCCAGCATGAAGATTGGCCGCATTGAAGATGTTACCCCCGTGCCTTCAGACTCTACCCGCAGGAAGGGTGGACGACGAGGACGCAGGCTGTAATCTGTTAGTTTAAGCGTACTGTGGACTTTGAATAAAGGAGTTTACGGTATTTCTGTGTTTTAATTTACAATTTTTGCACAATCCCTGCTAATAAGTACACAACAATTCTTTTTTCACTTCTGTTTACACGCTTCCTAAAACAGATAGCATTATTTACTTAGGTCAATTAGTATTACTTAATTAAGGTCACATGAGTACAGTTCAAAAAGGTACCATAAACATACCTCTTATAGTATTGTTTAATTGCACTAATCTATAAACTATACAGATGAATTATATTGGAGTGTCTGTTTGTAATATCAAAATAACCGCTTTTTACTACATATGAATATACATACAATACACGTACTAAAATATCATATTTTACAAATTTAGTCTTGTTTGTACTGGCTACTCTCTGGAATGGCTGGATCGATTTTAACGGGCCTTTAATTAACTGGCAGTTGCTGAAGTACTAACAAGTAACATAGACTACTTTTGTTTTGGAAAATCGAAACTTCATATTTTATGTGGGCAACAAATTGTTTTAAAATATGTTGGTAGTTTTTGTTTTCTCAAACTAACAAGCACTTATAATAGAGCCAATGGAAATAATTTGATATTTACTCAAATACCATTGATGTCATTAGATTAATGATTTATTAGTTCACTGCTGAGCAAAAGGTTCTTCTCATGTAGAGAAGGATTCACTTTTAATCATAATTACTCAAGGTGTATGGCTATGGCTGTGGTCATACCAAAAGGTTAAAAAAGATTACATTTTTATAATTTGGGACTCTAGTCCAGCAGTCTAGTAGTATGTTTATGACATGTCATACTCTAGCAGTCTAGCTAGCTGGTTATTTGTATGTTAGGTACTCTATGTTTGACGATATTTATAAGTGTTGCACTTAACCCAAGGTCAATTCAATTCGACGCCCATTTTGGTGCACTTTTATGCGTGGCGACGAACAAATATTTCGTGACACGACAGTCGTGTCAAGCGCCATATCAGTTGACACGCCTATTGTGCCATCAGCCATGTACAGAAAAAAATGCTCTTTTTTTTGTTTACGCTTGAATTGTATTCAGTCGACTTTCAAAATCGAAAGTAAACGGTCAGTTACTTTTTGTTAAGTGGTTTTGAACTGATTATATATGTGTTTCACTGAAAATGGATGGTAAGTGACTTTTTTATTCAGATGTTATAAACCTTTTGTATTGTTTTATGATTTACATACATATCATACTGGGATTGTAGGTAAAACATAAAGGTTGTTTACAAAATAAATTCTTAAGGGATCGGAACAAGATTTAGCAAATGTGAAATTCATTTATTATTTATATGTAATACCTACCTACTTATGTATGTATCTAGGTATCTAATACCTACTTATATTTATAATAGCCCGATAAGCTAAATAAGATAAGAAAAATAGATGCAGCTATTAATAATAATTCGAGGTACATAAATAATGCATTTCATTAATACGTACCTAATCGCAGTAATCGGAATGCAACTTATCGAGGTTGTCAACCCCTGGAATTATCTGATTTGCATTATTTCCAGAAACGAAGTCTATAATAATGATCCGCATTCAAAAAGATTAATGTTTAGTTCAAGAAGCACCTCAAGAAATTTCGATTTGAGCGAGTTATAAGACATTTAACCCTTTAACCGCCATCACCTTAATATTACGTATTGTAAGCATATTACCCCACGCGCCAAGACGGAATATTGCGTAAAAGTCCTATCATTTTGAAAAATGTTAAATAAATGTTGAATTTACTTATTAAATCTTAGTATATTTCGTGTTATTACTTTATTTTTAACAGTACTAGATATATATTTTAGCTAATTAAATGAAATAACTAATGATTCTCAGTTCACGATACATATAAATATCAACCTACTTCGCCAAACCCGTGATTTCACGCAGACTAGTGTTGTACCACATATGAAGTTCCTGATGCTAAATTAATAAAAAACATCCTGTTTTTTATCAAATTATCAACTAAATATTTGCCTATTCTAATTTCGTATTTATTAACGATTTTATTATTCATAAAAAACCCAAGCTTAAGTGTTATAATATGTAGAAATCAACAAAGCAATAAAAATTACCGACTTATTCCAGAACGTCACTAGTGCAGGCGATCCGCGAACGCTGGCGCCTTAATTTTACGTACGGCTCAAGGTCAACTAAAGTCATATTTTAAATAAGCGTCAGTTGCGCTAACGCCATCGCCGTGATAAGACGTGCTTTTATATTATTAGGTCTAGGCTAGTGATGAGAAGTGGTCGATGATGTTATACAACGACGAAGAATTATTAACGATATTGCAACCATCAAACAATGATATTAGTAGTGGTAGCAGTTTAACAGATAGTGATAATGAATCGGTAAATTTTGTTTTTCTAGTCTGTTTATTTATCCTAAAGTTAAAAAGACAGCTAGCAAACAATAATATGTGTATTTAAGTATTTATTTTGTATTAAAGAAAAATTAAAGTTGATTTAGTTATTTTAATTGTTCTTAGTTAATATAATTCTTAAGAAAATAAACCTTTGATTAAAAATGAGTAAGTTTTATTTTTTTCATTAGTTTGTTTATCGATAACTATATTTTTCAACATTATGCAAAATTGTACCTAAAGTTTGCTGGCGCTAGATGCACTCCACGCGTATTTTGACATGGCGGTTAAAGGGTTAAAAATGACACGAAACGCGTGTCATACGCCATATGTAAAAAAATTGGATGGCACGTCTGTCGTGCCATCCGCAACGAATCGGTTAATATTGTCTCTGTAAGAGTGTTATAGATGACTCAAAAATAAACTACTTAGAAGCCTAAAATTTAGGATGTTTGATTTTCTCCTTGTGTACAGAAAGGATACAAAGAATGTACTAAATGTATTGAAATATTGGCAGATTGGGAGGATGTAAGTGCATGCCATTATATCTTTGTTGGCTTATTATAGTATTATTATAAGTAAGAGTAGTGGATGTGCATACTCGTCCACAGGATGTCAGGATTGGGTGTATAAAACGAAAACAATAGCTTGTGAGAACATTGTATGTTATTTAACCATATATTAATATTTCAGATAAATAAATAGTTACCGTTTTAAAATATACACACTACGCATTTCTACCATAAACACTTTATTTTAATAAGAACTTAGAATTTCATGTAGGTCATGTATTTATATAAAACTTGTGGTACATTGTATTTTATTATAAAATTATTGCACTAGTAGACGTGATGAGCCGCCCCATGGAGGCGGCCGCATCACCTTACACCATGTGTGTACACAAGTTATCATGTTAGTAATACATACATTATTTTCTAAAAAAACACTTTATATAAACCAAGTAGCTGTTTTATATCACACAAACACTTTGTTTCTGTTCCTAATTCCAATTTCCAATTTTTTTAAAGCTTAACACAATCATTTTACAAGCTGTGGGTGCAGAAATATTTCTGATCGAATAGATATGAGCACTGTTCGAAACCAGCTTCTTGCTAAATTTTATAAATGAGATCAATAGTACATTATACAATATTAGCACATCTTGAAAACATTGCTCCATGAGCATTTAACTCACTACAGTTGGTATAATCTTTACAATTCGCCGCATACAAGATATTTTGTCTTCATATAATCTTACAGTATAAATCTACATTTCTGATAAATAAATATTTCAATCTATATCAATAAGGACTGTAAAACATACAGACTTTGAATTTTAAACAAGAAAATTGACATAAAACATTATGCTAGGGAACACAAAAATTTAGTTCATTCAGTCAACATAATCACGAGATACGGATACGGATAGTTATTATAGCAACGAAAATTTAAGTTACAGTACAACACTAGCCCAGTTAGTTCTCTCATGCCATTAAAAATATTCCTATAAATAATAACAGTAAAATAAAATATAGAGGAGTTATAAGTAGTATAACAATAATTGTCGAAACTCGTAGAAGTGTACGAGCGGTAAGTCGTAATGGGCAACGATAATAATCCTAAATAATATTAGACGACACCTTAACTAGACCCAAAGTAAGAGATAAGATCACACAAGATTTTTAATGGCATAAGTTACCGCGATGGCGCCCCACACAAAGTTATTGCCAACGTAAAAAACGGTCAGTTACTGAGTGACATTTAGTCGTCGGCAGTGGCGGCGGAGCGCGCGCTACATGGCCTGCTTGAGGCGGATCTTCTTGAGGTGCGGCGGCGGCGCCGGCGCGGGGAAGGGGCGGCGCTTGGCGGGCAGCGCCAGGCCGTCGGCCGCGCCCAGCGCCGTGCCGCCCGCCACGTCCTCCCAGGCGCCGGCCAGCAGCTCGTCGGACGACGACGAGGCCAGCGCGCGACTGCGCGTGGACGAGCCGCGCACGGAGCGCGAGTAGCTGCGCTTGCTGAGCTTGCCCGACACGATGGACGTGCGCGGGCTCTCCGCGTCGTCCGCCGACCGCCGGCTCGCCTTCGTCTTCACGACGCCGCCCACCGCGGTCTTACTCGAGTTCGGTTTCCGGATGGCTAGAATATTTCTTCGTTTGGTCGATAACGTTTTGGGTTTGGGTTCGTTTTCGCTCAAGTATCTAGTCCGGGAGGCGGTCTTGACGGGCTCGTTCTTCTTGCTGAACTTCATGCCGAGGTTCATGATGTCGTGGCCGGACCGCGGCGCCAGTACTGGCGGGCTCCGCTTGCGCTCAGAGTCAGTCTTGGCGCCGACGTAGGTGTTCTCCTTGCGTTCCTCAGTCACCTTGCCCTTGGAGCGCGCGTACAGCGGCACGCGAGGCGGGGACGTGGTCTTAGGCCGGAGCCGTGACATCGTGAGCTAGAACAGACACAAGTGTTACACATGACATGCTAGCTGACCCCTTACAACACTAAATAATAACATTCATCTATGTAAAGCCCCACTCCGTGACTCGATTATGTACAATCTAGTGTTATGTTAAATGATCGTATTGACAGCACACATCCACTCCCACAATTAATATTCTTACCGCGACTATATAACGCTTGTCGTGTTTAGTAGTTAACACTGAAAATTAAAGACGTCGTGTTACCAATAGAGACAAGTATCGAAGCGTGCACAGTTTCACTTGTACAGGAAAGAATGCGAAGAAAATAATGATTATGTTAGTCTGGTGGCTGATAGACCAACATGGTTACAAAGCCCGCAATAAAATGAGTATTGAAACGTGACTATAGAGTATAGTACCTGTGGCCGCATGGTCCTGGTATGAGCCCGCAGCCACTCCCTGACGGCGGACAGGTTCCGGTGCTCGGAGCAGGGGATGCGGGAGTTGGGGTGCTGCCCCGTCAGGTCCAGGATCGACGCGCCCAGGGAACGACCCACCTACACACAATCATTCTGTATGAGACACTGTACAACGGTTTGTATGTATTTGTTTATTCGTTTACTGCCACTAATCAGTTTGTGGCAACAACAACCTGAGATCTGAACATCGCGAAAGTTCAGAATGAGTGCATAGGATGCCATAGCAACCTGTAAGTAGTGATGGCAGTAGTCTGTAGGCTGGTGCCGACGTGCAATGATCTGCAGTAGTGAGAAGTGCAGACCTCGTCTATTCAACATTTATAAGTTACTTTAGCATGGGAATCGTAACTTCAAGTATTAACACTATTAACTTACATTATACATAACGTATTCGTTGTATTCATAGAATCCTTTGAATTAGTTTGTTCCATTACAAAAATAAGTGCTTTATAAGCAAATGCAAGTGTAAAATATCTGGAGATTTTTGAAGAGGTATCTTACAAAGCATGATGTTTTAGGAAGCGGGACTATCTACATCAAGCAGTACTGAATGATGACTATATTGATATAATGTACGTATAGTTTAAATGTAATGTGTACTAGCATTATACAAGGTTCCAAACAAACCTCGCTGGGAGCTATCTCTTCGAAAACCTCCAGATTCTTTGGGCGATAGTGTTTTACCTGAAACGTGTTCATTTTCTGAGGACCGTATTAATAACTATTTCGCCTTCTTTAACATGTAATTGAGAATAGTCAGAAAAGGGCGGAGCAAATAATTTCATATACTGAGCAAATATTAACATAATCAAGTAAAGAAAGTTTGAGGATAGTTAGACGAATAAAATTTGTATTATGATGCTCTAAAATAAGTCAATTAATACGAATTTAACTTTGTTCGTTCAACGTCTAATCTAAGGTTCAATATACGATGACACTAAAATACAATAAATCGACACTGAGAGCGATCAGCCGGAACTGTACACATTGTTAGTCACGATATTACACATAACACACATTGTTTATTAATTTTGATTTGTGCACACAAAGACTTTACCTTAACACCATATTCTAGAAAAAAAATATTTTTAAACACACAAGTTTAAACAAGGCTTTTTAAAATTATTGTTAATTAAGTAATTTATTTATACATCTAATAAAAACAATTAAAAATAACAATAAGCACATGTATCGGTGAGTCAATTACAAGTCCACACGGTTAGAATTGTGAGCATATAAATGACCTTACACAATGCAGTATTAATGAATATAAAAGTTTCGAAAGAGTATTTGTTCTAGAATATGGTCGGTAACAGAGCACGCGCAGTGTCGAGGGGTGACGTGGGCAGTATGGTGCAGTGCTGGGCGGCGCACAAACCTGGAAGGGGTTTACCTCTTCGAAGATGTGCGGCGTGTACTTGGGCGGCGGCGGCGCGGCGGGCGCGGGCGCGGGCGCGGCGTCGCGCACGCCGGGCGGCAGCACGTTGACGAGGCGGCCCGTGTTGTAGTTGCACTCCAGCGTGTACGACCGCACCAGCCCCGTCGCCTTGAACACCGCCACGCGCCCCGAGCCCTCGCGGGACATGCCGTCGCGCCGGTCCCTGCCGCACGGTTACCAACATTATCATTTCCCAAACATTTACCAATCTTTTCGAAAACCTCATCAAAATTTATTCAGAAAATAATGGGATAATCGCGGACAACACTGGTCAAACTAAAATCTTTTTTTTTTCTGTTCATAAAACTATTGCTTCATATACAGTACTCACTTGAGATACATATTCCGCTCAGTAAAGTTACATGAAGAGAAGTGGAAGTGCAGGTTGTTCATGGACATGATGCGAGGCAGTAACATGCACTCCACACAGCTCTCCAGGTCGTCGAAATGATTGCCGTACATGAATATACCTGGAGATAATCTTTCAAAATTAATAAAAACTTAATTGTAAGACTACCTCGTTGACCGAGTAGTCGCAAGTGCGACTGTAGAATAAGGGGTCTCGGGTTTCAATTAAAAATTTTCAGTACTAGCACGGGGTCTGGAATTAGGCTTACCCCCTATTACATGGAACTCATAACATAAAATACTGAAAAGTGAGTGTACAGTACAGTGGCATTAAGTGCCGTAATGTGCCCATCTGCCTACCCCTTCGGGGATAAAAGGCGTGATGTTATGTTTTAGTACGCGTTTAGATTTTAATTTTATAAGAGTACTTTATATTAGTAACGGGTAACTAAAATGGTCAGTATAGAAACCTAAATTTTACAATATCAAAATAAAAATAACTACTCACTTCAGTATTCTTTTGTTGGTGTTGCTAACGGATATACCTATTAGGCGAAAGTTGTCTAACTTTATAGCACCAACCTTTTTTAGAAGCATGTCCATGTAAGTCTATGTACAAGTAGAGGCCGGAGTCGGCCTCCTTGGGCCCGGCCTTAGGCACAGGGTTGCTATTGCTACTGGCCGTGGTGTTGGTAGGTACGGGAGCGCCTTTCTTCTTGCCAGCCTTTATTGTCGGGGACTTCGGTTTTTCTTCTTTTGGTGAAGGCTGCAAAAATATTACATTATTATTTGATTTAGTTTACAATGTTTATGAAATAGAATCTTGCAACAAAATGTTTGTGAAGTGGAGTTTTGAAGAAGATATCTTCAATCAATCGATTGAAGCCAATCGAGCTGAAATTTTTTGTATATCTACATGATTATTATTTAGTTTTCATGACCATAAATGCTTAAATTTTTTTTTATTATGGGTTTTTTGGCATTATGCCAGCCTCCGATTGAATTGTATTTTCTTGAATTGTAACTTACATTGACAGGCACGAGTAGTACGTCCCCGGTGCCCGTGAGCTTGTCGCTGGAGTGGGAGTCAGTGCGCTGGTCGGCGCTGTCAGCGGCCGACACTGCCACGCTCGTCGTCGACACCACGCTACATACCTTCTGGAACAATACACGACTCATCTAATACTATTGCTCTTTTTTCTCCTCCCTTTTTTTTGAGGCGGGATAATCATCTTATGACTTCTCCCACCTTGGGTTAGGCGAGAGGGAGTGTCAGACTCTTACCGACTAAAAACCACCCCGTTCCTACTCCTGCTCTTCGACGTTTGCTAGGTTATAAAAAAAATTATAACAAAAGAAAACACAAAGCCTAATTGGGTAATAATATGGAAATTATTGGCTGATATGATTATGATTTATCTGAAGCTGATACATCATTCATCTGGATATGGTACTTATCACCATAAGTTTAAGAGACTTTGATAAGGTTTCTGCTTAAGAAGAAAAATACTCACAATTTCTTCATTGGAATCTGTAATTACGTATCTCTTGAAGCAATTGGTGCAAAAGTGTAGGTTCTCTTCCTTGAGCGCAGGTGATGACGAGGCGTCAGAGTCCTGGAAAATTAAAAACCTTTAAATATTCAAACATTTTTAAAAAAATTGTGCTTTTTTGACATTTTTGCTTAGAAACAGCCTAAATAAAAATAAGTAACTTCTACATTGATCGAAACTATTTTCACTAAGGATCAATAAGTGATACCTTCTTGGATTGCTCATCAACTTGTTGTCTCTGGTGTTCTCTGTATTCGTCTATGGTATGATAAGTAAGGTGGTCCTGTCGATTCTGGATTGGGAAAGGAATAAGGATGAGTAAAGAAGGATGCGGATTATAGGTTGAGGGAACTATTATAATTCTTACATTTTCGACAATAAGTATTCCAAACTAAACCTTAAACTGTGCGATATAAGACCTTTTTTGCTCTGGCAGGAAGATTTATTCATTAATTCTTGCTAAAACAACTAAAAAGAAACATTCTACTAAAGGACCTAGACAATGTTTTTTTTTACAGAAAACCACAATAATTAAAACAGAACCAGACAATACTAACTCAAACTTATTTTGAACCCATAAAGTACAAATTTACTTAACTGTATAACATAAGCAGATTATACAAATTTCAACCTTATTTTGAATGTAGAAAGTACACATTTCTTTAACATTCTACTCACCAATGAGACGTTGTATCCAGGAACCATCCCAGTGATGCCAGGCATGGTATCCTCCAGCTTGGACACCGCCAGGCGACAGTCCATGCACCAGCCCATCTTCACATTCGACTGGCGAGACTCCTTGCTGCCTAGTGCACTGTCGCTGAAGTAACAATAATGATTTATTTTTGTAAAACGGCAACATAAACCCACTATTAACACATTAACGTAATGCCAATGACAATAGGTTAGGAATACCTATTAATGGCCGAAATAATAATAACTGGCATTAATCCAAAATAATAGATTAAGATCGATTTTTGACATGTCCCCAATTCCCAAATTATCTTCAAATCTCTAACAACTCCTAAAAATCCAGCAACACGCTTGTAACTTAACTCTATTGAAATAAATTAAATAAATTCCCCTTTTTAATAAATATGCTGAAAAGTTAATAAGTATGTGAGAGCCATGCTTCGGCACGAATGGGCCGGCTCGACCGGAGTGATACCACGGCCTCACAGAAAATCTACGTATGAGTGAGGGTACTGGAGGCCCAATTATCCCCCTCCCCAATCCCTAATAATCCTCAATTTCCTAATAATCCCCAAAAGGCCGGTAACACATTTGTAACACCTCTAGTGTTGTCGTGTGTCTACGGGCGGCGCCGATTGCTTACCATCAGGTGATCCATCTGCTCGTTCACCGGCTATCCCATAAAAAAAAGAATCTAATATTATATAACATACCCAGTCACAGAGGTGTTAGACTCCATGAGCAAACTGATACTATTCTTGAGGGTATCACGGAGAGGTCGCAGTGGGTTCGAGCCATGGAAGTTGAGCTCTTCGCTGGTACTCAAGTGGACCGTGGATCCCAAACATGTTCTCAACATGTTATCGTTCAGTAGTGACGGTGACTCATCTATGTTTGAATTTGATGGTTTTGAGGACGTGTCGCTCGTTTGTGATGGCTGCTCTTGTAGTTTCATGTCGTATACCTGAGTAGAATGAAACATGTTTTATAGTTCATACTTAATTGTTCTCTGATCATTTTAAACTGCCTAACCTAGTATTCAAGAGTCAAGACATTCAACTTGAGTTAAAATAGTTTTCTTTCTATTGAAAAACACAATTAAAGCAGTGGACATTGTTCAAAATGTTCTATTTACGGATATTAATGTTGTGTATGTACATTAAATAAAATACTTGATGTTCTGATGTATTGTAGTTTTATTTAATAAGTAACGATTAAATATGATTTTTTACTTTTTAACTATTTTACAGCAATAATTCACTTCATCTATCCGAAATAGAAAGAAAAAACATTGTTTCGACATAGAAACTAGGACCTATTTTATAATCATCATACAACGTGCAAATTGGTTATTTATTTCCACCACAAAGTTAATATGAAAACGTGTCGCGATTAGATTTTAATTAATTCATAAACAACGGGGATATGAAAGCTCTCGATATAATCCGCTTTAGCGACGGTTCGCTGATTGTTTTCGAAATTAATTTGATAAGCCACACGATGGATTAATTTATAAACTTTTTACGGATCGCTGCATAAATTATTCCAAGAGTTAATGCTGCAATCCTTTTTTAATATGCGTTGCTGAATCCAATTAATAATAGTTATTGTTTACGTAAATTATTTTGTATATAGGTCAAAAACCTATAAGTATTCCTTCACAAGGAAATCTCATAGGTTTTTTATAATGATCGTAGTTGTCAACAACAAGGGCCGGACGGCGAGCAAGGTTAGACCAGACGCCGCCCGACCAGAACCCGACCAGAGCGTGCAGCGGAGGTTTTTAATCAGTAAGAGTCTGACATTCCCTCTCGCCTCACCCAGGTTTAAAAGAAATATAATCCCAGACTTTATCCTCGGCCATCTTGTGTTTAGTTTCGAAAAAATCTTAGGATAATACTCAATTCATCATGTGCATGGTTAACGATTTAAAAATTGTCAATGGAATAAAAAAAAATATTGTGCAGTCAATATTTTATCTTAATACGACTATTATATTTTACTAAGCACATTAAGGTAGTACAATATTTGTGACTTAAAATAGCAGAGTATGCTGGAAGTAATAATGCCACAATAGTTAGGATTAGTGAGTGCGGCTCACGCGAACCAAACAGTAATTGGATTTATACAGGCGAGCCGGCAAGAAAGCAATATTTCTAAGTTTTGTTAAAGGAGGTCAAATGTCTGTAGCGTAAACCATAAACTTCATTACCATAAACTTCATAACGTATTTTTCTTTAATATTTGTTTTTTTAATGCAATAAGATTTTGTTTAGATATAGCAGGTCTTTTAGTGGTACCTAAATTTTGATCAACAAAATGAAAATTACATTTTCTTCAATGTTTTTCTTTATACAGATAATAATTTAATTTAGGGTAACAATTACAGCTACTGACTTCTACTTCATTTTCTAATAACTGTGTAGACTATATATAGGTGTTATATATGTTTATATTATCTGTGGCAAGGTGGCCACTTTTTAAGAGTGGAAACCAGTTTATGTTCTTCTTTTTTTATGAAATAAGAAGTGTGCTTCTGACTAGTTTGTTTAATTTACATGTAAAATAATTACTAGGATAATATGACGTTCAAAATATATGACATGAGGTAAAGAATATTCTTATATCTTAGAACTAACCTGTTCAGCCAAATGCGCGGCCTCTCCACTGAGTGACTTGAACTCTTTCTTAGAGTTGTCGGAGGAGGTTGAAGGAGGTTTGATTGTGGTGGAAGACTTCTGACTAGTCATCGGCTTCGGGTGCTTCTCCCTCTTGTAGTAATCGCCTCCTTTGTACGGCTGTGGGTTACTGTTGCCTTTCTTCTTCTTGGTATCTATCACCTGGTAAGAAAGATATAAACAAATGCATAGAAACTGTGTTTATGTATTGTGACTTGAGATCTTTAAAAAAAAAAGGCTTTAATTAGAACTACTATTTTAAGTTTGCATGATTGTATAAGTATAAACGAATACTAATGGCCGTTTTCACCAATCGCCCCTTAACCATCTCTTAACTAAAAGTTACTTAGTGTGAGGAGGCACCTAAACTAGCTCCTTACCTTTGGATAGTACCATACTAGCACTATAAGTTGGTGGAAAACAAAATGTCTTTAAGGGCCACCTAACTTAGTTTAAGAGTTCCTAAGAAAGGTTGGTGAATAAGTATTGTTAAGACATATTAATATGTGAAAAAGCTACAATACCAAAGATTTATAGTACACTTACAGGGCATCAGTAACTTCAGTCACTCAAGCACCCAATTATTACAAGTTTGACTTACCAAATCATGACTATCTAATAAACTAGTTTCGAGAATTGGATGGTACAAATAATGTGAGTAATTAAGTAATTACTGGACTGTGTGCGGGTACCTCGGAACTCTCTGAGATGTTCTGTATACTCCGCGACGTGTAGCTCTTGCTCTCGTCCATCAAATCTTCCTTTTCAGAGCCGTAGTGGTAATACCTTTGTAAATACAAAACATTTATCATTTACTAGCTTTTCGAAATCCAATCTTAATGAATCATATCTTTAAGAATCAATTTCCAATGGTGTAATGAACACACGAAGACGAAGAATTGTGATGGTTTCTTGTATACAATTGTAATATTACAAAGATTATATGACAGTCGTGGTAGCCCCGAGGTTTAAGACGCCCGCTTCTCATGCATTAGGGTGCAACCTACCAACGGCAAGTACCAATGTGACTTTTTCCGAGTTATATGTACTTTCTAAGATTATTTAGACACCATTGACAAACGGTGTAGGAAGGAAATCGCTTAATTGGATTGAGCAAGCGTGGTGATTAATGCGCAAACCTTCTCCGTGTGAGAAGAGGTTTTGCTCAGGAGTGGGCATTTATGGGATGTTGATGATGATGAAAGATTATTTTATTTATCAACTAACGACCCGCCCCGGTTTCGCACGGGTCCAATATCCATGTTTTATACATATAAACCTTCCTTAAGAATCACCGCAAAAAAACCGCAACAAAATCTGTTGCGCGGTTTTAAAGATCTAAGCATACATAGGGACAGACAGACGGCGGATAGCGACTTTGTTTTGAAAGAAAGAAAGAAAAAGCATTTATTTGTCAAATGGCACACATACAAAGATTATGAAAAATAAAGATAATACTAGCTTCTGCCCGCGACTTCGTACGCGTAATCCCATTTTTTCCCGTCCCCGTTCGTGATTTTCGATAAAAAGTAAAAAAAAAAATATTGGTTAAAAAGTATCCTATGTCGGTCTCCTGGCTCTAAGCTACCTCCCTACCAATTTTCAGCCAAATCTATTTTGCCGTTCTTGAGTTATAAATGGTGTAACTAACACGACTTTCTTTTATATATATAGAGATTTACATAAATAAATAATAAAAAATCATCAAAAAATAACAAAATAATGAACTATGTTTTATACTATGTAGTGATGTAGTGATGATGATTTTGAAGTTCATGCTTTGGAATCTATAATGTAACTGCATTTCATAAGTAAGCAGACAAGGGTGCTTACTTTTTGGTTCGATACTAGGTATGTATGCAATTAAATAGTATGACAATAGATGTAAAAAAATTCAGTTCAAAAAAAGTCAACTTACCTAATCAATGCTCTTGAAGCGTACACAGTAGGATGCAGGGCCAATGAGGGGTTCAAATAGACCCGGTTTAGGTTGACCCCCCTGGTGTCAGTTCGGTAGTGACCACGAGCGACCCCATCAGGGTTGAGGAAAGGGACCATTTTGAAGACGTAGATCTTCCGCAACTGAATCGCTATGGGGTCGTTCCTTGTGAGTAGAAGGTTCAGGAATCCGTTGAATACGAAGCTTGAAGGAGTTTCTCCTGGATGTACTCGAGCTGATATGAATATCACCTGTGTCAAGATATTTTTGTTAATTCATGCATTGAATAGTTAATTTTAAACGGCTAATTTATCGTACTTTAGATTTATTTATTTGAACCAGCTATTTTACGATCCTCCATCAAGATGGCGTGCAACGGAATTGCTTCAATTCATTGTCATTATAGTCTGTCAACATCGTATTTTTATTCGATAATAATAACAATTTTTAGCTTTTGTTTTAGGTAGTTAGTTAGTTTATTTATTCGATCGTGTGTTTATTCAATAACGATGATTGTCGTGAATAAAAAATGGTATTTCGCATTCACCCTTTTCTAGTCCCTCTGAAATCTGTTATCAAAAACCAACCTAATGGTATTATAATAAGGTTGTAAATTATATGCACATACCTTTTTATTGACGAACTTGTGTGGTCTCTCCTGGTTGTCTGGGAACAAGTTCTTTAGCCGTTCCTCTCTTTCTGATGTGATTCCGTGGTGAGACGTGATCGTTAAAAGATCTACACGCCGCCCTGTAACAATAAAAAACGGACTTTAAGTACACATAATTAGGTTTGAGATTATGTGGCAAACATAAGTAAATGGTTTTATTCATTTGAAATTATTAGTAGAAATATAGGAATAGATCTTTGACACTTTGTTAGTTTCGGTATGAACCCACGGTCTTATAGAAAAACCGGCTTGTAACAACGATGCGTTGTGTTTCCTGTGTGGTAAGGTTGCATGGAAGCCCAATTTCAATTAGGGAAAGAAACTTTCCCCATATTAAACCTCTAACCCTTAAATCCTTAGCCGTTGCGGTGGCACCAATTGCTGTCTTGCCACCCATGTTTGGCGCCAATTGCTTACCATCAGGAGATCCGTCGGCTTGGTAAAAAAAATTTAGTGAAAAAACGACCTTACCTTCTAAAGAATAAATGAGACATTCCCTAACGTAGTAGATGTCGTCTGGTGATTGCGGCGGTGGCAGTGGCAGCATCTTCAGGTCGATGGAGTTGAGCGCTATCTGCAGCTCAGCGAACGAGAACGGGTACGTGAACGCGAAGAATGTGGTCGCCTTCAGGTTCTCTGATGTTCTGTACTTGAAGCTCAGGGTGAATGTATTGTCGTCCGTCTGAAATAAACCACTTGAATAAGTAATATGATTTAAAAAAATAAAAAGAAATAAAAGCGATAGAAATGGGTCGCTATGTCAGAAATTAACTGACTGGTTGAAATTGGATTAAAGTAATTCATGACTTAGCAACTGATTTAAGCCACAATTTTTTTCTAATCCTACCATAGGAGGTAGTACTATGTACTCTTATATACATGGCACAGGCCTCAACATTTCTTAGGTTCTCAACAAAAGAGGCGGTATTTGGACAAAATTATGCATTATGAACTGAAAATTTATAATTGATTGTAAAAAAGAAACTTAGATACAATAAATTATAAAGAACAATATAATAAATTATACTACTTTACAATTTCACATTACAAAAGACAGAGTGAAACTGCTCACCGAGTGTACAGGACGGTCTCTGATCCTCTCCCACTGAGGCTTGCCTGGCAGTGTGCGTGTCACCGGCGCCATGCCCTGGTTATACATCTTGCCTTGCTTGTTCAGGTTTATAAGATTTAACCGCACCTGTTTACATAATTTCCAACTTAAATAAAGACAAAATAATTTATTTCAGTTATGCCAGAAAGGCACTTTTGAATGTCAACAAAAAATTTTATATGAAGCTATTTGCTCATTCCAAGGTGTAGATTCCTATGGAGAAGAACGAGCAAAAAACTCCATAGGTTACTCTCTTTCAATCAGGTTCATAATAAAAATTTTTAGTTACATAGTTTTATTGGTTCGATTGTATGAGAACAATGTAACACCAAAATTAAGTAAAAGAGATCGAAAAAGACAATAACAATATGATGAAAATAGGATTTTATTTTAACTGGCTTTAATTTTTAAAAGTTAAGTAAAACCTTTATTAAAAACTAAATAAATAATACTCAATACTTTATTGTTTTCCACATATATGACTTAGGTGGTAAACATATTTATTAAAATTAAAAAGGTTAAAGCACTATTTTATCTTAAAATATTCTTATAGGAATTTAAAATAATGTGTAGCAATATACTAATAAGACTTTTTATACAACATCCAGTTTATTATACTAAAGTTTAATTATCAATAAGATTAATTGAAATATGAATTACCAGTACTCCAGCTTCACTGGCTTGCACACCAAAGTAGAACCAGGTGCGATTCCCATTCTCAAACTCAGTGCCCGCACAGTCGGGCCGAGTCCACAAGTTGAATTCATAATCAGGTGTTTCTGATAAATTTGTTTTTGGGTTCACAGATGGAGCTGTGAAATAACACTCCACATTAATATTCTAACAAAACTATTGTTGACTATTTGTGTAATGTAGGGTATTTTTGTTTAAATTTGATGTAAGTAAATATAATGTTTAAATATCTAAACAGGAAAGAAATAAATACTTGGCATAATTAAATAATTTGGTAAGTAACATATATACATAATTGCTGGAAATAAGAGAAAGGTGTGGATTTTCATTATTTTTTTTTACAGATTTTCTGTTCACAAGATTGTAATGATTAAGTAGTTGTAGTCATATTCCAATATAATTAATTATAAACCTACCAACTGTCTTATTATGGGGCAGTAAGAAACATATTTACTGGAATATTCCAGCTGATTAAATTAACTTTCTTTGCTGTGCTGTCACCACAGCACCTTATCTGTGTCAAGTAAATATTGAATAACTTGGTGCATCTGGGCACGCATAAATGTTTCAAATGTCCTCAAATCTATTTCGAGCTTACGACAACAACAAAAAGTCCATGAAAAGGGCATTATATTGGCAACAACTACCGAAATTATTATATGCTTTTGCGACACTGCGATTTTATGTCAATTTACAAAATATCCACTTACCTATTAGCTCCGTAGGCACCCTTTCTACATGACCGAGATTTCCAGAGTCAAAATTATGAATAAAATAAAATCCACCGCACTCTATAATATTGTTTTGATCCATAACTAAAATATTACAGCGGACTACATTATACAAAAATCACAGTCGCCAATGTTGTGAGCCGCTGGGTACACATTTACTTTAACAATTTGTCCATTGAAACATAGATCGAATATTCATGTTTTTGATAATTTCAAAATGACACTAAAAAACGGAGGCTGCACTGTTTTTCTAAACAAAATTATGTAATTTTGTTGACATCGATTGACGGATAACAGCTGATTTGTTTTATTAGTGATCTTTTTAAATTTTTAAAGTCTTTAAAACCAGTTGGAATAGTCTATTTTCAGTTAATAAATATGGGTTTTTTTATGGCAGGTTTTAATTATTTTCTCGATTGCTAAAATTGCTATCACTTGTTATTTGGAAAGACACATGCCACTATGAGATTTGATTCAAGATGGCCGACATGAACTCGCTGGCGCTGCTCGACTTGCGTACAAGGACAATACAAAATGCCAGGGTAAAAAAAGATTCTTATAAGAAAATATTTTCAAAAAATATTTTAACCACATTCATTCAAGCTATGGGTAAGATAAATAAATGAATTAGCGTTTTTTAGTTCTTTATACATGAAGCTTATCATTATCTTATCATGTTCCAGTTCTAGATCACTGAAGTGCATCTGCCTACCTACTTTTTAACTGTATGTGCGCTTTTTCTGATTGCTTGATTCTAAGAAGAATATTTGAAGCCCAAATTATTATTTTTCTCATATGTTAACCTAGAGTAATGGCCATTATTCATGTAAATAATAAATTATAAAAATTATCTAATGGCAATACAAGAAAGCTGGGCGTTTCTGTCCGGTCCGGATATTTAGGTCATACTATCACGCACCAAACAAGCATTTTTATATTATAAGCAGATTCGTAGGCTTAGGTACAATTTTTGCACGGCTTTCATGGTTGGCGCAGTGGCTGTAAAGCTGGTTGTGTGCAATGTCTGGGGTTCGATACCCGTACTGTACAATTCTTTTAGTGATTTAGGACCATTAGGAGTATGAATGTGATGTGCACGTTACTACAAGAGAAGTAATATTATTCTTCATCGTGTATGGAGGAGTCCTGGCCATTAGCCTTGCGTGTTTTTAATATAGTAAAGACATTATATCCGACAGGTACTCACGTACCTCCCTTTTTTTTTTTTTTTTTTTTAAGGGGGGAAATCATCGAATGACTGCTCCCGCCTGGGTGAGGCGGAAGGGAGTGTCAGACTCTTACTGACTAAAAACCACCCCGTTCCTTCTCCTGCACGTCGAGCCGGAGCCCCGCTTACCCGTTAGGTTCTCCGCGACTCCGAATCGGCATCGGCCCTATTGGGCCCCATCTGTGGTGGTCTGATGGCTCTTTGAGGCGCGCGCGGAACGCGACGCGCCGTACGCTCGGGTCTGTTTCTGGTCGGACGGGGAGCCACCCATGCTCGCCGTCCGCAGGCCCGCGCTTACGGTGGCCGGAGATCGTCCCGCGATCCCCGACGCCCGGTGTGTCCTTCGCGATGGTTGGGTTGCGAGGAGGCAGCGCTTCGCTGCCTCACGCGTCCCGCCTCCTCCTTAGCCAGCATGACTGCTTCGCAAAAGGAGGAGACGGCATCCCAGTCCCCCTCGCTCCGCATCATGGCCTGCACTAGGCCCGGACGCGAGAGGTCTCCATCGCCGATCACTTCCCTGAGGGCACGGCGGTGCTCAGCCCACGCAGGGCATTCCGCAACAGTGTGTTCCACCGTGTCCTCAGGGTGATCCTCGCAGTGATGACACCCGGGCGTTTCCTCCCGCCCCATCAGACACAGGTACCTCCCGAAACTTCTATGTCCGGTGAGGACCTGCGTCAGGCCACGTACCTCCCTAAGATACGTCAGTACCTGTCGGATGTTACAATAGGTATATTACATACCATACTTATAGTTCTTTTATCTCACGAGTGTGGGTGAGCCACAGTAGTAGTTGTAGTGTGTATAGACACGAGCGCTAGTGTGCGTAACTCGCAGCAAGCTCATTCATTGGCATGCCGGCCGAAACTGGGCGTTCCCGAGCGTACGCAAACAAAGACAATTTGCGTGTACATTTACCCACACAAGTATGGCGCACCCGCGCTCGTGAGATAAATAAATACGTCTATACTTAACCAATCTCTACCCGCCACTTCATCCGCGTAGAATAATGAACCTAGGCAGGATTATTTATTTTGTCTACTTTAGTAAAATCTACGTGAGAATGGATTAGCACATAATTACAGACAACGGGCGTGAATCAACGCTTTTGTCTTGTAATTGACGAGCCAGAGACCCAATTCACAAATCTCTGACACCCAAAAGCTGGCAACGCACTTAACTCCTCTGGTGGCTAATTGCTTACTATCAGGTGATCCGTCTGCTCGTTTCCCGCCCTATCTCTTATTAATGTTATCTACCTACATATTATAATTCTTAACTACTAGAATAAAATTGACATTTGACATGTTTTAGTACCTATGGAAGAATTGTAAAATATTCAAAGTTATTCCTCTGATCAAATTATAATGGCGATGGAAACATTGTTTTTTTTTTACACTTTATAGGTCGACGTTTGACCACCATCTCGCCTGATGGTAAGCGATGATGTGGCCGACGATGGAGCACGCCTACCTATGAGCAACCTGTTCACTCGGGACTTGAAGACACCCAAGTCATATTTGACGGGAAACACAGCCTCTGGCAAGGAATTCCATTAGGGTTCCCAAGTAGAGTAGTCTACGTTACATACACTACCCTACTAGGACCAATTAAAACACTTTGTAGGGAGTATTAGGGTATTAGGTAGGAAAGCAATATATAAAATAAAAAAGACAATACAGTTTCTGATTTTTAACTCAAATTTGTATTTTCATTTCATCCTTACATTTATAACAATATTAAATAAGCTTATTATAAGTATACAATACAATATTATAATAGATTATTTAGGCGTGGCACTTACCTACAGATTATAAAAAAATTACACTCCATATAATTTCGAATAACTTGGCCAATAAATGCCTCCATCACAAAACTTAGGTATAACTTGATACAGTACCTACGTATCAATTATGTCTAAATTATAACGTGGACTACGTTTACCTACGAACATCCTTGTTTACTATACAATTGTCTTTTCTGAGCATGATTGATTAATTTATTGTGAAAACAAATGATCATACGAGACACATGGACGCGACGAACTTCATTTTGGCATCTTTCTTTTGGCTCATACACCAAAATAATGATTTATGATTCAATAATAGTGTTAGGTATATACAAAATGATGTTTAATTATCACGAAATAAGTAACTTCAAAAAAAACATTATATAATTTTATATAAATTAGACTCCAATTTTCAACGGCCGCAGCGCGATTACTTTTACATAAAATTAAATGTCAAGAGAATGATAAAAAATTATAATAAAAAACAATATATCACAATCGGAACTATAATCTAGGGCACGTGTTTTGTATGTACTCTTACATATAGGTACTTACACTAGCATTACGTGTAAATGAATGTAATGGACAATTTCCTACAAATATTATTTTAATATATAAGGAACGGTAATCCTACTGAGCCAATACATTTCTTCTACCGCGTACATTTATATGAGTAACCCCCGAATAATGAAAGGCTACTCAATTTTAAATAGTAGGTACTTAAATAATGTGCCATCTCTGTCTTTTTCCAAAGAAATTGTAGAGACAGAACTATACCTACTTAACCACGACTTAAAATTGAGTGGTGTTTCAGTATTCGGGTATAAGTTAGGTACATATATTAAACACCAACAAAATATAAGATAGAACGATACGACTAGAATGCCGACATAATGAGCATTAGGATAAACATTAGATCGCCTTATTTACGTGACACTCGCCGTGTAAACTCAAGTCAGATATCGATAACATTTTTCCACGTCTTTGTAAATAATAGTACCTGCTTATGAATGTATAAGTTCTATTTTCTCATGCAGTTGATAAAGCACGTATCCGATACCCATTGGAGCATTTGACGAACACAATGAATGATACAATACTGTAACCAGACGAGCCATTGTTGTTACTTTAGCTGCTTCGGTACTGTGTTGGCTTTTAGTATCACATGAATAAGGCTATTTTAACCTAACATGCATAACTAATGTAAAATCTGTAAAACGAACGAAATGCTCTGCTCAGTTCAGTTCGAAATAAATGGAAGCAAAATAATAAAATCAACGCATTTCACCATTTATAACATTTGACATAGACATTCTCTATCCAATCTCTCATTACAAATATATTTGGCGCAATATATTGCTAACAAACAGTGGGTTTTAATAACTAATAGTAAAACTAACTAGGGTAAAACATTTACTTTGTAGTCTTATATTTCGACTGAATTTTTTGATAACATGGTCCTCTTCAATGCCCAGAATTGGCCACCACGCCTTAAATGTGTTTACAAACAGATTTCAAATGAATTGTGTTCTATTGAAAACCCGAACAAACGTAAATGCAGCGAGGATCGGTATATGTGTGTACTTTAGTGATCAGTTTTTGAAATGTCCAATCAAATGAGCGGTAGCGGAAGACAAATCGTGATCGTTTGAGCAGACGAAAGTTAAGAAACAATAATATTGTGATCCTTAAAATAAAACAAATTATGTACATCGATTTTATAATGTTTAGCGGCCACACTAGGCGTATCGTGGCTGTCCGTGGCTCACTACTAAACAACTGTGAGCAATAAAACTAGCCTTACACATATACGCCCAATTTGGTCGTCGTCGACCTTACACCATACATTTCGGGTAGCGTTCCAACTCACTGAACAATATTAATTAAAAAATTGTCTAATCTAACACATGTCGTTAACCTTTCCCCTCGTCGGGTATCGTTATGGAAACTGTGTTGGGTCTCATTTGTTTACTGTCCGCGCTATGTACACTGGTATTGTGTGGGGCACTGCGGTGTATTTCCTCAGTGGTAGTCAATTTGCACTCAACGACACGATAATTGCACGTCGGCGAGCCGCAGTCGAAGTCCGGTCGTATTATCACTGCGTTCGGTATGTCTTCCAGACACTTGGGCTCCTCTTTGAAAGGTGGACAACTGTGAAAAGAAAGTTAATGTTCAAATTCATTTTGTTTCAGTTAATATCAGCTTATTAACCTTAGAACTTTATATGCTCACCAAGTCAAAGCAATGTAATTTACTAATTTCATTTTGTAAAGAAGGTAATAGAGATTTCTTTACCTCAATGGTGGCGGTGTCGGCGAGCGCGATAGCGGAAAACTAGCGACCTCCCTCGATATCGCGAGGGATTTGATGGAGCCGAAGGTTTGTTCCGGACTGAGAGGAGCTCCCAGTACTGAAGCCATACCTCTGTAAGGAGATATAAATAGTTAGGAAACAGTCAAAATAAAACACGTCGTTTAAGTAGTGTTAAACGAACGAGATGGTAAAGTTAACAAGTTCACCTTGAATATTATTATAGGTACTAATATTATAAGTACTGTAAAAATAACTCTTGAGGTTCATACTCTTGAGATTCTTAAAGAACATACAAGTTAAAAATATACTTACACAACAGAGTCCGAGGGTACCAAGAAAGGTAAAGGAGGGGGGCACGGAGCATCAGCCCGTGCTGGTGAGGCTGGCTCCGCGGAGCGCGGGCAGCGCGCCGCCTCGCCCTCCTCCACCAACCCTAGCCAGCTGCGCATCCAGCGCCACATTCCGGCCGGAGTGCCTGCAACATTCACCATTATGTTTAAGAACAAGAACACTTAAAAAATGTCCTATATATATTGTTGTAGCTGCATTATTAAAAAATTCTCGGTTTTGAAAAGTAGATATTTATTGATTTTAGTTTTGCAATTTTTTCACCGAGTTTAATTATTAAATTGGTTAGTTTTCATCCTTTAGGCTTAATCGGTAATCGAATGTTGTATGCGCAGCTGTGCATTTGCTTACCCTAAAAGAATAAAAGTGTGATGAAGAAGTCCGCCATGTTCCCGACAAGCTACGTTTAAGTTTTAACATTTAGAATGTCTTAGCTCACACCTACCTTAGTAATCTAAAAGCCAAATTAGTTACTTAGTTTTCATATTATTAGGTATTATGTAAAAATAACTTTATATCTCAAATTAAAAAGTACTTAGTTATCTAAATACCTATGAAGCTACTCATTGAAAGCATTCTAGATATACTTGGCTATTTATTTTCGAGCACAAATCGATAAATATTTCGGGAGTAGCTACAAAGTCTATAATGCTGTCTGCTAATACTTTATTGAACACGTAAACAAACAGTTCAATACGTTATCGTATGTTCAGCAAATTGCTTATACTTACGAGAATATTTTCTGCTGTTTTGTGGGCTCAGTGGGTAGAAGTCTCCATGAATGGGGCAGTGGAATGCCAGCCTACGCTGCCGGCGCTGAGCAGCTCGCATTAACATGCACAACACGATACCTGGAACAGACAATACAATCATTTATTTAGCGATTGTATAATGAATAGCCGACGTAGGAAGTTCAAATGAGGTATTCAATGTTCATGGACCTCATATATGGTAGACATGGATTCAAATGTCTTCGTATCACGTTTTTATTCTGGGTATGGAAGGATCGGCACATTTTATGGAGGATTGGTAAATTAATGTAATATTCTGCACGTAAAAAAAAAGAAAATCAAATGAACAAATCCTAAAACCGGAATATCAAACCTTAATATCTTTTACACTTAGCTGTAAATTGAACTATCAAAGATAACAACTACTTTTTAGCGCTCAGTTTTAAAGCGAGATCTGGATAAATTACCTCTATGAACCTAATACTGTTAATATAATACGTTAATCATCGTCTAAAAACCCTTGTATTCAAACGGGGCTTAAGGCCGATCGATATCTGACGTGTGACCCTTTAGGTTCGTCGTGACCTCGTCTTTGAGAGAGAATCTCAACGAGAATGACCCTTGACAAGATAAAGCGAATCTGTGATAAAACTATCCCTACTAACATTTAGGCTTCCGTTTCATGGAACAATAAACTCACTTAACAAACCTGTAGAGAAGAATGTTGAATGTAATTAAAATATCCTAAAATCTACTTCTCACATCTATGAAGAGCCAAAAAAATGTCCGATCTGAATTATTTAATTTAGTATCTATAAAAGCAAAAAACTCATTAGCTTCGTAAACATATTTTTAGCTCCCAAAACCTCAAGAAATGTATCGATGTCAAGAGGGACATTTGCAGTGATTATTCAGTCTGCCTGTCTCGTTCCGAATGACGTGCAATAATGACGTCAACGACGCCGACGTATAATCAAGACAAGTCTATTCATAAGTGCTACGTATTATAATCAGCAGTTTCCGTCAATTAGGCAATTAGCTCGTACTTGCCACAGGAACCCTAGTGGCGAAGTACTTAATCTTGAAAACGAGAATGGTTACTCAATTTGACCGCACTCATTAAATAATAAAATTATGCTTATTTTTTATCTTTGATCGCAAATATTTTTTCCTGTTTGGTGACTTAGGGACTAAGGTGACTTAGGGACGTAGGTACCTACCCAATGACTTCATTAATTAACCGTCATTACAGTCCATAAAGAATGAATATAATAGGGAAGGGTATTTCGAAATACTCAGGCTTTTTTTAAGTGGGGAAAATCATCGAATGACTGCTCCCGCCTGGGTGAGGCGGGAGGGAGTGTCAGACTCTTACTGACTAAAAACCACCCCGTTCCTTCGGGCTAATCAAGGTAACCTTACCTAGGTTGATTTAATGTTAGTGAGGCGAGGCGAATCGCACATAAAAATAATAACTGTCACTAGAAAAGTAGAAATCAAAGTAGGGAGATACTTTTTCTGTCTGGATTGTGAAATAAGTGGATTCATAATACATTAGACATAGATTAAGATATTACCACTTATAACATTATTAAAAGGGACTGCGATCGTCACTTTTTTATGGAATAGGAGACAAACGAGCAGATGGATCACCTGATGGTAAGCGATCAGCGCCGCCCATGGACACCCGCAACACCAGAGGAGTCACAGGTGCGTTGCCGAAAGGAATACGCTCTTTTCTTGAAGGTTTGAAGGTCGTATCGATTCGGAAATACCGCCGACGACAGATCATTCCACAGTTTTGCTGTGCGAGTCAGGAAGCTACGTGAGAAGCGCACAGTTGTGGCCTGCCAACCATCTATATGATGGGGATGCATATGCTGTCGACTCGTGAGGGTCGATGGCGAAAAGATGTGGCAGGTATCAGGTCAAACAATTCTTCAGAGCACTCCCCGTGGTATAAGCGATAGAAAATATTCTTCTTATAAATCATTAGTCTTATGTGACGACACAAATGTTAAGATTTCTATATTCTAATAAGAGCTTTCAAAACGATGAACATAATACATACTTCAAGTATTGGCCTCAGAACTTTGTGATAAGCGTCGTCAACGTCAGACGGTTCGTAAGCATTGTTGCTACCGCAAGTAATGTTAAAAAATTATATAGTACATACCAGCAATGGTCATAAGAGCTCCGGCGACTATGCAGACAGGGCCTAGCACTCGCGAGTTGCCGGTGAACGCGATGCGGGCCGCATAGTGGTCCGGCTCCTCATTCTCACCGCAACCTCGATACGAAGCCGCTGTAATATAACACCATTCAGTTAATTTTTTGCCATATATTACACACATTACAATAATATTCTGAAACAGTCCATGAGCTTTTCAATGTTTTGAGGAAATAGGGAGAATTTGGCAGTAGGTGCAGTACCTAACCGTGGCCATCTTTATTGATTCATTTATTGTGAAGCCACTTTTGTATGACGCTCAATGGACAACAATTTTCAGTTAAAATACATTTTCTAGTTCGTTAGATAGGTACAGTTTGATAGAATCAAGTGACCGTGGGTGACGCTCAGTAGTTTCCAATTTCGTTATAAATCAAATAAAAACGATTCTATTTTGATTTGGTTCGACCACGGCTCTGAAGAAACGGAAATAGGAAAATTTATATTGAAGCTTTTTGTTTTCATCTGTTTTTCGTCTAGGGAACAATACGGGGCATTTTCTTCGTATTATCTACATAATCTACAGGAATTTATTGGTAAACTAGCTGCTGTATTTTATTACATGAGGTAAAAACTAATATACATCGAAGTATATTAAACAGCTACTTCATAAAATTACACCGAACTGTAAACAAAGAGCTTCCTGAAAATTATGACGGAGAATAGTTTACTTTCACCATTTTAGCTGTGACTTAAGCTTTTATACCGAAATAAGGATCTTACCTGTTAGTACACATCCGACGAGCATGAACAGAAATCCGAATATAGGCAGTACTATCTGACAGTTGGCTGCGACCACGACGCCGGCAACCGCTAACCCGCCCTCCACCTTCTCCACACGGAGGCGAGATATGGCAGGCGGACATCTTGGCTTGCCTACTGGGGCCCGCACCAAGGGCTCGCCGGGAGGTGATGTGGTCCTGTCAACAAAGAAAAAAAGAACATTAGTTTTTATTCTAATTTCAAAAAGAGTAGGTACTGTTAGCCTGTCTATTGATTCTAATGATTTGTGACACTATAAAACAAATGAATGCCATTGTAACAAACGCTAAACGATCGGGTCTATAATCTATGAAATCCGCAACTCATACAAAGTGCAAATAACAAAATAAATTAAATTATTCCTGTTTTCACAGCATAATTCGAAACTCAAATAAGCATAATTCATTGCAAATATAATTATTTTATCCCAGTTCCTAGTTATTTATCGTTCCACGAGTCTACTCAAACAGTTGAGGCGACAGTAGGTATAATATTTCACCGCTAGAACTAATTATTATTTAACAAAAGCAAATATTTAGTTGGCGCGTTGAGAAGTATCTAATATAATCTTGGCTCAACCTTGAAGGTTCAGCGTAGAACAGGGTCCATGCTATTTCTGTTACCGTCTCGTGATAATTACCACTTTCATTACACTCAGGTATTTCAAACAGTGCAACTGTCTGAATATAACGTCTTTCTTTAAATTCTTGTGAACAACTACATTGCATAGCACGTTAGAATTATTAATCTTTCTTTTAATTATTTTATAATGTACCTATATCTTTTTAATTTAGAAGGTAAATAAAGAAAACCGGTTCAATCCCTCATCGCTTTAAGTTAATAAACAGGAAAGTAATCACAAAATGAACAGATTGCGGTTGGCGGGCAGATAATAATTTAGGTATCTTAAATTCGTTGATTACCTAATGAAAACCTTTTCCCTATGATTACACAGTTCAAAGTTATTTTAATTACGTCAAACAAACGTTTAAAACAAAAAGAACGATTGCAAACTAACGGAGTATTTAAAAAAACGACAAAAAACAGTAAACCGCCAATCTATCAACGTTTGCTTTTTATGAGGCTGAGGCATCGTAAAACCATGGCCAGATGCAATGAAGACGTAAATAAAAAAAAAAACTTGGAACAATCATTTAAAAAGTTGAAACAGCTGAACGCTAAGACCGAAAGCGCTAATGAGCAACAAATATGGCACGTGTTATCTACGTAAATTGTGGGCTATGTAGCCTATGTAAAGTATATACTTTATTGGTAAATCGGTATAATTAAAAAATATAGGTAGATAGACCTTTTTCCTAAGAACTTACTGTTAACCTGACTGGGGAAAAATCCCGGGAAAAAGGTATCTTTCATGTTAATCTAGGTCAGGGTTTAATTGTAGGCCTAATTTCAGTTGAGTTCGTTACGTAAACGTAATAATGCGTGAAAATGTAATTATCATCCGTTTTGTACTCAAACTGTGAAACATTATGCTGAATTATTAAGAAGCTTCTTACTAATTGCTATTGGAGATTAATATGTAGAAGAAGAACATTATGAATTGAAAGTGTAAAAATGAGAGTAGTTTGGGGTTTTTTTTTTAAGGGGGGAAAATCATCGAATGACTGCTCCCGCCTGGGTGAGGCGGAAGGGAGTGTCAGACTCTTACTGACTAAAAACCACCCCGTTCCTTCTCCTGCACGTCGAGCCGGAGCCCCGGTTACCCGTTAGGTTCTCCGCGACTAAGTAGTTTGGGGTTAACCTCGGTATCCATAACGCTCAGTTTTAAGGTTATGAACAAGCAAACATTAAATCATTTCATTTTCTCAAAATAAAAGCCGGAATTAGACTCTATCTGGACCGTCATAAGATTTATTATGATGTTAAAAATTTTATTGAAATCACCTAAGAAGTGTTTATATTTTGTATAATTGATTACCAAGATTGTGTACCGGAAAATCAAAGTAATTCTAGGTTGATCCGTATTTAAATATTTACAAATTTTCCTTGGATATCGGTACCAATACCAAACAACCCGCCCACCCGCAGGGTCTAAAATTAGTGATGTTACCAAAATATTTCAACCGAAAAAGACAATTGGCGTCATAAACACGTAGGTACTTATGTTCATTGATAAATATAATGGAATGTTAAGTAAACGTCTTTACATTATTTATCAAGTTCCCCTGTGTGATAATACGATGTTATACACCCATTAATGTTTTAAAGTTTTAAAGTTTTGTAATTGATGACTGTTGATGTTTAAAAAAACAACTAACGAAATGACGCAGAACGAAATACAGAAATTATTTCTTTAATATTTTCATTCAACTTTTACAGCATCTTTGGTAAAGATATATTTCTTTCCTGCCAGGTAGATCTCCATCTGATTAATAGGCACAATCTTCGGAAACAGAATTCCTACATAAATTATTATTCTATGTCTCACTATCTAGACTCAGACACAACACAGTCTGCAGGTTGTAATTCGGCTTAAGAATAAAAATGTTCTGTTAATTCTGGACACACACGTGTCACAAAACGTGTTCGTGTTCTATTAACGAAATGTTTTGGCACTAAACCCGTGTCGCATTATACCAGCCAATGACCATTATAACCGTGTGTCACTGTTTAAAGTTTAATAACACTTTATTAGCTCTCCCTTTAATAATCCAAAACATCAACTGTATCTGTGGAAAGTTTTATTCAAATATGTTTAGCAGTTTCTGCGTTGGTAACAATCACATAACCTTTGTATGTCGAACTGTTAACTTTTATTTACAGAAGTTATTTTATGACGTCTTGTCTACTCGATAATATAATTTAGTTCATGCACGTTTATGTGTATTTGTGATCGTCATAAAACGTGGTTTATTGATATGGCACGTGAACGCGATAGTTGATCATTTAGGGGGAATCAGCATTGTCATCTGACGCCTATGTACGGTCGTGTTTCACGGTGTCGCTGCATTGAAACTTCACACCATGTGGAAAGGACAGTACGATGGACAGACAAAACCAACTCAGATTTAAATGATCAATGCATAAATGTATAGGTATTATTTCTTTAGTCATTAACATCAGTTAATTAAGTAAGTAGATAAAAAGACACTCGGTTCTGAAATATGTTTTTAATTTCTGCATTGATTTTAATGGGAAGTGTTTGTTTATGCATGAAATATTTAGGCAACTAGATGGTCATCGATTATCTTTATGATTGTACCAAAATTAATACGTAGGTATCACAAGTCCATTAGTTGTTTATAATATTTTATTTAACTGACCACATTCCTTTCCCATAGTTACTTATCCATTATAAATAAATATTAATTCACACTTTCTAAATGGTAAACCTACCTGATAAACAATCAGATGCCTTTAACTGTTTTGCATACAATAGACGGATTTATTATTGGTAGCATTGACGTTATATATTTGCATAGTTTCTATGCCTAGATTCTTTAGGATTTTATACAACAATCGGATTAAAAACAACAAACATTTTTTGGTTACTAAGCACACTACAATGTCTACAATTATTTAAACGTCAATTCCATTAATGATGGACGATGGAAACCAAATGGCAATACTTATCAACAACCGAATCTACAACTAAATAAACCAATCGGAGAACGACAATAAATACTGTATTTACGACAGCACGAGAGTTGCCAGAATAAAAAAAATGTAAGTCCGTCAGGGTACGTTGACAGGACACACAGATGTACCTAATTAATTGTTCTCTTTGTAGTTACATTCTTTGTCGTCTGTCGCAACATTTGGTCCGTCCTCGGAACATATAAGCCGTCGGTCCATATTAATTTGGAGAACAATACTCATTTAGGACGTATGGATATTAAATAATGTTACACCCGTACGTACCCAGTCGTACGTCATATCCTTTCAAACAGTTTAAAATTCAAAACGTATTCCAAAATAAATATTACGTTGTGAATAACGTGTCTGGTCTTCTGTGGTCGACTGTAGTCTATAACTAGTTATTTTTGCGTATTCTTTGACGCAGGTTTCTTGACAAATTCATTCAATTCCGTGCAACCTTTTGACTTTCCTCCCTAAGACGTAAAGCTGTCCTAATATCTTGTAGCACGTCCCCAACCTAAATATACACACACAATAAATTGTGATTTACTGTTGACTCGACCAAGGGATTTGGGGAACAAATGGGGATGTTATTCTCCTTTTTTGTTGGAATTAAGGGCACTTTGGTTTTGTTATTTGTGTCTGTTCTGAACTTCTGACCTCTGACATGAACTTAGACCTCCTTTCTTTCGTGATGAAAGTTTTCGTCGTCAGTTTAAATATAGGTAGTTTTCTATTTTCCACTAAGTTACAACGAAATAACGATTCAGTCTAAATAATTAATCAAGTACTTACGTAGGTATAAAAGTAAGTGGTTAGGTACTTATTTAGTCAAAGTAATAGCTGCTATTTAACGTGTATATTTGAACATCATGTCGTTTTGTTGATATAAATACCAAAATTGGTTTTATTGAGTGTACTAATATTTGTGTTACGGCTTCTAGTGGAACATACTTATTTCTTTGGTAAACCTTAAATGTTTCACTTTTTGACGAGAGATGTGTAAATTTCGTTGCAAAGCCGTGATTCCAGAATTCTCCAATCCTTTTATAACAAATCAATTGGCGGCCATGTTGGTAACATGACAACAGAATAATGGCGGGAACTTAACGGTGGTTCCGGTTCGGCTGCGTCAATTAACCGTGGTTTCCGATCCACTGGCCGTGGACAAAGTTATTGTTTTCTATTATGACGGATTTTGTACATGTTACACGAAGCAATTCGGTGCAGCAAATGAATTCAAAAACATGCATGGAAAAAAGTGTTAATAACTTAAAATGGACGACGCAAATGTCAAGTTTGGACAAAAAATAACATATAAATCGATAGTTTGAGTAGCAATTCCTTGATTACTTCGATTTAGATTAAATACTGATAATTATAATTGTATCAACTGTCTACTGGCACGTATGGTTACACGCGACGTTTTATTTCTGTTGGTTTATTCTGGTAGACGCTGGGGGCAATTTGCCGTCATTAGGTAGAGCGGTCTGTTCAAAAATAGTCACCGTCCCCCACACAATCAAGGAATGGAGGACGTGACGAGCGACCGTATCCT